GGCGGACCTTAATAATCTCATCTGCCAAGGGTTAATCGATTTCATCCAGGCTTTTTGCCTTGAAGGGAATGGATTTCGCACTGCTGCCAGGTTGGGTGGCTTCTGGGCCTGACCCAGGTGGGTTTTTGTTTTTGTATTAGGTTCCATATGGTTCCCACGGGTAGCTAGGGATATAAGGTGTCAGCCCCAGCAGATCCCCGCTTGCTGAGGTAAGCCTAGATACAGCAGCGTGTCGGCCAGTTCCCTGAGGGCTCTGTTTGAGACACTATTTTTTTATCACCTCAGTGCCACTCTTCCTTCGCCACGGATCGCTTAACAACTTGGATTAGGGTAGCCATTTCCCCCTGCCTCACACTGGCCCTTGAGGGGTGTCGGCAACATCGAGGTGTTTCCCAGGCAGCACTATGTGGAAGTAGGGGTTGATCTTTGTTGCCTCACTTTTGTTTTTATGATTTTGATTAAACTTTTGAAGACAATCAATCAAATATCGAGTATGTTTACTCCTGTGACAATACAAAATTATTCTTTACCAAACCAATAGATTATGCCTCTTTTAAAGGCAATAATAATATTATATCAGATCAAATAACAAAATTCATTAATAATTTTCGTTTTCTTTCAACATTATCTTTATTCAGTACATTATCTGCTCAAGCAATTCACGTGTGTTTACAACCATGATAAAGCAAAATTTTTCTTAATCATAGAACAACAACAATATTTGCTTTAAAACAGGCTTCTATGTCAGTTTCAAGCTAGTAGATAATATGATGGAGTCGCTTACTGAACTGTTTAATGTTAAATTTTTAATTATTTGTATTTTCTTTCTAGCTTTTTATTACTATGGCAAGTCGACATACAATTACTGGAAGAATTTGGGCGTCGCTTACATGAAACCAAAATATCCCTTATTTGGCAACTCCTTTGAAAATGCTTTCAGTATTATATCTACAGTAGAGAATCAACGCCAAAAATATGATTTTTTCAAAGGGAACCGTTATGGAGGAATATTCCACTTTAGAAAACCTGTACTGTTTTTAAAGGATCCTGAGTTAATAGAAAGTGTTTTGATTAAGGACTTCCCACATTTTTATAATAGAACTACTTATGTTGACAAAAAATTGGATCCTTTATCAAACCATCTCGTCCACATGGAGAACGAACAATGGAAAAACCTGAGGGCCAAATTGACACCGATTTTCAGCTCAGTCAAACTAAAAGGGATGCATGAACAACTTCTGGATTGTACAGATGAACTGATTAGGTACATGGATCAGTTTTTAAATCGTAGTCCATTTGAAACAAGGGAAATGATGGGGAAATTTACTACAGATGTTATAGCTTCTTGTGCCTTTGGTCTAAGTGCCAATGCCATAAAAGACCCGGATTCAGAATTTAGAAGAATTGGAAAACAAGTATTCAAGATTTCTTTTTTAACAAAACTCAGACTAGTTCTTAGAAGTCGCTTTCCATGGTTGCTTAGATTATTGAATTGGAGAGCCAGGCCTACTAAAGTGCTACAATTTTTCACAAATACAGTCAACGAAACATTAGAATACCGTGAAAAGAATAACATCAAAAGGGATGATTTTTTGTACCTCATGAATGAGTTGAGAAAGAAAGACCAGCAATTAAGAAACGGAAATGCTTCACATCCTGATAATAAATGCAAGTATAATTTATACTCATGACATTTAATTTAATGACAATTGTTTTATTCTAGATATTTTTGATACAACATCCCTGGTTGCAAATGCATTTGTATTTTTTGCCGCCGGCTTTGAAACAACTGCTTCGACATTGAGTTATGCATTGTACGAACTTGCCATCAATGAAGATATACAAGAAAAAGCTTACAATCAATGTTGTTTCAAAAATAAAAAAACATGGCGGTGAATCAAATTATGAAGCAATCAAAGAAATGGATTATTTGGATCAAATTGTTTCAGGTGAATTCTAATTCACATTATTTTACAATTTTAAAAGTACATTTTGTTTGTGACTACTTGTTTGGGCTTTAGCTTTATATCAAATTTATTTTGGTTTAAATTGAACAGGAAAGTAATTAAATGACAAGATGTATTGTGATAATTTGTTTAAGTGTGTAATTGTAGAAACTTTTTTTTTGCAGAAACATTGAGGAAATACCCTCCTGTCCCAGAAGTCTCAAGAAAAGTATCCAAGCCCTATAGAATACCAGATAGTTCTGTTGTTTTAGACAAAAATAGTGAAGTTGTGGTTCCTATTTATTCACTTCACCATGATAGTGCACACTTCCCTGACCCAGAGCGATTCGTACCTGAAAGATTTTCAGAGGAAAAAAAGAGTATGATTAAGAAAGGAACTTATCTGCCATTTGGCGATGGGCCTAGGATCTGCATCGGTACTGTAGATAATATATTATTTAAAAATTAGTATTTGAATGTTTATTTATTTAGGAATGAGATTCGCGAGGATGGAAATGAAAACTGGTTTGGCCAAAATACTGATGAATTACAGAGTGAGCTTGAACAAGAAGACGTTAACACCACTTCAGTATGATACAAAGACATTATTTCTTGTACCTGTCGGTGGAATTTGGGTGGACATAACACAGAGAAATTCTCAATAACACTTGCAGCAAAATGTCTAATTTCTTGAAAGTTTGATTAACTAGAAATATTTTAATATTAAAGCAGTACCAATTATTTACGTTGTCTTTTTTTTTAACATCAGTACAATTTGCTTGCCAACCTTTAGACAGATTTGATTAACAAACTTACTATCTTAAATTTAAACATATTGTTTATACTCTTTCCATATCCCCTTCCCATCATGAATTTCTACATCCCCGAGGTTTTTGAACAACTAGACCAAAAACTGAATCAAATAAAAACAATATTCGAAATCAGATAAAAACTGTGGCCTGGGCATCACGTACAATATTTTATCACACAAACATATGTTTCATATATTCAATTTTAGAATGGTCTGAAACAGATTTGTGCGAGATTACTTTTTGCGCTTTGGGTTGTCCCCCTGGATCAATTCTAGGGCATCGCTCTTATACAAAAAGCCTTAGGTTCAGAGAGACATCCTAAAGAAAGTAGAAGTATTTTTTCAAAAAATAAAAATCTTTGAATAATTTAAAAACAATAATTAATGAAGTTCGGCAGGCTTCAAAAAGGACATTCGCATTTTTTAGTCAAATTATAATAATTTTTTCAACCAAATTATATCTTCTGTAATTACCAAAAATAGGTGTGCAATTGGATTTCTAATGAACAAATAAGAATAGTTTTTCCTTCTTTATTGACTTTCAGATCCTACAGCCATTTCAATACAAACTTAAATTGAAGTTATTACAGTTGCTAATCATTTTATCATCACATCATCTTAACTCGTTTATCATATTACATACAAAGAAGAAAAAATATACAATTGAGTATGTGACCATACAGTTTTTACTTGAAGTGTGAAATAAAAACCAGAATTAGTATAGTGCAGGGCAGTGATCTCAATGCCTCAGCCTCATGTCCGAGGCAGACGGTTTTTCAAGAATGTGAGTACGTTTATATAGACAGATATTATTAATATTTGAAAATGTGGTATGTTGCAAAGGGGTTTGGGATCAAACCTTCCATGACCAATTTAATGGCCTCCTCGTTGCTCCTCTACTCTGGAATACAAGGGTAATTTTATTGTCTTGAACTGATATGGACAGGAGCAGGACTTTACCTCCAATGAGGTAATTGCCTGGCTGTCCAAGTAAGCTATTTTTTGTGGCAATACCAATGATACATGCCATCAATGCTTGTGCCCTGGAAAATCTTAAAAGAGGTTACACATAAGGTCAGACAGCCAAGCAGCTATTAAAGCATTAGCATGTAAAAGAATCACATCAAAATTAGTCAGTGAATGCATCCAAAATCTCCAAAACCTGGGGAAACATAACAACCTGATGATTGGGTGCCAGGGCTCAGGGGAATTTTGGGTAACGAGAAAGCAGACAGACTGGCCAGAGGAGGATCTGTAAGACCATACAGGCCCCGAACCTATTCTTGGGATAACAAAAACAAATATAGAATCCTCCATCGCAGAATGGATCCAAGCAAAACAAAAGGAGAAGTGGATAAACTCTAGCAGTGCTATACATAATAAACTTATGATGAAACAACCCTCACCAAAACTGGCAAAAGCATTGCTGAAATTGGAGAGGGCCAAACTCTGAGGAGTGGTAGGACTGCTAACCGATCACTGGCATCTGAGGAAACATCTACACATGGGTATATACAGCGATGATCCCATTGGCAGATTATGTAATGAGGAGGAAGAAACAGCCACTCATATCATCTTCGAATGCGAAGCAACAGCTCAATGGAGATTTAACCTCGTACGGAAAAAACTTAGGGAATCAAATTGCAGAAGCGACAGTCAAGTGGTAGAGCAGCGGCGTATCTAGCCGAAGATCGTGGGTTCGAATCCCGCTCGTGCCATTGACTTTTTTATCTCAACTAAAAACCTTAATTAATTGTAATATATTAATTGGTCAAGCGGACCACGAAATTAGTGAATTTTATGATTTAAAATGAAGTATACTTCACTAAAGCTCTCCGTGGCCATTTCATTTGTCGTCGAGAAACCAATCCGATTACACGACATTTGAAAAATGGCAAAAAGGAGGGACAATTCAAAAGGTGGGGTTGAGATGGAAAGTTAGTGTCAGAGTGGATTGAGGTCACGTCAGCTCAAGTGGTAGAGCAGCAGTGTATTTAGCTGAAGATCGTGGGTTCAAATCCCGCTCGTGCTGCTGACTTTTTTTATCTCAACATTAATTAATTGTAATATATTAATTGGTCAAGCGGACCACGAAATTTGTGAATTCTTGAATAATGTACAAATAAAATTGGTCTTGCGCAATTTCTCATTATTAATTAATCGAAAGTAGTAATTTGGTCAATAGACCACCAAATACAATGGATTTAATTAATAATAATAATTCAAAAGTAGGCCATTTTTATAAAACTTTTATATTTTTTAATAGAAACATCAACTGTGTCACTTTTGAGAGTCTTAATCTGTATAACAAATAAATATTTTTATTGAAATTTATTATTTAAGAAACTTAAAAGTTGACATTTTACATGTAAGGCTAGAATTGTACATAAAACTAGGACATTAGAATATGTACAATGGGAAAATGTATATGATAACTATAAACTATTAATTTACTAAAAAAAAATAAGCACATTTTGAGGAACCAGTGTACCTCATCTTGTGATTTCAATGAGTGCACGGGCAAAAGGATCTGAATCTGTTATTGACAAACGACTCTGCAACTGTAATCGACATGTGAATGTGAGATTGTCCTATTTCAAATATTTTTTTATATATGACTAATTTTAAAAATACTTACGTAAAAGTTTTTGTCGTCATCCTAAAAAATATATGCGTGATATAGATGTTTATTAGCGGTAAAATTATTACTCACCTCAGAATCATCGGCAACAGCCCAAACCTCGATGTGAGTGAATGTAAACTGTGTAGAAACAGACGGGCGTACGAAATTTGTAAAAGTGCTGCAAAAGTCTGAACATGCACCATGCCCGAAATCGCCGTCAACCCACAAGCCAAAAAAACCTATCTGCCCTCCCATACCCTAAAATGGAAAACAATAGTAAATAATTTCTTTTCTGGTTGTTGACCTTTTATATTTGTTTGGTTTATTTTCAGGAACTAGACAATCATAACAGAAAATGAGTGATGGTTTAGTTCCTGAAAAAAAAAACAACCTAAGAAATAGCAAATAAGTATTTCTATTAATAGTTATTTTGATACTTACAAATCCATTAGGATAAGTGTGATGACTAGAATTGTGGTACATGAAGTTATTGTTGGTACCGCTTGGTTCAAAGAGGCGTAGCACAGGTGATAATTGAAACAAAAAGCATCTATTGTCACCTGAAAAATTTTATTTTTCCTTGCTGTACTAATACACGATCAAATTATACGAATAAGCCTTTCAAACCATAAAATTGTGTCGACTGTTTCCAAGATTCTGATGCAAAGCATCCAAACACATGATTCCCGTGGTCTTTGATTATTAATAAATTTGGCCCGACGCCGAGAATGGTTTTACACAGAAGTGTATAATTGCTACCGTGGCCTTGATTGTGAAACCGCAGCCTTTAATAAAAAAAAAAATATATAAAAAAAGTTTAAACACGAAATAGTACCTTTTACAGCTGGACATACTTCCAATTTTTTGTGCACGTCTTTGTCAAATGTGCGCATAGAAATATCACATGCGATATATCTAGAATTGTTGAGAAATACGATAACGGTTTGGGTAAAACACAAGGGACAGAAGTGACATCCACAATTCCATACGCTATGCATAAAAGCCCATTAAGAATATCACTGATTATCGGCTTAGTCCTGAGCCAATCTTCAACATCTTTAGCTACAACCTAAAAATCAACTATTCTTTATTTAATAGGTATACAATATTATATTATTAACACAGGTTTTAACCGATTTAATACATTTCCATTAATAAAATTTGAAGATATGTAAGTATGAAAATGATTTAATAGCCTGAACAAACAAATATTTTGTAATAGAAATTTTAAATTATGAATTTTGTCTAAAATAAATAAATAGAAAGTGTATTTTACTGTATTTCTTACTTCATCGGTTTTCAATTCAGATGTTAAACTGTTTATGATATCAGATAAATTGTAAGAGAACGTAGTTGCATCGATTTTTAACCACTTGAAGAAGTCTGCATTTTCATAGCTTCCCAAGCTTCGAAGATAGGAAGCTATTACATCCCTGAAATACTACAATTAAATTAAACTCTTAAAATTTTCCCTCCAAAATACTCATCCTTCAAATAATAATTTTTAGGGGAAAAACTGACAGCGATTGAAATGTTCTGAAAGAGACACCAAGCGTTTACACAGTTGTCAAATATTTTTGAAGCATGCATCCATTAGCACCAATTGTAAGCAACCCTGTATCTCTTTCAAAGCATGTTTTCAAATTTTTTGAGAAATTGCCAATGTACCGTTTTCACTTTTTCTGTTTCGACAGAGCGTTCTAAAGGTTCCTCCTTTGGGATGTTAATCAATACCCTGACAATCGCTTGGGCTTTTTCTTCCAAAAAGTGACTTCCCTGGCCTTTATGTAAGTATGTGAACCTGCTCCAATCCAAGTTCTTACTCGTTCCAGGGAACAAGTATTGTAACCATATGTCTATAGTTGTGTTGAGCATGTAATCATGCCATTTTACCTTAAAACAATGATAAAAAAAAAACACAAATTATACAAACTGCATTTATATATCCATATGCTTAATGGGATCATTACACCAAACTAGAGAAATTTAGAAAAAATTTCACTTACCGAGAGAACTTCTGTTGACATTGTAGCTATTTCACTCCTGTTAATTTCAAAAGATTCTTCTATTAATTTTATCTCCTCCTCTGTGAAAACCCTCGGGTTTCTAAATTTTGAAATCTTCTTACCCATCGCACAGCACAATGAACCGTGTATTACTCACAATTTTATTTCTGATATTAGTCGGTGCACAAATGTGAAATATTTTCATTCCTGACATGTGATAAGCAATGCTTAATTGATTTTTAAAATAAAATGAGTCCTGTTCATGCTCTTTTCATTTAAAAAAAAAAGTTTACATGAACCAACAAAAACAAATAAATTATTTTTCGAAACAAAGAATATAAGTTTACAAAAGTAAAAAAGATATATTTTATGCTCTTAAAATACATGTACAGCTCAATTTTATATTGAATTTTTTTAGATGTCAAAAATTCATGAAATTAAAACTTAAATTTTATTGTACAGTTTTATTCAAATTATTATACCTTCACTAGTTTCGCGGTCCGCTTGAACAATTAATATATTACAATTAATTAAGGTTTTTAGTTGAGATAAAAAAGTCAATGGCACGAGCGGGATTCGAACCCATGATCTTCGGCTCGATACGCCACTGCTCTACCACTTGAGCTATCATGACCTCGATCCACTCGGACACCAACCTCCCATCTCAACCGCACCTTTTGAATTTTCCCTCCTTTTTGCCATTTAATAAGTTTAAAATGAAGTATACTTCACTAAAGCTCTCCGTGGCCATTTCATTTGTCACCGAGAATCAAATTGATTACACATTTGAAAAATGGCAAAGAGGAGGGAAAATTCAAAAGGTGCGGTCGAGATGGGAAGTTGGTGTCTGAGTGGATCGAAGTCACGATAGCTCAAGTGGTAGAGTAGCCGTGTAACAAGCCGAAGATCGTGGGTTCGAATCCCGCTCGTGCCATTGACTTTTTTATCTCAACTGAAAACCTGAATTAATTGTAAGATCGTTATTACCTCAGACAAAACATTTTGTTAAGATCTGTGAACTTAGGAACCTGTAGCTTGTCTTCAAACATCCCATACAATCACAGAACAGAAGCTATTAATTACATCCTCAGGAATAGTTACAATTCCTAGGGATTTGAGTCCAAATTTCTATCAAAACTCATACAAAGGGGGACCGCGGTAGCCGAGTGGTGAAGGCGTCAGACTCTTAGCTAGTAGATCCTGCGGTCGCGGGTTCGATCCCCACCGTCGCCTCTGGACTTTTTCTGACACTTAAGAGGACCTATGGCCGCAATTGAAATTGACACAGCACTCAACTATGGAAGGGGCGGGATCAGATCTCAGCGACCCTGAATTTGGTCCTCTTCAAAAATGAGTTTCTTCGATGGAAGAACACCAGCACATCAGGAGCCCAAATTCACATTTGTTTTGCGACCCCCCCCAAAAAAAAAAAAAAAATGAGCCAGGGGATAAAGGACAATAAGCTGCACAGCTGCAGTGCTCAGGAGGGAACTCCTCCAGTTCCTGGTATTCATTGTAAAAGAAAAAAAAATCATGCAAAAGCGTTTGAACTCAACGTGAACAAATTCAATTTTTGAGTTGGGCTCGGTCCCACCATTCCATTTAGCAGTGTTATGATAAAACTGAACCAATAATTCTCTCAGTAGACAGCACAAAGCGTGAGATGCTACAGTTTTACCATGAGATTTGCTAACACATCCAAATCGCCAATGGATACACGCAAATTGGAGGACCTTGGCAATTCTTTTTGGGTGCCAATTATTTCATCGGTACCTTCATTCGATGGAAGAGCCTTGGTACCTTCTTTTTGTGTAAACCAATCATAAACCTTTAGAACCCATTTTTTAAAACAATTGAGAATAAGTGCCCCCTGCTAATTCAATGATCGGTATTGATCTGTCGTGCATTTCCATTGTGGTCTAGAGCTCCTCATTAAGCTTAAGACTTTTTCCCAGATCCCAAAGATTTTTCAAGGACTCCTTGTGTATCCTTCAGGCCCTGGCATTTCCTTTCTCAGAAGTAGGAAGCCTTTGCACCAGCAGGTTCCCACTGTCCCTTATTCTTCCTCGCAATATCTGCACAGGTTCAAGTCTGTATTTATACCTTTGGAGTCTGCAGTCTAACTATTCTAGTCCTAAATTTAGTAATTCTGCCATCAGTTTCTGTGATGGTCCTGTCACGAACAGTTTTGCATACATCCCAATTGAATCTTATTTTTAATCCATTGTCGAGGGATCCAATTTTTGTCAGTTTGGTACGCCACAAAAGGCCCTCATCGAACTTTCCTCGGCCAATTTATTGGCTTTTTCATTGTCTCTCTGCCCTGGTAGAGTAGGTGTAATTTTGTTGCTTTCTCCAATGTGTTACGTAACATCATTGTCAAGCAGCGCTACTGTACTGGACCTACAAGATCAACAAAGAAGAGGAGGGCAGTCTTACGCTGAACGCGGTACCGCAAACTTCTCTCAAAAAATAAGGAGACGGATTTATCGACTCTGAGGGATAAAGAAAAGCACCTATTCTCAAGAAGGAAATCTTTTTTTTCTTTAATCAGATAAGAAAGTTAAATTTTTATTTATAATTAATTTTGAATAGCGAAATAATTTATGTTTATTTTTTAATTATATTTTTTTATTGTAAAAAGGAAATTTTTTTAGTTTTAAGGTAGAAAACAAACAATTTAAAGCTGTTTATTTTTGTTAGTTTTTGCTGAAAATTGATCATAAATATAATTGTTTCCATCATGCCCATTTTATTCTATTTACTTACTGAAAACTCTTATTTTACAAATTCAAGAATTTTAACAACCAACTTACAAATTTTAGTAGCAGAGCGTGGTTTCTATCCTCTTTACTTAAAATAGCTAAAGTTGAATTTAGTGTAAAGATAGATATTTCCTTCTTAATTAGAACCTGATTGTCCCAATATTTTGCATCATTATTTTTTACAGAATTCAATAGAAACTGAAAATTTTCAAAGCCCAAATGGCAATCAAAACCTATCTATGCCTTCATTAAAAAAAAAACAGAAATTATAAGCCACAAGGGCCTTATCTCAAGCCTTAGATTTATCAGAAAATGTAATTTTCCAATCAATTTAAAAAAAAAAAACTTGCTAATCTTTTACAAAATTCACCAAGAAAAATAACAAAAGATATTAAAAGTAATGTACATAAAATTGTCAGTAAATATGAAAAAGCGTTAACCTTAAAACTAAAAAAAAATTTCCTTTTTACAATAAAAAAAATATAATTAAAAAATAAACATTAATTCTTTCACTATCCCAAATTAATTATAAATTAAAATTTAACTTTCTTATCTGATTAAAAAAGATTTCCTTCTTGAGAATAGGTGCTTTTCTTTATCCCTCAGCATCGATAAATCCATCTCCTTATTTTTTGAGAGAAGTTTACGGTACCGCGTTCAGCGTAGGACTCCCTTCAGCATAAGACTGCTCCTTTATGAATACCGTCCCATTTCCATCCTCTCAAACCAGAAAGATTAGTCGAAGTTACTATACTTGTCCTTCCTGATTTTTCTAAAGCCTTTGATTCTGTCCCTCACTTTTCTGTCCTCTCTAAACCCGAATCTTTTTCCTTCTCCGCCAGCACCATCCGTTGGTTCCATTCCTACCTTACCAATCGCCACCAAGCTGTCTCCCTTCCCAATGGCTTTACTTTCTACTTCCTCTAAAATCTGGGGTGACTCAAGGGTCTAGCATCTCTCCTATCCTTTTTTCCATTTATATCAATGATCTGCCCGACTCCATCCAGTCCTGTAACTATCACCTATATGCCGATGACTCCCAAATATACATATCCTTCCACCCTTCCGATCTTCCCTCAGCCACTCTCAAGATCCAAAAAACCTAAACTCCATCAACAAATGGGCCTATAAAAATTCCCTAGTCCACAATCTGTCCAAATCCACCGCCATAATTATCGGGTCCAGGCAACTCCTCAATTCCCTCCCCAGCATCCCACCTCTCATGCTAAATAACCATCCCATCCCTTTCTGCTCTTCGGTTAAAAACCTAGGAGTCATCTTTGACCAAAACCTTTCCTGGCGTTCTCACATTTCCCAAATTTCCCGCCATTCCATTGCCTCCCTCAGCCTGTTTCGTCGGTCCTGGGTCCTCTTACCTTTCTCCACCCTCAAACTCCTTGTATCTTCCCTTATACTTCCCTTCTTCGATTATAGCTGTTTGGCATACGGTGGTCTCTCAGAGAGGGAGAACGAGCGTTTGAAGCGTATTTTGAATTGTTGCGTAAGATTTGTGTACGGCACCACACGGGGATCCCAGGTGTCGGGGTTGTATTTCCAACTTTCCTGGCTATTCCCCTCCTTCCGTGCACAGTATTTCCTAAGTTGCTTTCTTTTCCAGTCCATCCACACTTGTCATCTTCCTTACATCATCCAATCCCTCCAATTCAACTCCTCACATCTCACTCGTAAAACCCGCTCATCCCCAATCGATCTTATCCTTCTGCAACGTTCAACCCACACCTTCGAAAGATCCTTTCTGATCCGAGCCCCTAAACTCTGGAACTCCCTTCCCCTACCTATTCGTCACGCTGCCTCCTTCTCCTCATTTAAATCCCATCTTTATAATCACCTCCTCTCCCTCCAAGCAGAGACCTCACGATAACATTTATTATTTTTGTTTAATATTCTTGTAATTTTCTCTTCTGCCTTACTGGCTTTTTTTTTTCGATTTTGTAACTTCATAGAAGGTACTTCCTTTATTTTATATCATGTAAATTATTCTTAGGGGACACCAGTCCCAGAATAAAGTTATTTTTCTTCTTCTTCTTCTCCTTTGTTGATCTTGTAGGTGCAGTACGGTAGCGCTGCTTGACAATGATGTTACGTAACAAATGTCTGACATGGTCCTAATGAAATCCAACTTATGTCTCATCAACATTATCTCAATTATGTTTCGTCACTGAATGCAGAGCAAAATTCAGCTGCCATACTGCGCTTTAATTCAAACAATAAGCACTAGTAACTATTGAGTTTGAAGGTTTTTCCATGAATTTTAACTTCATTTTTAAACTTTGCTAAGTTTTTTTTTCGGTAACTTAGAATGGCTGCAAACTCTATGTTCTGTCATCAGAGTTTCTAATTCTACCTCTAGCTATTAGGTTAGATCTGGCTCACCAGGGTCAAATAATTACTAAGACCTAAAAATAAAAATTAGGCAATAAATTAAAAGTAGGGAAGGGTAAAGGAGAAATTTCTTAAAGGAATTCTTCCTCGACAATTTTATAAAACAAGGGAGACAATAAAAAAGAAAAATTTAACACCGTATTTGTTAATTTATAAATTAATTGTTTACTTCAAAGGAGAAAAGTCTTTGGTAAAATAATCAAATATCGCATGCTAAATAAATAAAATATGCAAATAAAGTTTTTCAATAAAAATGTATATAAATAAAAATGCTTCCCTTCCTGGGAATTTACATATCCCTACTTATAACATTCATCTACAAATGTACAAATTAAGTCATTTAACAACGTAATAATTTTTGTTACTCACCAGGCGAAAAAATGCAACTGAATATTTACAGACTGTGCACTCTACAAGTTAAAACAAAACCCAATAAATTAATCTTATTAAAATTAGTTATTAACATATATATGTAACATATAAATATAAATATCACAAGCTTATATTTACGATAACAAATCGCCAAACAATCCTGAAATTATTATAACATTAAATTATTATAACAATTATAATTTATGTAATTTGATTTCTAACAAAAACCATTTAATGAACTAGATTGCACATTCAATCTTTCTACAAAAATATTAATCTTGTTTAATTAACTACTTTATTTTCTATTTTTAGCTTTGAAAATCTCACTTGTTTAATTTGTAACTGTAATTGTATCATTGTTCTTTTTATTTATTTATATAGTCACTATAATTTCAACTGATAATTTTTTGCTTATTTAATGCTTGCTCAAGAAAAGCACATATAAATTTTTATCATACAAAGGTAACAATCTCAAAATAACATTCATTACTTTTTTTTAAATATAATTTTACACCAAATGTTATTAACTTTGCCAATAATTCTTCGTTTGAGCTTTGACCTAAAAATTCACCCTGGTCAGCATATTCAATAAGCAATCCCTCATTAATCTTTCATATTGGGTAATTTAAACATTAAAAAAAATGTGAGAGGGGCCCATAATTTTATCCGCTTACATCTTGACACAATCATTTAACAATTAAATAATTTTTCATCATTGCAATATACTCTCAATTGTGAATACGTTAAAACCAATCATTAAGTATATTAAAGTTGAATATTAAAAATTACATATAAAAGTAAAATAAAAACTTGCTGTCGATTAATTGTTTGGAGGCGTCACCTGCCACACTATAAGATAACACGGATCACTTTTCTTTTCGACAGAGGTATCATCATCATCGTCATCACCTGAAAATACCACCACTAGATAATAAATCACAAATAAAAATTAAAAACACAATACAACTAGTGCCCAAAACCTGTATTAGTATTTGTGAAGAAAATAATGCATTGGTTAGCCATGCCATGTTTGATTAAATTAAATTTTGCACTCAGATTAGGTTTAGGATAAGAGAAAAAGAAATATTGTTTTTGAATGGCAATTAATAACAGTAAAAGTTTAAGAATTGAGAATATCAAGGAAAACAGAGTGAAGGGCTAGAATGAAAAACAGACTGATTATTACAATTTGTTCATTATGTCCATGAAACAATAATGACAATAAGACAGTTAAGACAGATAAATAGAAAAATGTTATGTTCCATTCCAAGAACTAAAAATACCTTCAAGCTAATAACAAAATTTAAATTTATCCAGTAGATACTGTCATTTTATGGGACTGCAATGGCCGAGGGGTCAGGCCATTGAAGTTTTGAATTTTAATTTTATTTTGTTCAATAACAGATGAACCAACACTTCGACCGTGTTTTCTTCTTTTTTTGCTTCTCTTTTTGCAGAAGAGCAAGCACTTGTTTTTCTTAGGTTCTCATCATACCCCTTGTGAAGAGGTGTTTCCTTAAATAGACCAAACGGCCTTGTTAGTGCAATTTCTGAGGTAATAAAGAAAAGCCACTATTTAAACAGTACATCTTTTAGACTGCAGTGGAAGAAACGTTGACTAAAGACACCAGAGACCATGGGAAAAAAATTCTGGGTCGACTTATATTCGTATTGCCATGACTTGCATACTGAGCTAGAACCCCGTAAATACTGATGTTAAAAATAGTAATAAAGTGAGCTCTCGAAAAAGAGGCCAAGGTATCACAGAAATCAAGACAGAATTGAACATTCGGCCATAAAATGGCAGATTGCAATTATACTGAATTCACTATTTTTCGTGCTCCGCTTGACCAATTAATATCATTCAATTAATTAAGGTTTTAAGTTGAGATAAAAAAGTCAGTGTCACGAGCGGGATTTGAACCCATGACTTTCGGCTTGATACGCTGCTACTCTACCACTTGAGCTATCGTGACTTCGATCCCCTAAGAATAATTTACATGAACTAAATAAAGGAAGTTCCTTCTATGAAGTTAAAAGTTTAAAAAAAAAAATAGAAATCTTGGCACAATGTATACCAATAAGGCAGGACAGAAAAAAAAAATTACGAGAATATTAAACAAAAATAACAAATGTTAACGTGAGGTCTCTGCTTGGAGGGAGAGGAGGTGATTATAAAGATGGGATTTAAATGAGGAGAAGGAGGCAGCGTGACGAATAGGTAGGGGAAGGGAGTTCCAGAGTTTAGGGGCTCGGATCAGAAAGGATCTTTCGAAGGTATGGGTTGTATGTTGCGGAAGGATAAGGTCGATTGGGGATGAGCGGGTTTTACGAGTGAGATGTGAGGAGTTGAATTGGAGGGATTGGATGATGTAAGGAGGACGACGAGTGTGGATGGACTGGAAAAGAAAGCAACTTAGGAAATACTGTACACGGAAGGAGGGGAATAGCCAGGAAAGTTGGAAATACAACCCCGACACCTGGGATCCCCCTGGGGTGCCGTACACAAATCTTATGCAACAATTCATAATACACTTCAATAGCGCGTTCTCCCCCTCCGAGAGACCACCGTATGCTAAACAGCTATAATCAAAGAAGGGAAATATAAGGGAAGATACAAGGAGTTTGCGGGTAGGTAAGAAAAGCCAGGACCGACGAAACAGGCTGAGGGAGGCAATGGAATGGCGGGAAATTTGGGAAATGTGAGAACGCCAGGAAAGGTTTTGGTCAAAGATGACTCCTAGGTTTTTAACCGAAGAGCAGAAAGGGATGGGATGGTTATTTAGCATGAGAGGTGGGATGCTGGGGAGGGAATTGAGGAGTCGCCTGGACCCGATAATTATGGCAGTGGATTTGGACGGGTTGAGGACTAGGGAATTTTTATGGGCCCATTTATTGATGGAGTTTAGGTCTTTTGGATCTTGAGAGTGGCCGAGTGAAGATCGGAAGGGTGGAAGGATATGTATATTTGGGAGTCATCGGCATATAGGTGATAGTTACAGGACTGGATGGAGTCGGGCAGATCATTGATATAAATGGAAAAAACGATAGGAGAGATGCTAGAGCCTTGAGGCAGCCCAGATTTTAGAGGGAGGAAGGAGGAGGTAAAGCCATTGGGAAGGGAGACAGCTTGGTGGCGATTGGTAAGGTAGGAGAGGAACCAACGGATGGTGCTAGCGGAGAAGGAAAAAGATTCAAGTTTAGAGAGGACAGAAGAGTGACGGACAGAATCGAAGGCTTTAGAAAAATCAGGAAGGACAAGTATAGTAACTTTCTGTTGGTCCATTGCTAAGTGGAGGTCACTGGTAATTTTTATTAGTGCTGAATGGGTGGAAAAACCTTGGCGGAAGCCAGATTGGAGGGGGTTGAGAAGATGGGACTGTTCAAGGTGCCTGGAGGACTAATCTTTCTAGGGGCTTGGACAGGTTTGAGAGGATGGAAATGGGACGGTAGTCTGTAGGGGAGGATGGGTTGGGGGTTTTATTGACAGGATAGACATCAAATTATGTACAGCAAAATGTAAGAAATCCATACGGACTATTTAGAAGACATCAAACATGAATAGTACAAAAAGTACAAAGGAACCCAATTGACATTTAAAGAAAAAATAGACAAAAAAGAATTCACATGCACACAAAAGCTTACAAAAAGAAAGTGAAATATGCAATTGAAGTAACACATAAAACATGACATACCGAAGGAGCAACTGCCACACTATTAGATGAGAGGCTCCATCCTTAGGTTCCTCTCCATCGTCAACTGGAAAACACGATGACAAACTCAAAAACACTACTACACCACTTACCTCAATATAATCCATTAGCTCTTTATATAACAGCTCACCTTTTTGACTGTTCGCTTTTTTAAAATGATGCTTCTACTCACAGATTTGTTGTTTACAACAATCCAGATTTCAAGCATTAAACGCTCATCAGGTTGAAAGAATTACGAGACCCCATTGGAAACCGTTTCGTTTCATAAAATTTATTATTAACTGTACAATAATTAGATAGAAAGCATATTTAAGAGATCTATTATATTTTTTTTAAATTGTATCATTATTGTTCTATCCTCAGTGTATTATTGGAACGTTGCGTTGGTGGTTGATCAGCAGGTTCACTCTTACAATTTGTTTCAAGAGACTTTTTTTTATCTTCTTCAACCTGATGTCGAGTGTTTAATGCTCGAAATCCGGATCGTTGTAAACAACAAATCTCTGAGTAGAAACATCATTTACAAAAAGTGAATCTACATACTCACCCTAACCTTCATCATTTCTACTTCTGACTGTTGGTACTGAGTGATCAAAACTGTAATTGGTCAACCCATTTATGTTAAATTTGCTTAGATGCGTTTGTCATGAAGGCATTTGTAGCGGTACATTTACTTTTTATTCCATTTTATTGCTATCATTATTATATTAGTGTGGGGTCTTTTAAAAGCTTATGAATGAATCTTTCTGTTAAGAGTAGCTCTGAAATTTGATCATTACCAATCATTTTGGTCTACCTATCCTTGATGGGTGTTAAGTCGGATTTTTTTTTTTGGCATTTTGTGTGTCCAGGTAGAATTAGGCAGACCAAAATAATCGGAAACAACTAAATTTCAGGTTCATCATGGAGACGACATGGAAAAATCTCATCAAGACAATAAGCTGACCAGGTTATTAAAATTAACCATCCCCGATGATTTCTTGAACTTCGCTAGCATTTTTTTGGTTTTTTTTTCTAATTTCTAAATTTCACAAACTAAACAGCAACACAATATCTAACACCAGACCTCATAAAAGCTCAAATATTACTGACGAGTTTGTTCAAATGTTCAAAATCAAAAAATCAAGTTTAGTTTTTAAGATCGAAAATTGTTTAATTCAGAATTGTTTATTACAAGAGGCTAGAAATTCCAAGGCAGAAGAGATTCAAGCCTATAACCATACCAGTGACAAATCGAGTGACTGATGCTCCCTTACAAATCTTAACAAATCAAAGTTAATTAAATATTTAATTAATCCCGAGGATATTCTTTTAAAAACCAACTGTTCTTCTTGCCAATGAATAAATTACCTGATGATTAACATATAACAAATTATTAAGATAAACATTTACACTAAAAAAAATAGTTGAATAAAATTTTTGAAAGGTTTGATTTATTTTGTTTTATACTGGAATTGAGTTAATCTTTCCTCTTTTTTTCTTGAATATTTGAGCTTACAGGTGTTAAAACATGCAACTAAGAACGACACAAATTTTTGTAAGCAGAAAAAAAGTAGTTTCCAAAAACAAACTGGTGCAAAAAAGAAAAACCAGCTAAGCATTACTCCAAAGTACAATTGGTACTTACCAACTCTGAAATCGATGTATCCCTCACCGCCGGACATCACAAGCATAGACTGCGGTTTATCGTTTTCATTGTTGTTATTAATTATCGGGGATGTTGTATTTGTCGCCGTCGCTGCAGACATTCCTCCACAACCTAGGGGCAGATTACGCTTAGAAACGATTAACGGAAATATATTTGGATTTTATTTCAACAAAAACGGACCGGGAACTGCAACAAAGAATTTGACGGAATCTCTATGACCGTGGAAAGACAACTGGGCATGTTGCATCGAACAGTAAGGAACGAAACTGGCAGGAGTTAAATGCGACGTGGCTGGATCTGCAAAAACATTCACTACCGCTCCAGGTACTTTATTTGGATTGACAGTACCACCTAAAAAATCGTTAAAATTTACCGGTGAATACTGAAATTTTATTTAATTAATACTTACTTTCCGATAATGGAACTGAAATAATAACTCCATTCCCGGTTCCAATCCAAAGCCTTGAACATGATATTAAGAGCGCGGTGATTCTGACAAAAGAAAACCCCAATTTTCCAGCTCCTGTTTTTTAATTAAATAAACGAAATATTTATACATTAAACGATATAATATACAGATAAAAAAAGAAAATCAGATCAAAATCTGGCTCCATGCTCGTATTAAGTATTAATTGAACAAGCATCGTTAATGATTAGACAGTACAGAGACAGTAACATTTTTTCATGATAAAAAAAAACATGCGGAGTATAAAGGAAAAAAGCATCTTTTATGTTATGAATTACTAATAATGTACCTGAGGGTATGACTGCTACGTGGGTAAGCGAAGCACATCCACAGCAAATAGTAGCAAACAGATATAAAAAAAAGAAGTAATGTGAGGATAAATAATAGAATGCCTAGTTTTCTATATAAAATAAAATATTAACAAACAGTCGATGTAACCGTTTCAAATCAAATTAACGACATACACCTATCATGCCACAATGTTAATACATAATTAATGAAAAATCTCAGGGGGGTGATTGAAATCAGAATGATGTGTTATTTTATGCAGGGAATGTTTTTAAAACCATGTTAACCCCAAGAAAATGATAGTAAAATAGACGTTTTGGCAACCAATTTGTTCCATCGCCTCTATTTACATAAAATTACTTTTAAAAAAATTTTTTTTTTAAATTAAACTAATCATATTAAAACAATATGATTCTCCAGAAAAGAGCAAATCTACTATCATTTGTTAAATTATCATATTTTTTAGCTGAAAACATCAAAGGCAATGCTAAAACAAAAAGTGCTCATGCTGCTTTTATATGAGTGTCGGGAGTTAATTCGCGTTTAAAATGAAAGGAGGATCATGAGATAGCTCTCTATGTTAAAGCTAATATACAGACCTAGCATTTTGCTGACGTAGGGTTCTATATCAACATCCTGTAGGTGCTCGTATGTATGGGCGTGGTAAAGCCGGAGTGTCGAGTCTAATCTGATAGACACCCAGACACCATCACCGACCCATGCCATTAACTTTACATGGCTTTCTTTCCTCGGATGGACGTCGAGAGTTTTCTAAAATGTAAAAAGTATTAGAAAATTTATACACAGGGACTTTTTTATGTTTTTAGTACCTGAACAGCCATCGATTGTGGATCAAGCACGAGTATTTTATTTTTGTAGCCACACCATACTTTGTTGTGCACTACTAACAGGCATCGCATGGATTGCTGAGGTGGGCCGAGATGAACTATGTGGTAATGGTTGAGATCCCACTGGCCGTCACTGCCTCGTCTAAATATTGCGACTGTGCAATCAGCGACGGAACACAAAACTCTACCTCGCACATGACTGGAAAACAATGAGATAGTTTTTAATTTTTTTTTTAAATTATAATTTGAGTTTTATTATACTTATAATCTTTTAAATCAGTCTTCTTATCATATAAATGTGGTTTAAAGAAACTTACACTATACTTAGTACAGCATCTTTCAATTTGATCGAGTGGAGGCACTTTTTCCAATTTGACACAGCAGAATGAACAAATATGCAACCGTTCTGAGCCCCGAGCCACATTGTTGGCAAAATACTGCTCGCCTTTTCTAGCTCTTCATTGGCTAAATCATTTACTGAAATTAAAAATTTAATGAATTACTAACTGATAGAAAAAAAAACTTGTTAATTAATAAAATATAGATTATAATAATCCACTTGTTAACATGCCTAACAATTTGAGAAAAATGATTTCAATAATTTACACGAGAACAAAAACTAATATTCATTGCCAGGCATTTTGGGTTATTTTATCCTTATTCTAATGTGGTTGTTTTTGGGCTGGATCACACATTTTTCAGACAAACATTTTTGTGTCATTGATTTTAAGTTATTGGAGAGTGCGCTTGGGCTGAGATGGTTTGTGTTATGTTACGTAGGGTTACATTTAAGGTTTGTGTTAGGCTGGGTGAGAGATGAATTACATAAGATAGGGTTAGAGATGGACCAGGTTAAAGAGGGTTAGGGATGCATTAGGTTAGGAAGAGTCAGGGATGGGTCAGGTAGGGTTAGAGTTGGATCAGATTAGGTGGAATTAGGGATGGTTTAGGTTAGGCAGGGTTAGGGATGGATCGGATCAGGTGAAATTAGGCATGAGTTAGGTAGGGTTAGAGTTGGATCAGCTTAGGTGGAATTAGGGATGGTTTAGGTTAGGTAGGGTTAGAGATAGATCAGCTTAGGTGGAATTAGGGATGGTTTAGGTTAGGTAGGGTTACAGGTAGATGAGCTTAAGTGGAATTAAGGCGGTTTAGGTTAGGTAGGGTTAGGGAGAGTTAGAGATGGATTAGATTAGGTGGAATTAGGGATGGTTTAGGTTAGGTAGGGTTAGAGTTGGATTAGATTAGGTGAAATTAGGGATCGTTTAGGTTAGGTAGGGTTAGGGATGGATCAGATTAGGTGAAATTAGTGATGGTTTAGGTTAGGTAGGGTAAGAGTTGGATCAGATTAGGTGAAATTAGGGATGGTTTAGGTTAGGTAGGGTTAGAGTTGGATCAGATTAGGTGAAATTAGGGATGGTTTAGGTTAGGTAGGGTTACAGATGGATTGGATCAGGTGAAATTAGTGATGGTTTAGGTTAGGTAGGGTTAGGGATGGATCAAATTAGGTGAAATTAGGGATGGTTTAGGTTAAGTAGGGTTAGAGTTGGATCAGATAAGGTGAAATTGGGGATCGTTTAGGTTAGGTAGGGTTAGGGATGGATCAGATTAGGTGAAGTAAGGGATGGTTTAGGTTAGGTAGGGTTAGAGATGGATCAGCTTAGGTCCCCAGTTAGGGATGGATTAGGTTAGTTAAGGTTAAGGTGAATAGAAATAATAAAGGTAGAGTGAGAAAGGAGAGTGATGTAGATTCAATTTTTGTAAATGATGGTTCTACTCACAAAATTTGTTGTTTACCAACTATGTTGTAACTAGTTGTAAACAACAAAGAGTAGAACCATCATCTATAAAAAGTAAAGGTTAGGGGTTTTGTTACCTGTCCATGGTTCATAATTTTTCCGTGAAGCGGAGAAAATATGCGAATGGGAGTTTCATCGACAAAGAGCCCAATTAGAAATTTTTTTGAATATAGATATATTTTATAATATATATATTTTCTCTCAAGATGCTTTTATTAAATAATTGAAATAAATGGTTTAGGTTTAATGCAACAATTTCTTTTCCAAGACGTCATTCCAAACATTTTTTAAACAAAAGTTTTATCAGACTTGTTTGCCTATTCTTGCTGGTGCTTACCCCTTTACAGTACATTTGACAAATGTATAAAATACACACAGGCCAACAACCAAAAACAGTGAACTGACAAAAGAGCCAAAACCAGCAAGACAGGCAGACCACAATGATCAGAAATGATCGAGGTACTGGTTTAAATTTGAAAAAAAAAGTCAAATAAGCTAAACAAATATTACATTCAGAACACTTGAATTATCTTAATATTGAAAGGACAAACTGAACATCTCTATTAAATTTTTTATACAATTATATTAAGAAATAAAAACTGGAACTCCACATAAATATGTAATATGAATACAGAAATTACAATTGTCATGGCTATATTAATATTGTAAAACCTGCCATATCATCTATATCTCAATATTATCTATATTATATGCATACTTAAAATGTTTTCTGTGATTAACAACTACTTACATAAAGAAGCCGTAAAGCATCCATCGGCTATAAAAGATCAACTTTAGACTCAGCATCATGCTCAAGACAACGCATAAGCAATTGCTAATAGCAGGCGAAGGATCATGCCCAACAAACAGATACACGTGATTTTGCAAATCAATTTGCAACATGTTCATATTTACTTTTATATCATAAAATTTAAATAGAATAAAAAACCATTCAATGGCAAAAAAGTGTCAAATATTTCATACAAAAGTACTAACTTCTATTAATGGTAATAGAAATCATTTTAGAAAGTTTTGTGTGATGATTATTATATAAAATATTACTAACAATTAGCGAACAATATTTTGTTTAAATTCAATAAGACCTATTAGAATAATATAGCTACATTGTTCGTTATTTTCAAACTATACCGTGAGTAAATTTTTTTTCAATTAGCAAGAAAATTTTGAATATATATGTATATGTGTGTGGGTGAGTGTGTGTGTGTATGTGTATGTTCAATAAAAATATTCATACAACCATGCAAGAGAGAATGGTTAAAACTGTGAGCAGAAATTACCTGTAGGTGTTGGCATAACACCATCCTTGAGCAAACCCTCCTTGTATTCCTTGACTAGCCTTCTCTGCAGTGGCGTGCCAGGTAATTCTATAGATAACATACACTCACAACACTTATATACCTAAATGGTTGTAAAACAAAGCATACTTGTCATGTGTTTAACAATATTTAAAAAATTACGATATTCATCACACTGACTTAATATCGAACGAGTCTTGACCCAGTATATCATTAAACACATGACAAATAAGCTATTATATATAAAGAAATGTCTATTTTTCCACACAGATAAGCACTAGAAACAAAAATGGTTTAATTTTTAGTTTAGTTACAAGTAGAACAAATTACTTAGTTGATCAATTAAACTAAAGTCATTTTGTGATGAGTTGTTAGAAAGTTATCTTAAAAAAGTATATTTATTAAACTGGATAGAGTAAGACAAACGCTAACTCTGTGATAAGAAGAAAAATCTGAGAAAACAGTCACAGTAATGAGGGGCCACTCAAGCAATTCAGAAAAGCAAGGACCTCAGATTGAGACCTTATTGCACGTTTTTCTTCCCCACAAGGATCCAATTTTCCGATGTTTGAAAACAACAGAATTCTATATGATTGCACTTTAGAGAAATGTTGGTTAACTAACCAAACTAACAACAAAACTGACTCGCCCTGCACAACATGAGCATGTTTTTTTGTTTTTTTTTTTGGACAACACCAGAGGTAATATAAACCCTCAGGGTGCTGGTGTTTTTGAAAAAAAGCCCATTTGTAAGTATGTCGGGTTCGAATGCAGGGCCGCTGGATTCGAACCAGGGACCTTTACCTTACAGTGATGAGCGCCGTGTCAACGTCTAAACCATTGTGGCTACCAATACCCCCCCTCTGTTTTTATTAATACTCGTTTTATATAAAACCAGAAAAATGCCCATTTTTATTGATTATCTAAATATAAAAATTTGTTTCAATACCCAATAAATGTACAGTCGCTTCGATAATTCGAAATTCAAGTGAGCACAAAAATAATTTGAATTATGTTCGAATTATCAAGAGGAAAGGAAAAAATGTTAAGAGTTGATGTGCATTTTTCCAAGTACTTAATTAAACTGTACATGTATAAAACATCATAAAAATAATGAACAAGCGTTAATAGATCAACTGTAAAATTGAGCATTGCTAAAAAAAATTGTGAAGTGGTTTTTGTTTCAATTTTGCCCAGCGTCCTTTGTTTAAATGATTTTCCAGTGACCAATGCTGAGAGCAATTGTCAAAATACTAACCGAACATAACAAACTTGAGAAAATTCAATGAAACTTTAAGCTATAAGGACAAACAAATTGTATAAATTTGGAGGATTATTACAAAGAATAAGTTCGAATAATAAAGAGGGGAAGTGGATCCATTTTGACTGATAGCATCCCCCTGTTACAAAAAATATTTTGTAATACAGAGCGTATCAAAATACACAGAATTATTTCGATTACCAAAGTGACCTGCTGAGGAGTTCGTATTATTATGGTAAATCATAAAATTTGAATTATCAAATTTTGAATTAACAAGAGTTGACTGTATTTGTAAAATACTTATGTCTTTCATTTCAATAACATCTGTCTGTTCCTTACAATAAATAACACCAACAGAGGAAAGACCAGTTGAAAAGAAATAATTTTTCAAAAAAAGCTATAAATTTGCCAATTGGGGAATGGGTAAAAAGAGAGAATAAGAAAGGTCCAGTACAGGTCAATAACGGCTGATTCGCCGCCCCGCGCTGAACATGTTAATAAATCAGACTGGTTTTACTGCTTGCTTCCGCATTATTGCATTTATTTGGCTAATCTCATGACTCAGCCCTAATTAGTCCGGACTACCGGAACTCTACTACTGTTTGAAAATAATTCTTAAAAAAATCTGTTTTATGTTGTTTATATGTTAACTATCAAAAATGTGTTCATATTTCAGGTTTTTTTTTTAATGTGTGGTGATTAATCTCAGGACAGCCCTAATTAGTCCGTACTACCGGAACTCTACTATTGTTTGAAAATAATTCTAAAAAAAATCTGTTTTATGTTGTTTATATGTTAACTGTCAAAAATGTGTTCATATTTCAGGTTTTTTAAAGTGACTGTTAGTCGATGATTATTCAGAAATTGTGAGATGTGGTCTGGTGTGATGTACGTTTCAGAAAAACATTTTCTTTATCGTGCCAACGTTTCGATCTTTATTGAGATCATCTTCAGGACCTGGGATTTACAAACATTGTTTAAATTTAACAAAAACATGTAGGATGTGGAAAAAAGTGAATTTATACAATGCAAAAAAATATTTAAAAAAAAAATAAATAAATAATTTTTTTTTCACTGTATAAATTAATTTTTTCACATCCTAAATGTATATGTAAAATTTAAACAATGTTTATAAATCCCAGGCCCAGAAGATGATCTCAATAAAGATCGAAATAACGCACGATAAAGAAAATGTTTTTCTGAAACCTACATCACACCACACCAGACCGCACCTCACAATTTCTGAATAATCTTTTTTTTTAATTAATTAAATATAATTTAATCATGTTTTTATACCAATCAAATTATTTAAAGGATTATTTTACAAAATTGATTCATTTAAATATATGAAAGTTTTATAAATAAACTCAATACCTGAAGAGAGATGGCAAAAGCTCCATTAATTTACAAGTATACAAAAAATACATACAATTCCTGAACCATTAATGCTAATAACAAGCAAACTAAGCTTACAACAGCTGGGGAATTTGGGTTAGAGCTTCCAATATGTACAAATACCAAAACCATAATCAAACAAAATTTCACTTATAACAATAATTAATCGATAATAATTAAACTTGCAATGTTTTACAAAAATCTAATGTTTTTTCACTTGCATACTATAACACAGAATTATACGTAATTCAATTTTTGACTTACCATTTGCGTTGGTGTCGATTGGTTCGATGTTGTCTGAATGAGCCGTTTCATTCGGCGGCTCGGCTGGAGGGAGGGTAGAAGCGTCTTCGCTACCTGTAGCGCAACTCACGAATGTTATTTTTCCGATTCCAGCTTGTTCTGTTTCTTTTTTCTTCTCCTCTTCCCCTTCATTTTCTTTTTCGATATCTTCGCAATTCTCTTCCTTTGGAGAATCGGGTTCACTGGTTCTCACATCCTGTGGTTCATCCTCGGATGGATAATCACCCTCGCAGGCCCCTAAAATAAGATATTCAAGTTTATGAAAAAAAAAAAAAAAAACTTGAATAAAAAAAACTTACCAGGTACACTAGCTATACAAAGGATATAAGACTGGCAAACTCTAAATGCTAAAAGTATATCAGCAGGGTTATTAGCTTCTATCACAGTGACGTGACTATTGGACCTGGCACTCGTACAGATCCAAACTAGGGAAGACAGTTGTTCTTGGCTTTCTTTCCTCTGCCTTTCACCTTCCTGGAAAATCAATAAAAATTAAAAAATGTGTAAAGAATATTTTTAAGTTTAAATAAATTACTTCTATGTCTTTTTCTAACTGTTCCACCGGGCTTGAAATTGGTTCATCTTTGGTAGTTTCACACTCGTTGTTAAGGGATTTACTGTAAAATACACTAGCACCAACGATTTCACCACCATCCTGAGTACGCCCACCTGCAAGGTTGACTCCAGTTGCACACCAAACCTGAATATAAAAATAATAAATAATAACTGCAGAACACTTACAGTATTATTCTTACTTTTAAAATGAACATATATAACAACTATTTTAATAAGTAATACTAAAAAAATAAAATTTGAAAATTGAAATTTTTTTTACTAATGGACTTGTACATAACATAGTTCAATTTTTGTCTAATTTGGAAAAATATAACTGTTAGTGATTTAAAAAAAATCCATGATCACAGCCAGTCTCTGGTGGCTTGCACAATAAAACCGATTTAATCAAATTTAATTGATTTTAATCTTGTTTATTTACACGAAACTAAAATACATTTGCTGTCATTAAAATTGTACAGTGCTCAAAAAATTCGTAAGTTCCATACAACCCGTGATGAGCAAGGAGCACACCATATCCTAGAAACACTGCTATTATTCTTTTTTTTTTTTTTTTTTTGTAAATTTATGTAGTGCCACCTATTCAAGCTAGATGAAGCTAAGTTTTTTTTATCATTCTTTGATACAGCAATTAAAAAAAAAAAAAAAAAAAAAAATTCAAGCTATAGGCAAACCTTATTTCATTTTTATCACCACTATTAATTATTTATTATTGGAACATTTTGCTACAAGATAAAATACTACACATGCCCATTACTATGTAGCTATTTTTGTGATTTTTTTTTTTATTGGAAAAAATAAAAGAATTATGAAATTTATTAAAATTAAAATTCTAGCAATTGGAAGCAAAGTTTTATATTTTTTGATCCACTAGTCATGAAAAAGTATATATTTTCAAGCTATGGGCAAACCTTCATTCCGTCTTCTTTTTCCATTAGAGGACGACAGTATACTGGGACCGGGACTGGAACTTGTGGCGTTCCCGTGTTTTGAGGTTTGGGTGGTGTTGTTCCACTTTTAGCGGGAAGGGACCATCCGTACGCGTGAAGCCTACCGTCGTCCTTGCGCACATGGGCTTGTACAGACCTCAATTGTTCTCTACGTTCGCCTGCTCTCTTTGCTTGTATCTTCTCAAAATTTCTGCACAATTTTTTTCAAGGGCAAAATTCAGATAAACAAAAGAAAAAAATTTATATCGTAACGAAGATGCCATGTTTTAAGGATTCGGGGCCAACAACTAAAGACCATTAAATAAAAACGATTTATTTAAATAAAAATTTGGCAAACATTCGAATTTGGTTAACTTTTTTTTCGTGTCTTAACTTTGTGTTAAAAATTAACACAAACAACAACAAACTAGTATTCACAAATTGATATATGGACGAAAAGTATTGTCTCAAATTAGTCTCATTGCTGGCCTCGATTCGATGAGAAGAAAAACCGCAAAAGTTTCAAGTCCCCGCCTTCTCAATCCTGCAACCATAATCAGAAATGTTAAAAATTTAATATTCCTCCTCCTTAATGAAAAAGAAAGTATATATAAAATAAAAAATTTCTGATTCAGTGTAGAATGAGAATGCTGGACTCCAAAATATTTAGAAATAAAAATCAAATCAAAATATAAGTCGAAAGAAAAGGATAAAAGCATTCACGAAGGCAGAAATATTTTAAAAATTTTTGTAAAAAAAATGCAACATTCCTCAAAATTTAAAATAAAAAGAATAGAAAAAAGCCAAAATAATAATCAATAAAAAAGTTAAAACTGTACAAATACTAACAATTCCCCTGAGTCGGATAACTCAAGGCCTCTTTTCCTTTCGTGAAGAGATTTTTTCCTCATTGTGTCTAATGCAGGGCTTATGTGTCGAGTGGGTTTATTATACCTTAAACCAATTGTGGAGTGATGATTTCTCGCAGTAACTATTTCTCGGTCATTACTGCTAAAAAGACTGCTGAAGCTATTTTAAAACAACAATTCGCATTATTAGAAGGGTAAATTTTAAAACCTGGATTGCAGTAATTAATGTTAACTTACAACTTCCAGACACTCTGTTTGCTCTTTTTGTCAAGGTCGGTTTCATTGTTTCGCGACGCTCTCATCATTTCAGTGAACCGGACTGCTTCTTGAAGTTCCATGAATCTCTCTTTGTATTGATTTCTTTCCATAAGTACTCTTGCCATTTCGACCCTCGTGAACCTCTTTCTCTGCGCCATCGGAACATCCTCCTTAAAGAAACCCAAAAGTATAAATTATATAAAGAAATTAAAGATGGAAATTTAGGCTGAATTTCACACCTCATCATCCGATTTATTAGATTTAGCTTGCTTTTCCGCTTCTTCTTTAACTCTCTTCAATTCCTCTTCCTTTTCAGCTAACCGTTGCTGAAGTTGAGCATTTTCCGTTTTTAACAATTTTTTCTCTTCACGTAGAATTTCTTGTTCACTAAACACAAATTTGTTTCAGGTTTTTTTTTTTATAGTACAAAACGAATTTTTTTTCTCAACACAGTAATTGGCACACAATACCTGGTAAGTTCATCAACTTTAATAATGAGATCATCTTTCACAATGTTAAGAGCATTCCTGAAAAAATTAGTTTTTAAGCAGTTAGTCACGGGTGTGATGTTATAGTCATAATTTTGCACAGCATTTTACAATTCCAGCAGAGCAAATACACAACAAATAATAAATTAAACATAATTTAACAACAACAATCTAATTTGCTTTTATTTATTCTTACTTTGTAGCAAGAAGTTCATTGTTCTCCATAATTAAATTTTCTACTTCTTTGCCCATTCCTGCAAAATATCAAATAATAGTTTTAAAATAAGAACTTCAAATTATTAATAAATAGAATTTGTTTATCCATTTCATGTTAAAGGGTGCAAAAGTATTATTAGTAAAATGTTAATTCATATTTCATTGCCACTTAAAGCGCCATGGGACCCTCTGAATACCTCACCTTCGGCCAAAATGAGATTTTTGATTTCTTAACATTTTTAGGGTGTAAATGAACACAAGCATGATCTTTGTTTGTTTCCGCAACAACAAATGTACCAATTTTTCCAAAAATGTTAGTGGTTCCATGGAGGCATGAGGGGCTGATTTTTTAAATGTTCTTCTCCTGGCGCCAAGCAGCCCCACCTCGGTGACCCACCTGAGATAAAGATTGTAGGGATTGTGATCACGTGACTTAGGAATAAGATCAAAAAAATCTCATATAAAATACAATACTGCGGATTATAATTACTAGATGATACTAATTGCAAAAATTGGATCTACGCTGAGGATAATTTAGCCTTAATAAAAATTTTAAAAAATTTCACTTGAAAAAATCTCATGGACTAATGTGTTCAGGGTTTCATTCCAGAACAAAGCGGTCAAAAATGCGTTAAATGCATGAGAAAAGCGGTACTGTTACTGGAAGATGATCCCGACCATCCCGGGGACTGCTGTGGCATGAGGGTGAGGGTGAGGGTGGGTCCACTGGCGCTTTAAATGTTGACAAGGAAGAAAAGATATCTGTAAATGTCCTGTAATAATATACTCAATAAATAATTATTAAAAGGATGTTTGAAAATGAATGTATATTTTTACAGAATATAACAAGAACTACATGTGCTATTTTGTTTAATAATTTAAATATTAACTTCTTATTTAATAATTAGTTTTCAAATAAATGTAAAAATTGTTGAATAAGTAAAATAAGATCAATAAACAGAACTATTTCCAAAATAAATTAGCACAAAATATTAAGCAATAAAATTTTCCAATAAAAACTTTTCAAATAAAATATAATTTTGTTTATTTATTTTGTATGTAATGCACTTTTTAAAATGTTTTAATATTAATTAAACAATTAAAAAATATAACAAATAAAAACTTAATAAATCGGGATATAGATTTATGAATACAAAAATGGCTTACCAAAAAAATTGTCATTAACTGTTGATCACCACATGATGAAGCAGACACATATAAAGAAAATATTAGCCTCAGTTAGTAAGAATTAATAAAAGGCAAATTTTGCATACATTTTAAGCCAATTTGATCGGTTTTTAATGTTTTTCATATTGGATCAAATTGGCTTACAGGAAGTTAATAAATATATACAGATTATTAATGAAATGAAACTGTTCTGTAAATCTTTACGTTCACTATCAACAGTAAAGAAATTAATTTATTTACAAAAAAAAGAAGACGTTTTACCTCTTCCTGTAGCACTGAGTTTACTTTTATCAGTTTTAGATTTTGTTAAAAATCTTGGCACTAATGTATTTATTAATAAAATATTAAGCATGTATAGTTAAGTTGTTAAAACTATAAAATAAAAGATGCATCTGCTGAAAGTTTTTTTTTATAACTAATTTTGCAAGAAATAGTGAATATTCACATTAAGACCCACCGCACACGACAGACTGTTAGGCTGACTGTTTAGGCGGTTGATTATAAATAATATTAAGTCTTAAAGATGATACATACCTGACTGAACAGTGAATAAGCTGCCCGATTGCCTTCTAACTAAAAAGTTAGAACTGTTCATTCATGGCATACTCTTCAAGGGCACATATTTTTTTTCTTTTAAAATTAGTCATGGATTGTTTGAGATACAATTTTTTTATAGTTTTAAAAGTCTGTAGTGTGTGGTGACGCTAAATTTGCATTATTCATCGTTTAAAACAAGGAAAAGTACAATCATTTTGGCCAATTTAAATAAAATAAACTAATAAAAATCTTACATTATAGGACAGTTTGTAAAATTATAAATTATTAGACATTATAGGAACATTTTAACTTGTCCAGGCAAAGAAAAATATTTGTACTTTCTTGTTTGTTTTCTTTTTATATTATATTACTTTTTTTTTAAAAAGAGAGAACAAAGCATTTTATTCCATGCAAAATAATAAAATTACTTATAGTAGCTTGCATGCAACTTTGAAAAAAAAAAAAAAAACTATATGAAAAGAAATATAAATAAAAGAAAGTGCATACCGGAAGTATTATCTAGCTCGCTTTCTGAGTCTGGTATTTTCAGGATAACACATGCAACAAAATAGATGCATAAGGGATCTATTTATCAAGCTATAAAACATACCATAAATTATGACTGAAAAGCATCTATTCATTATGTAAAAATATTGACGTGAAAAAGTTGTCTTAAAACAAATTTTACTTTTATGTTTAAAAAAAACTGTTTTATTCTAGACCTATATTTACTGTGCTATGTAAATTACTTTTTAAATCATTAAATTTGTAGATTAACAAATAATTATATTAAATTTAATTGCAACATTAGTAATTATTGCCTTTAAGCAAGCAAAGCAAATTTTATTTTAAAACCCTAACCCTACGCACACACCAATTTTACTCAGCTATTTACACAAGGGATTGACTAAATTAAATAAAGCCAGGTGCATGAAGATTGTTAAAAAAGCATTTGAAATAAATAAAAGTTAGTGCAAAAATAAAATAAAAAATTGGAAGTAAAGAAAATTGGATTTAAGCTTGAGTACAGACCAGATGATGCATATTCTCCTGGGTGGACCCATCCGCCTGCACAAGTCATTTTTTTTATTTAAATATCATAAGCTTTTAAAACAATATACAAAGTTTGAAGGAATGAAAAAATAAAAAATACATCAAATTTGATTATAAAAATTAATTAATTCTGTGAAAACATGTGAAAATACAAAGTTTATATGTTTGGTCAATTTAATTATGTATCACTTACAACACATAATTAGAGTTTTATATAATAAAAATATTATATAAAAATATGTCATGCAAATACCAGACTCCCAACTGGATTTTTACACTTTTATCTTAACTAAATTTAAGCTTTGCAGTGTTCACCTGTGTAAAACAATTAAATATCTCTTGGCATTTTTTTTAAACAAGTGTAATGGTGAATTTCAAAACAAATAATGGACTTATTCGGGCCAATTCAGCTGCACAGAAATAAGCAACAAATTCCAACATTGCACCACACCAATTCTAGATATTCCAACAAATTTGTTTAACCACAAAAAAAAACCTTTAAAATGTATATAAATAAGTCAACGAATAACAATGGATTATTTTTCATTAACTAATGTGATTTACAATGAATAGGATAAATGGTAAAAAAGTCATTTTTAATCAAATCTATTGTGGGGTAGATTCAAGTAATTATATTTTCAGAGCAACAGGAAATATTCGAATTAAATTCAATATTTTTTTCCAGCCCTTTTGACATTTGAAATTATATTTTGGTAAATTAAAAAGTTCAGCTTTGAAACGACATCGCAAAATAAAAGAACTTGAAACAATACCTGTGATGTCAGCACCTTCGTCCATTTCGCCTAAAGCTTCTGCGTCTTGGAAACTAAGCTCCTGATAGAGAGTGTTTGCACTTCTCTGTTCTCTGTAAAAAACACAAATTAATTTTTTTTTAATATTTCGATTAAGTGAAATAGAATATTTACTTTTTTGTTGTACTCCTTCCGACTGGTGTGGTTATCACAGGCGGGGGCGGACACTCCTCCGAACTATCGGGCGAAGGGTCTTTCGATCCGGGACTTAATGCTTCTGACCAGCCTTTTTCTGATACTTCTCGTAATGAGGTATCGTCTTCTGTATTTTCGATTACTTCCTAAAATTTAAGTTTTTTTTTTAATAGATGATTATTGAGTAGGCTTCGTCTTTCACTTACTAATTCATTCCTAAGACTAGCAGTAGAGTGGTTGCTCTCCGGTGGTGAGGAGGGTATTGTTGGGAATTCACCCGGACTTCCTGCACCTCGTACGATGCTTGGCATGGTATTGTTTTCTAATGATTGGAAACCAAATGAAACTGGCCCAGATGATCTATCAACAAGAAAAAAAATTGTAAAAATGTATTCGATTATGATACAAAAAGAATATTTAAGAATTGGAACATTTCTAAGTAATATAAAATATATAAAACTATATAAAGCCAGATTCTTAATTAATTAAGGATCGTCATCTATTGGCGCTTATCTTAGATGTGGGTCATGACTCCTCTATTTTTTTTTTTTTTTTTCATCAGTCCTTGTTTCTTGTAATCACCGTCTAGTTACAAATCTGAAGGATACCTCTTGTTTTTGGGCTACTCAATTTTCCAATCTTCTGATTCTTATCTTAGATTAGGGAAATTCTTGTAATTGTAAAAAAAAATTTATAGTAAAGGTTCCAACCCTCCAACCCATCATCCACAAACTCCTTGTTGGACAATAAACCCTCCTATTTGACAGGAATTATTTAAATTTATCTGCTTATTGTACCCTCTTTTACTTTACCATATAAGGCATATTTCTTTAAGTTTTCAAATGTGAACTCGCCCCCTTTACGTTTCTTGCTGATACAGAATGCCATTAAGTATAAGATAGACTACCCTAAATGACCTACAGGTTCATCACTCCTCAGACATCGAGAAGAAATCACACAATTAAACTTTTCAGAATGGGAAAGAGTTCGTACCTGTTCATATGAGAGAACGGGAGAGTGGGCATACGCTGCCTTGTCTGTCCGTCCATCCTGTCTCCAGTCCCCATGAGTATTTTAGTCCTTTCTAGGTGGTCCATGTGAGTCTTGAACAACTCTGTGTACCGTTCGTGTAATTTTGAATATTCCTTCTTCATCTCCTGCTCCTTTTCTTCCAACCGATAAACTACAGAGGAGTATTAACAATTTAATTATTTTTAAAAAAACTAAAAGAAATGAGGGTAATAGTGTGGAATGTCTGTTATTACCATGATCTGAAGAGTTTTTTGCCTTGAGCTCTAACATTCGAACGATTGACTCGAGGCTTTCAATTTTACTTCCCTTTTCTTTCCTCTCTGCTTCGATAAGATCCTCCACCTCCAAAAGTTTCTAAAAATATAACAATATTGTTAGAATTATACATTAAATTTAACAAAAAAAATAGTTAATATAAATTAATTGTAAACCCATTCTTTGTTATTGAACTATAAGTTGAATTTAATTATTCTTTTTATGTAAGGTCTTGGTTGAAATGAAAAGTTGAATGTTATTTTTATAAAACTGATTGAAATAATTATGTATTCAAATTATGTATTCAAATAAAAATTTATTTTCTAATAAAATATTAAACTTTATTTATCCTCTGAAATTTGCTTTTCATTTGAGATCATGATCATTTTTGTCTTTTGCATTGAATAAGCTTTGTCAAAAAGAAATGTCAGCATTCATTGTAATAATATAATAAAAATTCTAATTAAAGGTATAATAACTGGTATTTTAACTACTAAACAGTAAAGTTTATGAACAGCAAAAACCAAATAAATGATAAAATTGGTCCGTTAAAATTAAGTTTGTTTATTAACAAATCACCCTCTTCTATAGATGAACATATCAACTGCAAAATTGTGATAGTTTCTCCATGTAAAAATTAGTTGTATTTATTTATTTGAAGTTAATAAGCTTTCTATTGAAGACTGAAATTAACCAAATGGTTGACAAATCATTCTATTAGAATATAATCTATTGTACAAGGGCAAATATGCAAACAGTGGCCCTGGAGAGTCAAAAAGTGGATAATTCTCACTATACCAGCAGAAACATGATTCAAAAAATAATATCATAGTGAAATAAAATAGGTGTTGTAAAATTTTAAAAACAAATTAATAGAAAATCAGCAGACACGTAATGCAACTTGTAATTAAATTGAATAGGTCATTTTCCTCTTATTTAGTTATAGTTGTTTTATAATTTAATTATTAATGAAATTAAAATGATACAAGGAATTTTTTAAATTGACATTTTAACAGATTATTGAGAATATAATATTTCCAGTTTAACGTTAAAAAGTTTTTATACTGTAAGTTCATTTATTCCTTAAATTTCAAGAATTATAAGGTTTTGAGTATTAAAGCATGAAGAAAAAATTGAAAACAGGGCACTGAAATATAGAAATAATGGTATTTATTCAGTAACAAATCCCTTTATGAAGCCAAGCCGCAACTTCTATATTTAGCTGTATATGTTAACAAGTAATTTATATAATCAATAAATGTAAAATACAATTTATTTATATTTAAAAAAAAATAAATAAATAAAAGGTTCCTACCAACAAAAAAGTAAATTAAAAAAACTCTAATTGTTTTTATTCAATTATTGAAAAAACATCAAACTTACCTACTGAATAACTACCAATAAAAATGTTATTTTCGATCTTGTAAGCATTAAAAAAAAATTTTCATAAAAAAACCCAGATATGTTCTTTCACTTACACATTTGACTATTTATGTCCTAGCTCAATATCTTTTGATTGGATTTAATTAGCTTTGTAAACTTTGATAAAGATTTTGTCAATGGAATAATCGCAATGTAAAGCGTACAAATTGCCATCGATAGATACAATCTTCCTTGTTGGTTCCTGACTTTCTATTGAGATAATTTTATCGAGAAAAATGAATGTTTCTTTTCTTTCTGTTATGCTCCATGTTATATTTATTGGTCTTGCTTGAGGAAATTCATGTTTTGAAATATATTTCAATACACAAAAATTTTTTATTAATAAAATCTTCTTTTTTTTGTATATTATAGAAACAGGCATAATTTTTATTCTCTCCCTGGCAAATTCTTTAAATAATGTACTGAATATAAGAACACAAAATGTATCTTTACAAATTTAATTTAGCTTTATCAGCAGGCCATAAAATTACTATCCTTTCCATTACTACAACATAACTCATACTTTGACAATATTCAATCAGCTGTTGAATTATATCTAGGTCTTATTCAAGTAATGCTAGAGTGCCACCAGGAAGTGTCATACATTTCAGGCGTATATGCACAACTTCCCTGTTCAATTGTTAATGATTTTTCAATATGAATAAGGTAGATGTGAGTTGTCTGAGATGTTGAATAGGGAATGCAATTGGGATATGGTTAGATTCAAAGTTCACAAGGAATATACAGCAAATTAGAATCTTTCAGGAATAATCTGTGATTCAGCCTGTGATTCTTGGGCTAGAAGGGTCCAAACAATCTAAAAAAGAGTATATACATAGTACCGAAACTAAACATCATTTTCGGCTCAGCTGCCACTTCAACGAACTTCTTCATCAACTTAGCGTTTCATCATTCAAATCGAGACTTCTCCAGCGATGAGAGCATAGACGCCTTAAGACGCTTCACTCGTTGAATAAAATCAAACTGTATCATTTTTATAACCAATGTTTCCAATCGTTCTAGACTGCCCATCCTTGCTGTTTTGATATTCTTTGCTAAAGATAGTAACAATAAGGATAGTCAGACCCAGCAGGATAATGGGAAACGACAAAAATGTATATCCATAACCGCATTTGACCTAAAGGAGAATTTTTATTGATTCACATTCTTCTTTTCCAAGATTTTCATTTGTTATACTGTCTTAGAATAACTTGTACATAGGAGCCTACCATTGGGCAGTGATATCAAAAATAATAATATAATGTTCAAAAGCAGACAGGATGTACAAAACATCAATAAAGTTGTGAGATTTCCATTCTGCGAGGTGACGAACCTGATATTTGGTCCTTACTGACCATCAAGATCAATTTATCCTCAGTGGGTTGGTTTTCACCATCTTCAGTGTGTCTTAATGCCTGCACATGCTACTTGAATATAACAAAATGCTAATATGTCTGACAGAGCAACACAGCAAGACAGGCAGACCAAGGTGATCAATAACGTTTGTAAAATTCAGAAGAGATTCAACCACTGAACCCAGGCCTACTAATCAAGTTTCTTGTTGAACTAGGATTCAGTATGCTATATGTGCAGAATATGAATACAAAAGCTTTTAACAGACGCAGTAATACACACACCGACAAATAATCTTCATCCGATGACCATTTACCCGATGCTCACTCAATTTCACTGACCAATCTTCACTTCACACATTTAAAAGAAACTAATCAATTATATAAAAAGACTCATTTATTAAAGATCTTTTATTTAGGCCCTACTGAGTGTAAAGCCTATTAATATTTCCGTTTTAATACAAACAACCATTTATGTTTAGTTGTCTAATTGACAATATTATTTCAATTAATTATTCTTTTTATGCAAGGTCTTGGTTGAGATGAAAAAGTTAGTAGTAAGAACCAAGACCTTACATAAAAAGAATAATTAATTGAAATAATTTACATGGTCAATTAGGCAACTAAACATAAATGGATTAATTATACAACAAGTAAAGAAGTATCACTTCACTAACAGCTCCCCGTGGCCACTTCATAAATTGCTGAGAATTGAATCCTGATTACACATTTGAAAAATGACACAAAATAGGGAAAATTTGCAAGCTTGTACATTGAGAATGGCAGTTGGTGTCCGAGTGGATCGAAGTCACGATAGATCAAGTGGTGCATATTGAACCAAAGATCATAGGTTCGAATCCAGCTTGTGACACTAACTTTTTCACAACCAAGACTGTAGATAAAAAGAATTGATTCAATACATTCGGTATTAAACTGATCATATAAAACTCAATGGCTGTTTAACAGGGCATAACGTATGCTTAAGTAGTTCATTCGGCTGTCCTTGAATTTTTATTTTTTTCAGGCCGCTACAGACTGAATTTGAACTCATTCAAAAAAGCAAATTTCAAAATCGATTATATTTTTATGTCAAACTGAGTATTTAACTGATTATGTTATTTATTGAATAAACTTTTAATGGAGAGGGTTCTTAGCAGTGTACTTCTGTTTAAATAGGTTCATGAAGCTGATACGCCACGGTTATTTAATAATAAATTAATACGTATCATGACTTAAAATAACTCAGATTCTAGTTTGATTCTTTTTTTTAATCTTTGTTGTTTTAAAGGTTTCAGCTGAATTTCACAGTTGTAAATATTGACGGAGCAAATCAAAGGTTATCAATGAATCATGTTCTTTGACGTTATCAATGAATCATGTCTTCCACTCATCCGCGACCCTTTCTCCACGATTGATGCGAGTGTGCTGAAGATGTCAACACGAGTCGTAAGATAAAAATATGAAATTAAAATCCTTTGTTTTTTGTTTGATTTCCAGGTGAAAATCAATGCAGACTTACTTGATCCGATGCTTTCCTTAATTGTTTTTCCCTTTCGTACTGTGTCACCAGCTGTTCGTTGTCCTCCCTGAGTAGTTCCAGTTCGACCTGGTGCTCTTGGTTTTCCGAGTAGGAAAGGTCCAAGGACTCGAGAACGTTGACGACTAGCGGCATCAGGTCTTTGACGACGTTCTCGTCGTATTTTTCTATCATCTTTTCCAACTCTTGGTAAATAGAACCAGCCAGGGCCTGGACCCTGTCCGACATGACGACGTGGGAATCCTCGTGGGTCCCGTAGACGATCTCCTCCTCCATCTCGAGAAGTCTTGGACACCGGTTCGACAAAAAGTATTCCTCGGAAGAATTACCGGACGGTCATAATTATAAGAAATAAAGGGATGGTTGACGTTACCCTTCTGCCATCTTCGAGTTTGCAAACTAGACTGCGGAGCACTGCCACCCCTATCATACTTACCTGTCAAGTCGTACCAACAGACTGTGATTAGGTCGTGAATCGATTTCTATTCTGCCGCCGTTTTTTAAAATTTTTGGCCAATATTATTCAGACAAAAAACCAAATATTTTCAACATAGTAACCGCTTATTAACTACCAATAAACAAGGTAGTTGAGCGCATTATACTGAAAAATGTTTTATAGAACACGTTTTTAGAAAATAATATTTCAAATAAACAATATGGCTTTCATAGATCTTTTTTTTGCATTGACCTATTGTCCTCAACCATGTGAATAATTGTTTTATTGGTCATTTACAGCACTCACAAACTACAACCAGTTTGTTTTATAAAATCGATCAAAGCCCTATAAACGATGAAGTTTTCTGTATATATATTAAAAAAATTTAATTACTGCAATTTTGCATTGATCTATCATACGGGAAAGAGTCTTTTTTACCTTTCCAAATTTTAAAAAGCTTAAATTATAGTTTACAATACTTTTAATATGTGTTTACACAGGAGGAAAGTATCAAAGTATTACTACTCACACACAGTGTTCGTTTTCTGCGTAATTGTACCATTCTTGCGTGACGTGTTGAGTGCCAGTGACACGACACGCAAGAATGGCACAATTACGCAGAAAACAACACTGAGTAGAAATACTTTGATTGAATATAAAATTTTCTAGCATTGTATACATTTATTTTTTCCACATCCTACATGTATTTTTTGAATTTAAACAATGTTTGTAAATCCCAGGCACTGAAGATGATCTCAGTAAAAATCGAAATGTTGGCACAATAAAGAAAATGTTTTTCTGAAACCTACATCACACCAGACCGCATCTCACGATTTCTGAATAATCAGAAAATATTATTGTTTATTTGAAATTTTTTTTTTTTTTTGTGTGTTGACCTATTGACCTCAACCATGTGAATAATTGTTTTATTGGTCATTTACAGCATTCACAAACTACACCCAGTTTGTTTTATAAAATCGATCAAAGCCCTATAACGCTGAAGTTGCCATAAAGAAAATGTTTTTCTGAAACCTACATCACACCAGACCGCAACTCACGATTTCTGAATAGTCATAGAAAATATTATTGTTTCAAATAAACAATATGGCTTTCGTAAACAATTTTTTTTTTTTGCATTGACCTATTGTCCTCATCCATGTGAATAATTGTTTTATTGGTCATTTACAGCATTCACAAACTACAACCAGCTTGTTTTATAAAATCAACCAAAGCCCTATAAATGCTGAAGCTTTCTGTTCACAAACCCCAAGATTTTAGACCATTTAATCTCAGGGAGTGATTTGGTTGTCCTCTCCTTCAAAGATTTCAAATCTAGACCTAGCATCCTATCATACTCTGCGAGGTAGTGCCTTGCTGTTTCTTCTCTTATTTCGCAAAAACCGGCAAAAGGGATCTGGTAGAATACCCATTACGGAGAGGTGTCTTCTCAGTGGGCAGTGGCCCATCAGAATACCTATCAGCCTCCTAATTCCCTTCCTTGAAATAGAGAATAGCCATTTCGATTCTGCTGGTTTGATCACCTTAACAAACTCTTTCTATTGCCTGTGCCCGAGGGATAAATTCCACTCCCTAAGGAATTGTTTCATGCCCCAGTTATTAATATTCTCTTTTGCCGTGCTCATACAGTGTGAATAATTGTTTTATTGGTCATTTACAGCATTCACAAACTACAACATTTATTTTATAAAATCGACCAAAGCCCTATAAATGCCGAAGTTTTCTGTATATACTAAAAAATTTAAATTATTGCAATTTTGCATTGATCTATCATATGGAAATGTCTTTCTTACCTTTTCAAATTTCTTGCAGTACCATATGATGTTTCGCGTTTTCAACTTGGTTGCACACGTACACAGGTCACTGTCTTCATGTCGAAACATGTGTAGGTATGCTTTACAGATGGTTTGAACGTAGTTGGCCTATTGTGATAGTGCTGAACTGCTCAAACCTTTCTCTGGTGAATCAAGGTTGGGAACCAACCTTAGGGAAGATAGATTTATACCACTGTCCAGTGTTTGAATTTTTTTCGTAGGCATCGGTCTACCATAGCACAAATAGCTAGGGTGACTGACGTTGAACACAACTTTACCCTGAACTGTACTGCATACAAATTTTTTTTTTTTTTTTAATTAATTCAAGTGACTTTTCCCAAGTATCTAGTTCACTTTGTAAAAAGCTATTTAGACAATAGAAAACTCCATGTAGTGGCTGGTAATGCTGTATCACCAGTAAGATCTATTTCAGCTGGGGTACCCCAGGGATCCGTTCTGGGACCTATTTTATTTAACGTATTCATCAATGATTTAACCAAAACCATTGCCAATTATCTCTCCATTGTTCTCAAGAAATGCTTCAAATACTTTCATATTAAAAGGATTGTAAACTATAATTTAAGTTCACTACAATACAAAAGATACAAACATAAGAATTTTAAACCTATTCTGTTTTAAGGCAACTCTTAAATTTTTTTTTTTTCCTTTACAAATAAATAGTTCTTTTTAAATTGTACAACTTATTAGTCGAAAGTATGTAGGCAGGGAGCGAGCCTGAAACATCTATATCACACTGTACATATTTGTAAATAAATTATTCTTATTCTTATACTAACTACTAATGCTAATGCTCTGCTTAGTTTATATATCCACGCTTTGTTGCTTACACCTTTTTTTGTATTTTAAAGTTGTAAAATTCTTAAAAATTCTTGGGACAATTTTCTTCAAATTGAAAGCTGCAGAGAACAATCCCTTCAACTCATGGGAAAATAGTGGAAACAAACCACTTCCAACAAATTACCAAATATAAAAAAAGGCTGTTAAACCTTGGGAAACATCCTTCCAAACTTCCAGGAGTCGGATTACGTATAGGGCACAAATATATGACCAACAGGCACCTCATGGAAAAATCTATACCACCAACATGCCTTTGAGGTGATTAATTAGATGTATTACACATACTTGCATCCCCGACCTTTTGCTTGAGGTGGGCTCATTATCCCAAAATTCCCTGGACTATAAAAGAAATGTTAGGATTGAACAGAAAAAATTTATCTAGTGTTCGGAAGTCTAAAAATGAGAAACCTCTAAACTTTTGTATATTTCTAATAAACCATTGGTATCTTCAAGTTGATGAATATTTGAAGAATATGACAGTATAGATCCTTCAAAAATATGTAATTCTGATCAGGGTGATTAACGGTAGCTTGATCGGGAACCAACCATCTGCCATATCAAAATGATTGAAAACAACTAACTTTGCTTTTGTCAAAGGTTGCAATAACACTACTTTGTAAAAGTAATAATTAGCATAATCAGTGCACAGGAAAAATTAAAATCCAGAGATCAGCTCGTCAGTTCTTTGTAGGTGTAAAAGATAAAATAATCTTAAATCATAGCGTGATTTCACCTTGAATTCTACATTCTAAAACAAAATATCTTAAGATCTTAATATTAAAATCAAACAAAGGAGATTAAGTTTGCTTTTTTAAAGTAAAACATCCATTTTTCAACTTATTGTCAACTTCAATAGCAGATTTTCATTTTTTTTTTTTTTTTTCAATTAGATTAATTTCTTATACTTCATTTACCAACCTTTGTATTGGTTTATTAAAATTTTGCATTTTTCCCTTTCTAATCACTGAAGTTCAAGGAGTAATTTGCCTTCTATTGTCATGTCACACCTAAAACATATCTCTTGCATTAAGAAGGAAATTTAATAAATTGAAACAATGCAAAAAATAAATATAGCAATTATTTTATTATGGTTATTTCAATTTGATGCATACCATAGTTTCTACTCCTTGAGTCAAACATGTAACGACCATCAGTACTGAATTTTTTTCTTTACTAGGAAGTACGCACAGTAAAGGTCCCAAGAGGGTGCCAATCTTAAAAGCGATACATTTAAGCGATATATGAGATTTAAAACAACAGATTTCAATATTCTTAATGTTATTTTGAATATAAGAAAGAGATTATTTTACCTTGTTTACAAATTAGCGATATTTTTATTGTACTGATCAATCTCACAGCCATTTGTGTAGGCAGGTTTCAAAGCGAATCAACTGGTACTTCACATATATAATCAGCATAAATATATATAGCAAGTCAGCATAAAATGCAGTGATGTATGAGAAACAAAATGACGCTATCAGGGCATAGCCATAATTGTATCTTCTCGGATTTCCCTTTTCTTTTAAGACCAAGCCAATTCTAATACAAAATTTTCAGTTAATCGATCCATTCACTCAGTGAATACAACAGATTACCATTTTAAATTAAATAAGAGGGCAGAAATGTTAATTTTATCAGGGCAGGTGAAACAAAGAATACGTGTGGAAGTTTTAAGGCTGGCAAACTACAATAATCATCGCCAGCACTATTCTTTGAAATTCTATTATTTTCCTTCTCGCAGTGTATTCCTTTTGAATCATTTTTCTGATATTGCTGCCCAATTATATTCAAATCTATGATGTTGCCAACTTCTAGGCCTTGTCAGTCAATGATAAAATTTATATATGATAAACAGACAAACTTTACACATATAATGAAAGTATATTCATTTAAAAACAAATTAATCCGGTTAGCATTCATACTGTCATTTCTTGTGGTGATTGGGGAAGAAGTCCCACCATTCATGCTAATAAATTACATCATTTAGTACAAGGATACAAGTACGAATTATTTCTCATCTATCCTTTTTATTTAAGCCAATAAAAAGGAATAATAAATACAGTGTAAAATATTTATGGCTGTGGTGGTGGATCAGCGATAAATGCCCCAAGGTACCCTATACGTCATGTGGAATGTCTAAGTTCTTACTTCAACTCAATTCTTTACTATTTGTCATTATGCGCTTTTCAGTGATAAATTCCTGTCATAAAGGGCTTAATATCGAACTGTCCATTGGGTGTCCCGGATGAGGTGTCAAACTACTATACAATACATTCTCTCCATATTATTCACAGTTAAAATTCTATAGGCTATGCCGAGATTCGAACCCAGGACTACTAGGCAGGGTACATGGTCAGATGGGATGGCCTAACCACAGCCACCTGATCCCAGTATTTTACAGTGACAAATTCCATGTACGGCCTCACTCCATTAAGAAGACCCATTTGTGACCTCTGAGCAATCAGACATGACCTTTTCCTTTCTAGACTCCTAGATTTGTTTATTTCAGCCCAGCGAATTCTCCATGAATTTTTTATTGCAGTGACAACTGTTCTTTTATATCTGCTGGAAGCACAGCACCGATGAGGTTGTGTGATCTCTTGATTAACTTTACTCCCTTATCTACTTCTTCATTCTGGAACACACACAAAGATTTTCCCACTAACATTGATCGCTCTCAGCTGTTAATATATATATTTTTCTGATTAATGAATCTGTAGAGACTATTTCCTGAATTCTAGTACTGCTTCAATGAATTTTCTTCTTTTCTTTCAACGTTCCTAAGCACGTGGGATGGCCTTCAGCTCCACCTATAAACACATACTGAAGGAGGGAGGTACAAAAAATAAAGAATAGTCGGTTTTTGTTTACCAACTTGTTTTTTGTTTGTTTTTTTAATTAAATCAAAATATACATTACAAACAACTTGGTTTTATAGTTACAATTAATGTTCTTTGAAAAAATTAAAGGTTCTTTTTTGTGTTATATAATTTACTTAAAATTAGTTTAAACTATTTTCTATATTTAAATATGTATATATATGTAGGTACTGATGTTTCATTTAATATTCGATAAGGTTTAAAAATAGTCCTATTGTATTATATGTTGAGGCTCCTTTTTTTTCTCTCTAGAACAGCAATTTAGTAGAAAAAGCGTATTCATTCACACTTTATACACAGCAACCAGATGGGCCAAGGTCGTTTTTATATTTATCATATTGTTTAAATATAATTTCATTAAAATATATCTTGAAATGCTTAAAATATATAATTCTCTTAGAACTTTGAGACTAATAAGTCAATTATGTACGTAAAGTCAATTTACAAGAGATCTCATTTAAAGATATATACATATCTTTAAAGGATATCTATATATATATAAACTGGAACAAAAAAATTGTGAAAGATTCTTTTTTTTTTTTTTTTACAATTTCCAAACATCTATTAACAAGAAAGTTTAAAAAAAAAATTCAACAAAGATCAAACAAACACTTTACAATTATTTACAATATAACTTTTAAGTACCCGCTTACTGAAGTCATCGGTAGATAAACATGGGAAAAATTGAAAAGAAAAAACAGTAGAACACTGAGATATTTTCGTACAGGGAACAATGAGAAAAACACCACCAATGTTTAAATTAGTCATGAAAGCTCATAACTATTTGATGATCTACTGTATAATTGTTTTTCATCCTGTGTATAAAATAAGTGAACACTTATTTAATATAATAAATGTAACATATTAGACAACAATGTATAAATTGTGAATGAGAAAAATCCTCGCTTCCATCTCATAACAAATCCCATTTCTAAACCACATCAGCTACCTGTACAATTTCTTATAATTATTAATACAATTACACAAATTGATACAACTTTTATATTTTTTATAATTGTATTTGGTAATAATATTTTTAAAATTCTACATTCGTAAACTGAAGGAAAATTTTATTTAAAAAAAAAATCAAACAAGAAAAAGTCATAATACTTTGAATTTAACAACTATGTATTTACAAATTAAGAGAAATATTTCACAATCTCTTTCACAGATGGGGATAAAAATATTTACAGGAATGTCAGAAAAAAACTACTTTTCTTAAACAAATTTCTTACGATAAATTTCTTGTTTAACAGTGAAATAAGTGTTCAGAAAAGTAATTACATTTTGTCTGTTCAGTTGCTTATTTTGTGCAGTGAGTGAAACATTGTAAAAAAATCTTATCAAAATTGCTTCGCTAATGCTGATAGGCAGAGAGAAAAAAAAATGGCCAGGAATGAATGAACCTGATGCTAGCCTATAAATCTTTGATTCAACGCAATTCTCTTAGTACACTTATATGAGATGTATAAGACAGAACAAAGTTCCTTCTTTTTTTTTTCTAATGGAAAAGTACATTTAAGAAGAAGAGTGAACTGTCCTTGTACGTTTATCCAGACAATATCACACTGGCAGCATTATAACATATAAAGTATAAATACATTAAATGGAATAAGTTTTATCATATTTTATTCACAGAAGAAACCTGATTTATAGACAAACCTGACTTTAAAATTACTGTAGTTTCATTTACTGCACAAACAAAAATCACAGGAGTTAAAATAAAATAAAAGAGCAACATTTTTTTCTCTCGAAAAGTGACAAATCTCAGAACAGTTCTGGAAGTTACATACATACTCTTTATTTTTATTTTACTTTATTTTTTTTTTTTTTATTTTTTTTTTAAACTAAAGCATTACATTACCATAATTACTTATTAATTATCGTGATCAACACCGTTTCTTCCTAATTTCTTGGTTAAAATAATGCCCAAGGAAAAGCAAATATCACTACAGCTCAACAAATCCAGCTGAGCCTCTTTTATTACCAACATTTTGCAATATTTTATTTCATAGCCCGTTTTAAAGTCTAATCCAAAAATTTCGATAAAGCACTCCCATTTGAAAACTTTCATTGTACTCTTTAGTATAGCAAATAGAATTATAGTGAACCAGAGGATTTTAATTTTTTTTAAACAATTACAAGTGTTAATAAAACTCAATTATATTTTTCCTTTATCACAAATTAGTTATTGCTTTTAAACTCTAGCAATAAATTATTATTTATCCTTAACTTATTTTTGACAATAAGTAATAAAGTGTTACAAAACAAAACAATTATATAAAGTTTTTCAATATGAAGAAATTGAATCCTTTTTTTTACCTTTTTTTTTGTAAAGGAAAGATGAAGCGCCAAAATTGATGAATATTGACACCTTCCAAACAATTCATATTAAAAGGTCCACCAAAATTTCCATGGTTGCATTCCATCGAGTGTCAAAAAATCCTCCGATTCACTTGTGAAAAAATTTGTGTCCCCTTTTAAAGCTTTGGTTACTAAGTTTTTGGGTATACAATTTTTATTGGAAGTGCCTAAAGAAAAGCTGAGACTAGGCAGTGAAAATCTAATTTTATAACCTTAATAGCAACTAATAATATATTTACAATTAGCTAGCTTTGGTTTCCAATAATTCAAGTTTTTTGTTGAATCCATTCAACAATTCAAAACAACCTTAGTTGGGTGGGATTGAAAAAAAAAATGTATTTTTTGTGCTATTGTTAACAAAGTAACATTTTCCATGATACAAAATAAATAGGATAAACTAGAATAATTTCAATCACAACCAATGCCATGTACAAATAGAAAAAGTGTCACACATCTTTAATTTTAAAAAATTAAAACAAGGCATTAATCTAATTAATATGAATGTACATCGCTAATACTTGAGTCAATTTTTTAGTGAATGTCAAAATTCTAGGAAGTTGTGGACTATTTGATGGCGACCGTATATTTAAATTAAAAGTAGTTTTGGAACTTACCTAATTATTTATAAGAGGGCAGAATTGTCGACAAGAGGAGACAGGGGACTGAGGCCGTCGTGCTTTTTAGACCTTTCCATCTCATAATGCACTTCCATTGATAATCCTGTAACCATCAAAAATTAGTATAGACACATAAAAATTGTTAAGCATAAATTTACACATATTGAAAACACACCTGACTGTCTCCTTGTTGTTGGCCTTAAAGTGAGAGCTTGACTTGTACTCTCAGGTATAAAAGCAGCTACAAGAAGAGCACATATGACTAGAAAAGCTCCAAACACAAATGGAGGTCCTGGAACCAACTGAAAAGGACAAAACTCAGGTATCGACAAACAAAATATAGGAGAGTACAAGCTATTATAAACATTAAGCATGTTTATACTCATGTTTTCACTTTGAATAAGTCATTGGGAAAGCTATGGAGAACAGGTTAATGATAAATTTAGTTCATTGTACCTGTTGAATAACGTTCCAAACTGGTTCCTGTTAGCCATGTCAAAAAATAATAATATGTATAAGAAGAAACAAAACAATAAAAACAACTCCTTTCATACTATCACTCGTTACCTTTCCTTAATTGACTTTCAAAACTTTTTGTTTATAATATACAAAACCTTATACAACTTTTATACTTACAAGTGTACGTAAAAAAACAGATAAACAAAAGGTTTCAGATTTAAGATTTTCACCTGCAATGTTGGAGTAACATCTATATGTTGGCCTGAAGTATTGTTATCATGTTTCAATGTGTTATAATTGAGATCGACATGAAAAAGGTAGAATATGATTCCGAACATAGCCGGACCGAGGCCAGTGCATAATCCTCTCATCCCTGTAACCATACCTTGGACCAGCCCTGAAACGATATCATTGAATATAAATCAGAATACGCAAATATAAATACACTTTAGAAGAGAAGAAACTTTTTACCTTGTTTATCCGCATCTGAGTGCATCGAGACAAAAGCGCTAATGGCAGGATATGTAATACTTGAAATCGACGCTAATAATCCAGCTGCCCACATCATCCTAAAAAATCATATTTAATATAGAGGTTATGACTTAATTATTAGCTAGTATATTAATAATCAATAATCAAAATAATGCAATTATAACAAAAAATTGTTAAACAAATCGTTACAAATTTTATTTTCATTGTTACTTTGGTTGTTACTAATCATCCTGGTCTGCCTCGTATGTCTAAGAGACCAAGGATTACCAAACTAAATAATTTTAAACACACCGGAATCTCTTTTTCAATTTTTATTTGTACCATTTTTTAATATTAATTATCTCAGTTGTTGCTATGGAGCCGTTAAAAAGAATCTATTATTAGAATTGTTTTGGATTAGGTGATCATTAAAGACCGGATTTTCATGCCGTAAAAACCTTCAAAACATGAAATAAAAATTTCAAAACACGAAAAAAGTGTAAACCTATCATTTAACATATCATTTTTATTCAACGGTTATTTGGAAATTGTGAGAAGCGTTCTGGTGATCTCCAAATAATCATTCATTAGCAGACACTAAACATGACACATTTTTTTAAAGGGTTTTTGTGCAGTGCACCTTCCAAAAAATCTCAAAAACTGGAAAAAAGTTGAAAAATAACTATACAATGTCTGTATTTAATAAAATTAATTAATGTCAATAAATCCACTAATTTCGTGGTCCACATGACCAATTAATATATTACAATTAATTAAGATTTTTAGTTGAGATAAAAAAGTCAATGGCACGAGCGGGATTCGAACCCACGATCTTTGGCTAGATATGCCGCTTGCTCTACCACTTGAGTTATCGTGACCTCAATCCACTCGGACCGAATCCCGCTCATGCCATTGACTTTTTTATCTTAACTAAAAACACTAATTAATTGTAATATATTAATTGGTCAAGCGGACCACGAGATTAGTGAATTTAATGATTAAAAATGAAGTATACTTCACTAAAGCTCTCCGTGGCCATTTCATTTGTCGTCAAGAATCCAATCCGATTACATGACATTTGAAAATTGGCAAAAAGGAGGGAAAATTCAAAAGGTGGGGTTAAGATGGGAAGTTAGTGTCCGATTGGATCAAGGTCACAATAGCTCAAGTGGTAGAGCAGCGGCATATCTAGCCGATGATCGTGGGTTCATCCCGCTCGTGCCATTGACTTTTTTATCTCAACTAAAAACCTTAATTAATTGTAATTAATTATTGTCTTTGTTGTGTTTGTTCATTTTATAATCAATCGATTATACTCCTATTTTAAACCCATATTATATACATATATACAATTAAATTTTATTTTGATTTATTATTTTTTATGCAGCAGTGGTTGAATTGAAAAATTAGTCTCATGATAGGAGACCCACTCTTCCCTTTAAAAACATTTTACCATCAGCCTTCATTTCTGAGTAGCCCTGTAGCCACCACTTTTGAACTTTACGTATATGAATTTATTGTTTTCATGTGGTTCTGCCTGCTTTGCTCCAAGCCAAAGAATGACTGGCAATACAAAAAGGAAACAAAACAGATGTGAAGGATATGTGGAAAAATGATGGTTCTGGTCTGCTAATTTTGAGTACTTTTAGTCATTATTTAGTCATACTTTAAGTCTTTATGAATAAATAAAATAATTTGATGTATGACAATTTTATAATCAAATGTAATATCAGACTTTTATTAATCGTATGAAACTTACCAATTTTGAGATCCAAAGCCGTACCACATCAACTGGAGCAATTCAAACAATAGGCCGAGCATTATTGTATGTTTACTTCCGAGAGACCTCATAAGAATGCCTAAGACGAGTTGAGCCATAACAGATAAAATCCCGACAATGGCTATAAATACAGCAACCATAACATCGCTGAATTTCATCACCTATGAATGATTTATAATTATTACAAAACTCATTGGAAAATGATTATTTATTCATAACTGAACTTACAAGTTTAAGGTACATAAAAATACACGAGTATTGTCCTGCTTCTGGTAAATATGACAGAAAAACCGTCACGCACAACATGAGAACGGTCCTGTCTTTACCAACCTTTCGAAGAGCCTGAAAATCAAATAAATAAAACATGTACCTTTGAAATAACTATTTGCTAGTTGTTTTTTTTTTTAAATCAATATGGAATACGTACAGCAAATGGATCAGCTTGTTCCCATGAAATCGGAGCACCCCATGATGATGGCCGGACTTTTTCAGGCAGGCTTTCAGGTACTGCGACAAGAATAAAGAATACATCTAACAGCGCAATTGCGGTTGCAAGTGCAACGACGACACTTTCACTGTATATGCGCATGATGTAAGCACCTAGCGCAGGGCTGATAACCATGCTTGCAGCAAAAGTAGCAGAAACCTAAAAAAAAAATTAATAAATTTAAAAGTTAATCTTGTAATAATAAATAACATTATATACCAATCCATATGCGAGGCTTCTTTCATGCTCTTCAGTAACGTCTGCTACATAGGCAAAAACAACGGAGAACGTTACAGCGAATACCCCGGAGATGCTGATCATTGCAAAAAACCACCTAAAAAAAAAAAAAAATGGTCAGTAACACCCATCAAAATTGGTTGATGTTAAAACATACCAAGTGTTGATAGTCATTAACGGAATTGGAGCGCAAGTGAAGAATACAGTTATTAAAAGAAAAAACTTCCTTCCCCAAACATCCGACAGTGCGCCGATCAAAGGAGCGCTCAAAAATGACAGAATTCCCTGTGCAAAAGACAGTTGTATCGTGAAAACATACCCCAGGGTTTTATAAATTGTTCTGAAAATGTGAAAATACCTTTATGCCCATAATCAGCCCATTCATTAAAAATGTATGCCCTGGAAAGGTTGTGTTGAGAGTCTGAAAAATGTTTCAAATACGACATAAATATAAAATATGAGTTGGAATTTTTAAATTGTAGGTTTAAATTTAGCAGATAGGAAATATAAATTGTATCAATTAGGAGGCCAAGGACTATTTAGTGAACTTCATCGCCACTGATGAATGAAATTGTTCCATATTTGGCTATAAATAAACAAAACCGATCTAGCGTAGTCATGGGGGGGGAAGGGGTGCAGTAAATTGTTTTACATAATACTGCTAAATTGGCTATCATTGTTCTATTAATAGCTCTGCTTGAAGGAAACCCTTCCTAATGTATCGATAGAAATATAAGAATATGCCTGGTGAGAGACTTTTTGATTAATAGACAAGGCTAATATAAATATTTTTAAATTTGATTTGGCTCAATATATTTGTGAAATTTGGTTGTTATCTTATAAAAATTAAATTATGGAAATGAATTTTTTGCATAATTCAATTCAAAGAGGGAAAATGTGAGCCTATTTTGATCATTATGAATAATTAACAAAGAAAGAAAATAAAATTTAAACTCCTCCTGTGACTGAATAAACTTTATTTGGTGGTTAACAGAAATCAATTAAATACTTACTTCAATTAAAGGCATTGTCAGTAAGCCCCATGCGAAAAACTCAAGGAATATAACCACCAAGGCGTGGTATACGCTGGGCTCTCCGACTCCCGAATTCTAAAAAAAATAAAAATAAAATTTTTAATATTAGTTACATTCACATATGAGTCACGGTTCAAAAATTTTCATTCTATGAACCCTTGATGCAAACTAAATAAACACCAAATTTGTGTATGATGTAGGGGAATATTATCAACTTAAGTTTATTGTGAAAAATTAAGCAAAATTTCAACCACCTTTTGTCGCCAACTTTAAAATACAATTTAATTACAATGTCACTGTTTAAGCATGCAAAAGATTAATGTCAGAAAAATATAAATTAAACTGAGAAAAATTAAGACATTTCTATTATATTTATATCATTCACCTTATGAATAATAAATAACTATTCGTTTGTCAAATTATTTGATTTAATATTAAGCTAGTGTCTGTTTCTATGTTTTGTTTTTAACTTAATTTGAAATTTATTAATTGCACTTTTATCAACGAAAAAAAGAACGAACTGTAAATTCATGTTGCATTGACAGTTCATTATGAGGTTCAACTGATAAAACTCGCTATGAGCCAATAAATGCATCCTGCTTTTAAAATAAGCTTGGAGTCGACAATTTTTAATAGCACATCTAAATGAAACAGCCAATAACCCCGGAGAAAAAGGTTGAATGAACTGTACAGAGTGAAAATTATCGACAGTCTTGAGACAAGCATCATGATTAGTCGATAATATTAACTATTGGAAATTGAGGAAAAACCAACAAAGCATTGCCATAGAAGGTTCATTTTGAATGATTTCTAATGAGTTTTTTAATTGATAAAATAGTAAAATATTGTTGATTGATGTGAAATTACATGTTTTATATTTTTTAAAATATACCCAAGTGCATTTTGTGTAATTGTTTTTTTGTTTTATATACAGGAACTTTACAATTTAATGTTTCAGGCTATTCAGAATCTCATAAACAGAAATGATTTTTTTTCCAAGTCATAGAGAAAACAAAATATGTACATATTTACAGTTTACGTCCATTCTAAGGGGGTAAATTATTCTGATGTGGACTGATTCTATTGGCAAAGTCTGCGACCTGTACGGAGGGGTTCCTTTACAGAGGGGTTTAAAATGTATAGAAATTGAATCTTTTTTTGCCAGGGAATGCAAAAATTGTTTGTTAAGAGAGGAGATATGTGTATCACTGAAATAAACAAGTTTTGTTGTATATTGTACATAAAAAAATTTGTGTATATATTAAAATGGCCAAAATATGGAAACCAAGTATATAAAAGTGTGGGTGTTGAAATCTCTTACAAATAAGACAAAAAAAATTAATTAACAACTGTCCACGCAAATAGAAACCAGAAAAGATAAAGAGCCAAACAGATCACAATGTTTATAATTTTATTTTCCTTCCTGGTTTTCATTTGTGTGGATAGAACATGTACATGTGTCATAATCATTTCTATTTTTTTTTTTTTTTTTTTTTACTATTCTTTTTCCCATTTTTATTTATTTACCACACCTTATAATTGAATCATCTTTGTATGAAAAATTCCTGAGCATTCTGTATTCATTTACTTCATAATATATAGTAAAAGATAGGCCATTCATTATTATTGTGAGTGTTGTAAACAACTCTGTACGAGCCCAAAAAGAAAGGAAAATCAAAATATTTATATTTTACTTTTCTCTTTTCTAGTTACTTAGCCAAGACTTCTTTTAAAAAAATTGGCTTATTTCATGAATAAAAACACATTTACTACTTAAATAAAGACTATTTTAGAGCTCTGTGCTGTGATCATTGACAATTTTATTAATTTATTGATCACGCCTAAATTAAATCTTTAATTTTGAAAATACTTCCAGGTATTTTATCAGTTTATTTACTTCTTTCTATAATGTGATTATATTATTCAAGTCAAAAGGCTAAAAGCAGAACTGTAAAAACATCTTTATATGGCTGTGAGGGAACGTCACATACGAAAGCTTTCAATATTTTGATTTTACCCCTCTTGTCTTTTTGAAGAAATGTTTATTTTAATTACAATTAATTAAGGTTTTTAGTTGAGATAAAAAAGTCAATGGCACGAGCGGGATTCAAACCCACGATCTTCGGTTAGATACGCCGCTGCTCTACCTCTTGAGCTATCGTGACCTCGATCCAATCGGACACTAACTTCCCATCTCAACCCCACCTTTTGAATTTCCCCTCCTTTTTGCCATTTTTCAAGTTTATTTTATTTTAATCATTATTGCTCAAACACTGAAAAATTTCGATGTTTTTATTATTTATCAGTTTCAGTCAAGATTTTCTTTTTACAAGGTATTTTACTAATTTAATAGTAAAGGGAAACCCAAAGCTCAGACTGCTAGGAAAATTTGCCAATACTGAAGATGGTGAAATGCTGAAACACAAATTAAAAGGAATGATAAAGGTGGGGTGAGTACGTAGATTCACTTTTTGTAAAAGATTGTTTACTCACAAATCTGTTGTTTAACTATCTGAATTTCAGGCATAAAGCTCATCATCAGATTGAACGCAACCTGATGAAGAGCTTTAAGCTAGAAATCCGGATAGATGTAAAACAACAAATTTGTGAGTAAACAATCTTTTACAAAAATATTAATTAATTTAAAAAAAGGTCACAAATGCTAATGATCCAATTATAGGTTCATCACCCTGCAGACAACAGGAGGAATTCTCACAATTTCTATACAAGCAATTTGGTCGTTATCCATCATATTAGGGCTGACTAAAGACATGGTGAATGCCGAGTCTGATAGACCAACCGACCACCCAGCAAGTATAGGCAGACTGAAGTGATCAGTAAAGATCAAATTACAGGAAAAATTTCACTTCACTTGAGGAGTGATCGTTCTGGGTCCTATTAAACGATCATTGATTTTTGTAAATAGAGAATAAAGAGACTGAAGGATATATATATATANAATATATATATATTATTTGGAGATCGTGAGATGCAGTCTGGTGTGGCGTAGGTTTAGAAAAACATTTTCTTTAATGTGCCAACATTTCGATCTTTAGTGTGATCATCTTCAGGGCTCAAAGTGTGTTTTCTGTGAAGTTTTCTAAACCTGTCACACCAGACCCTATCTCACAATCTCCAAATAATCATTAATTAACAGTCACTAAATACAACATATTTCTATATGTTGTCAAATATTAACTCTTGTACTTTTTACAATTATTTGACTTCTATGATACGTATAGGGATAAAAGAGGCGGTCACAAGGCCTGCACCTCGACCTATATAGATCTATCGTGCTCCCCCGTTATTTACCACTCACTGGCCAGGTTCAGGTTATTAATCAACCTCCATAGCTTTGCCAGCGGCTCTTTAGTGTAGGACCTTGCTTGTGGTTTTTCTTGTCCTAGTTGCAAGAACCTTCACCTATATAAACCTGCACAGAAACAGAATGTGTTCTGTGGTTTCCTCCTCTTCCAGGCAGTATCTGCAGTGTTTCTTCTGTCTGTACTCCTATCCAGTGCTTTCTTAAATGGCAGTGCCCGGTCAGGAGTCCAACCAGAATTCTGGTTCGGTTGCGGTTGCTTTTCAGTAATTCTTTTCTAAGTTTTGCATATGGTCATACTATGAATCTCTTTGCATTCCTCATGCCTGTGGTATTGTTCCACCAGGGTTTGGTTTCATTGAAGATCCATTTTAAGATGTATCCTCTTTAATAGCAGGATGCTAAACCACAATAGGGTTTCGGACCCAGAGTCCATGTTGGCCCCCTTTTTGGCCAGCATGTCAACCTTTTCATTGCCTCTATGCCCCAAGTGCCCAGGGACCCATATCAGGGTGTGTCACTGACTTCCGTTAGGGCCTCTTTGCAGTACCAAACACTATGGCTTCGCCTCGGCTAACTTCTGGGAATGTATTCCGAGCCATTTTATTTCTCTGGCACATTGTTCAATCGCTATGATTTCAGACTGGAAAACTGTAGCATATTTACCTAAGTAAAGTGTCAGTTCTGTCTTTGAGTTCATCACAGAGACTCCAGCTCCCATTTTTACAAAAGAATCTGCTGCAAATACATGTAGGACGTGAAAAAATGAACGTATACAATGGTACAAATTCATTTTTTCACATCCTACATGTATTTGTATAATTTAAACAATGTTTATAAATCCCAGGCCCTGAAGACGATCTCAACAAAGATCGAAACGTTGCCATGATAAAGAAACTGTTTTTCTGACAACTACATCACACCAGACACCATCTTACGACCTGCAAATAATCATTATTTCCTTTCCTCCTTAAAACAAGCTCCTACCAACCCAAACCGCATTACATTATTATTAGTGTGTGTGGTGATTAGTGACCGTTAGTCGATGATTATTCAAAAATCGTGAGATGCAGTCTGGTGTGATGTAGGTTTCAGAAAAACATTTTCTTTATCGTGTCAACGTTTCGATCTTTATTGAGATCATCTTCAGGGCCTGGGATTTACAAATATTGTTTAAATTTAACAAATACATGTAGGATGTGGAAAAAAGTGAATTTATACAATGCAAAATACATTTTTTTAAAAATATTCAATCAAAATATTTCTACTCGTTTTGTTTTCTGTGTAATTGTGCCATTCTTGCGTGTCATGTTGAGTGCCAGTGTCTCAACATGACACGCAAGAATGACACAATTACACAGAAAAAAACACTTTGAGTGATTAGAAATACTTTGATTGAATATAAAAAATAAATTTAAACAATGTTTGTAAATCCCAGGCCCTGATGATGATCTCAATAAAGATCGAAACGTTGGCACGATAAAGAAAATGTTTTTCTGAAACCTACATCACACCAGACCGCATCTCACAATTTCTGAATAATCATCATTATTATTAGTTTTGTCGCGTCCTGCTTTGTTTTTCCTCGTACAACAAAAGGAGCCTAGCACTCAACGTTTATTTATTTCGTTTACATACATTTTTCTTTTTTCCCCTCTCCTTATCCATTAGCCCACCCCTTCATCCCTGACCAGCACACACCTAGGTAAGGTTTCAACTGCAACACCGTACCCTTGTCGGGTTTCGAGCTTCAGCATACCAGTACGATTTTGCCTTTAGCGGTGGCCTATTTTTCCCATTCTTGTATTACTGAGTATGTATTTTATTGCAATGGAAATATTATTGATATTAAGGTGTAATATAAAAAAATGTCAATGATTATGACATAGTAGTGAAACGTAGCCATTCATAAATTGTGATTGATGATTAATCTTCTAAATAAGCCATAATGTATTAATTTAGACGAATATTAGGGACGTTATCACAAAAAGTTGTGATTTTTTTTTTATTGCTAATAAGTGGAAAAAAATTTAAAAAAGTTTTGAGTAAGTTAAAAAGGATATGTAATGAATTTAATTACCGTCATAACGCTGTCCTTAAGAATGGGCTTCCTGTTACGAATTATCATCCCAGTACCTTTCTTAATCGCCTTCGTCGGCATTTTGATTATCCATGAAAATTAATTTTTTCTTAATTTTACGAGTCCTCAGAGCGGGTATTGGAAGGACGGCATCCCTGCAGGAAGGAGCCCTTCGTCGCGTAGACGGTTTAAACAAGAGACGAATAAAGAACGGGCCGACGTCCCTTTCCTGGCCGAATACGAGAGACTTTTCAGAGACGACTAAAAAACTTCAACACAAATTGCCCGACAATCAATCGCATCCCTGCCAAGTCGATCTCGTCGCCGTTCCTCGCCGAGCGGAGTTCGAGGCCCAGAACAAATTTTTCTTTTCTTTTGTCCCGACCGAATAAAATCAAATTTTCTTCCAACATAAATCGCCTTTTAAATATGTTTTTACAAACTAAAATCAAGAAAAAATGGACTTGAGAAAAAAAAGAATCGAAACAGCTGATCTTGGTAACACAGATCTACGATTTACGAGGGAACCAAAGACACATGATTTCATCATTTTGATGATTGCCAAGCAATTTCAGCTGACTCACTCCCATCCCTGCATTTAACGGTTATTAACTTAAAATCTTGAAAAAAGATCATTTAACATTCTCGAATAATCTAACGAAATAGTTTTGTTCTTACATAACTTAATTAACATAAACTTTATACTCCAAAAAAATATCTTGTCCAATGTGGAGTTTCTCAAGGCTCACATCTTGGTCCTTTCTTGTTTAAACTTTTTCTAAACGATATTTTCTCTTATTTTCCATCATATTCATTTTGCACTATGAGCTGTCCATAATCTATTGATTATTACAGTTATTCTTTAAAATCCAATCGCACACTGTTTAATTTATAAAAAATTGTACACATTTTAGTGGGTTTTTTATTCATTTTTTCTCTATCTTTTTTTTTGTCTGTTTATTTAAATGTATTCCTTTTCATATTGTATTTTTTTGCCCTTCTTATACTTTCCATTTTCTTCCTATTCTATTTGAATTAAAAAATTTTTGGGGCATTGTGTTGTAATTTCTGTTTTTCATTTTTGTGTTTTTTATTCATCTCTTTCACACCGCCTCTCAATCTCTCTCTTTCTAATTTTCTCTCTCTCTCTCCTTTTCTTTCTCTCTCTTTATCTCGCTCCAATCCCTCTCTCTCACTCTTTCTCACTCTCTCTCTCTTTCTCTCTCTCTCTCTCTCTCTCTCTCTCTCTCTCTCTCTCTCTCTTTCTCTCTTATTTTCTTTCCCTCACTTTGTTTCTCTCTTCTTTTCTTTTCTCTCTCTCTTTTCTTTTCCTTCTCTCTCGCCATTTCTTTGTCTCTCTTCTTTTCTTTGTCTCTCTTCATTTCTCTCTCTCTCTCTCTCTCCTTTTCTCTCTATTTCTTCTTTTCTTTCTCTTCTGCTTTTCTCTCTCTCTCTCCCTCCTCTCCATTTTTACTCATCCTTTGATTTTCTATTTTATCTTAGCCTTTTATGTGTTTTACTGTTTTGTTGTTCTTATTTGTTTTAGATTCTTTATTGTTTCCATTTTTGACTTTTCTTGTTCTATTTTTCTTTCAGTTGTTTATATGCTATTTTTGTTTGTTTCTCTGATTCTTATCACGTATTCAATGCATATCATTTTTATGTCTTTTCTTGTTTTGTCCCCATTCTCATACTAGCTCTTTTGTGGGTAAGATTGTTGAATTACCAGATCTATACTATTCATAATGAAACTGACTAAAGTTGATATAATTAAAGATTTAGAAATTCACTTTGACTACCAATTATCTTAACTACTCTTTACCTCTTTTGTTCGACCAATACTTGATTTTTTCTATATTTTTGTCTCCTCACTATTCTCAAATCATCTAAAATGTTCAACAATTCTTTCTTATCTGTAACTGGTTTTTGAACCATAATTTTCATTGCAACTATGATCTCGTGTCTGTTCTGTACATTAATACTGTAGAGGTTTGACTGTTTCTCTTTACAAATTATTTAATAACTACTGAATTATTTTCCTATATAATTCAATGTCCCTAAATAAAAAACTTGTAATTTATCATTATTCAATGTCTCTCACTGCTTCACCAGCTCCATTCTCCCATTAACACAATTCAACGAACAGGAGATTTACACAACAAATTTATTTAATGCTAGTCACACGTTTAAAACATTTCAAAATTGGATTTTAGAGTTATATAGGCTCAAATCTTCACATGTATAGAGTCTCATAGTCCTCTAACAATTCCAGCTGTTGTAAATTTTAAAAAATTACCAGCAGTCGTCAAGAATCACCCACCTTGGGTGTTGGCCTCAGTCAGACCCCTACACACTCTCATTCTTAAATGCATTCTTTCTCATTTACATTCTATTGATTCAATTAGGATGGTGGCGTTGATATCCCTCCATCACCCTTTGCACCTATTATATAACTAACCTAATTGACGGTCGATGTGTACTCAATATTTTACCATCTCTTAACTACACAATCACACTAGTAAATACATTCACTCTAACTAAGCATACAGCACATGCTACTCATGATAGGCACACAGAACTATCAGTATGCAATAAAACAATCTTGTTTCCTCCAAAAATCGATTCGGAAACATATACTTCCTGTCGTGCTCAACAATTCTCACATTGGGTGGCATTCCTACACACTGGCTATATAGCCAAGGAATCATACCCTTCAATTAGGTGGCACATCAAGCATCGTTAATGCCGGACATATATGTAAGCTTTGGCCCTAAAGTAAGTGTTCGTGTGTCAACCTTGTATGTCCTATCCTGTACAGTTTTATACTGTAAATTAATTATTTATATATTTTATATAAATAAAATATGTAATATATTATATATTTTATGTATTATAATATAATATTATATATTTTGTTTCGTACATTTTAATTATTTTATGTACAATTTTATAATTTATCTTACCCGGATCCTAGTATCCTCATCATCATCGCCATCACCATATCTATAAGTTTTTGAGTAAATTAGGCTATCAGCTTGTAAAGTATATAAGTAAAAAATAAAATTATGTATTTTATATGTTAGCATATGCTGTTGAACCAGAAAGCTCTTTTCTCCCAGAAAACTTTACCTTTGCTACAGAAATTAAAGATCGTTAAATAAACTTTTAACTCACGCCAATAAAAACTTATGTATTCTAATTTTAAAGTTTAAATTATAAGTTGTAAGTTGTCTTTTGATTCCGCCGTGCTTCGTCGTTACTATCAGTGAAGTTATGATGCTTTGTGTACTCTGGAGGTTTCATATTTCAATTTTGTGGCGCCTTTCATCAACTGGGCTGTCTATTAAGACTTGACTTTTCTGGTATTTCTCTTCTTCTTTTTTAATTTTGACGTGTTAAAGGTCTTTTTGTGATTCTCTTGTGATTCGGGTCGGGAAGATGAGAAAGATCTTCCCCAATGTGAGATTCAAACTGTTAAATTTACAGCTTGACAGCTGACTTGTTTTTTTCTGTCAACTTTTTTTTATTGTTGTTGATTTTTTGTTGATGGATCCACGATGATGGCTCTGGCCAGGATGTCCTTTGAAGAAGGAGGAGAGAAGGACGAAAGTTTAGTTAACGATACGACAGAGTATTCCTGCGATACTCTTGGTCTGACTTTGACATCGCCTTATTGCCCACCTAGGTATTCCAAGCAGGTTTATTCCGTGCCATCGGTTCTGACTAAAGGCAAGGAAAACCAGGATTTCAGTGGTTTTGAGAGTGATTCGAGTTCAGATTCGATCGGACCATTTTCTGCCAAGAAGAAACTACCGCCGATTTCCCATACAGGCCCGAAAAAGAGTTACGTTGAAAATGTATTTGACAAGTACGATGACATGTATGCCAACTTGCCCTTGGCGGACGGATTTACGACTCCGGAACCGAAGAAACTGTTGGAGAAGCATCGTTTCCAGCTGAAAATGCTCACCCACACACCAAAATTTGATTTCGTCCCTTACCAATCTGAAGCGGAAAAATCAGCCAGGAGAGATGCTTACATCAAAGAGCAGAAAGAGTACATCGAAATGACTAAGGCTGCTAAAAAGTTGATTGGTGCAGCGACGTCGGAAGGCTGCGTCACGCCGGTCAGCAAGGGCACATCTCAAGTTCAAACACCGCTGACAGACAGGTCGAATATGATGGAGACGTCATTTAATATGAGTGGTATTCAATTACTAGACACACCAACCTCCTGCTCTGCGTGGTCACCGCTTAATTTCCTAACTCCCAGCAATACCACCCAAGAGATTCCAGAAGAGATCAAAAAGTCCATTTTGCTTGGTAACTATGTGCTTTTCTTTCTTTCATATAATTAATAGTTTGATTTTGAAAACAAACTAAACTTGGCTTTTTAACAGTTACATTATTCCACTATGTTATCAGATGTTTAATATTTTTGTATTCAATTAAACTTTCATACACATCAGCAAAACGAATAAAACATGATTTAATAAATAAACTCTTTATTTTGTTGTTTAGGTGTTGTAACTCCTGTCATATTGGAGGCTTTAAAATCTGACTAATTATTCAAATACAAGTTAGACCCCTAACAACTTAGATACTGCAGCCCCTAGATTATTTGTAAACACAATTCATACTTTTGTGTGACATTTCAGCATATTTTGTGCCAAATTCATTCGGGATTTGCCAACAATTAAATTCGATAGAAGGGGTGGTCATGGACTGGATGTTTTTTTGTTTATTAGAACTCGTTAGTCAGCTTTAGGCTGTTGGTCAAGTTTCATCACCTAGCTAGTGGTTCTTTTGTGCGGGGGATGAAGACAGGAAATAAAAAAAAGGGGGAGTTGTATTCTTCCAAGCGCTGCAGTCTTTTGGGTTATTGTACCTTTCCTAGTTCTTTAGTTCAATTAAGAAGTATTAGGTCGTTGATTGTCATTGCAATTCTTTTCCATAGGTCTTGATTATTCTAGATTATGTCTTCATTGAGCAGTTGCTTTACATTTGGAGATAGATATGGTAGCTAGTTTTTTCCTTCTCATTGCACAACCTTCAAATGAGGGTCATCATTGAATATACTGTTATTGGTAGTTCTGAAATGCCAGTGACTGGTATATAGTCCTATCCTTGAGTTTCACTACGTCTAGCCGTAGCAATGCAATTTTAGTGAAGGTTCTTTACTCAGTCTACTATGTCTGGAAACTCCTGTCCACCTTGCTTGTCACTCAGATGGATGATTCTGTTTGTGGGAGATTGCAGTTTTCCCTCAGTAGCAGAAACCTACATTTGCATAGCTGTATCTCTTGTTTCACGGCCTCGTCGTGGCTAAATGTGCATATTTCTTCTACTATGAAATATGTGGTGCTAATGCTTTCTTAGACAACAGTGCCTAGTATTGTTACCTGAATCCACATTTTATATCGCCTCTAGTAATTTTTTTCAAAGTTTTGTGCCTGGTTCTTACATGAATCTTTTTGCGTCATCCTGGAGTACTGACCAACCAGTATTGGGACTCATTAAAGATCCATTTTTTTAATATGTACCTTTTTGCGGCAAATTGCTAGTCAATAGGAGGGTTCAGGGGGGTTGGAAGTGGTAATACTGATTCTCAGAAAATGTGCCCAGAACTGCTCTGAAGTTTCATGGAATACTTGTCAGTTTGACAACAATGTCCTGAATAGGATTTCATGAAACTTCAGACATATTTTGACTTTACCTCGTGAGGTTAAAGCTTTAGGTGCTCCTGACTGTCAGAGAGTACGGCTAATTTTTGGAGTATTTCAAGAGTTTTGATTTCTCTGGCACAGCATTCAGTTGCTATGATCTCTGATTAAAAAACCCTTAGTAAATCTAGCTTGCTTTTTAGTCAATTCAGTTCTCAGAAAATGTGCCCAGAACTGCCCTAAAGTTTCATGGAATACTTGTCAGTTTGACAACAATGGCCTGACTAGGATTTCATGAAACTTCAGACATATTTTGACTTTACCTCGTGAGGGTAAAGCTTTAGGTGCTCCTGACTGTCAGAACGTACGGCTATTTTTGGAGTATTTCAGACTTTTGATTTCTCTGGCACAGCATTCAGTTTCTATGATCTCTGATTAAAAAACCCTTAGTGAATCTAGCTTGCTTTTTAGTCAAGTCAGTTCTCAGAAAATGTGCCCAGAACTGCTCTGAAGTTTCATGAAATACTTGTCAGTTTGACAACAATGACCTGACTAGGATTTCATGAAACTTCAGACATATTTTGACTTTACCTCGTGAGGTTAAAGCTTTAGGTGCTCATGACTGTCAGAGAGTACGGCTAATTTTTGGTGTATTTCAAGAGTTTTGATTTCTCTGGCACAGCATTCAATTGCTATGATCTCTGATTAAAAAACCCTTAGTGAATCTAGCTTGCTTTTTAGTCAATTCAGTCTTTAGATTTACCCGGTATTTGAAACGTCACAGTACAAGACAGAATTATGAAGGGTAATTTGCTCTGGTATTCCCTCAGCTTTAGCTGTTCATTAACATGGTCCTTATGGCTGTTGCTCTAGTTTCTTGAAAGAGGATTGTAACAGTGGAAGGATAAGTAATTCAGAAAAACATAAAAAAGGGGTAAGTTGGGCTATTTCAGCCATAATATTTTTTTAGTAGATTAAATGTGTTTGCTTGGGATTTATTGAAGTAATTAGCCTTTTCTTATAAATTTGTTTTTATTATAAATCTCTTTTTGGCTAATCGCACACTTCTTTCTCTTTTTTTACCTTTTTGACAATCTAAGGTACCCATGGGCGGTCAGTACACACACTCTGCACTGAAAAGATGTGATAATGAAAATAAGTGTAGAGAATCTTATTCAGAGAGGTCTAGCAATGATAATAGCCATTTATCAGCCCAAAAATAAACAAACTTCTATTATTTGTGGTTGATGTATAATATATAATGGTTATCAATTGGCGGTGATAGAGTGGTTAGAGCGTTTGACTTGTATTTGCCACACTAGCAGTTCTGGGTTCGAATCCTGCAGAGCCTAGGTTTTTTTTTTAATGAATTTGGTTTTACTCCTTGTCCACAAAACCCAATGGGTAACTGGACATTAAGTCCTCCTGTGTGACAGGATTTACTTTACTTTTTTATTAGAATTTTTATGACAAATATTTATTCAATGAAAGATATTTGTTTTAACAGTTTTTTCATCTTGGAAAATTTAGGTGTAACCTGTTATGTAGAAGTACGGATAGGGAGGGAAAATCGTTCGGAATGCGTTAAAGCGGAGTTACGCTCTCTTGGGGCCAACGTTGAAAAGAATTTCACCAAAAAGGTAATTTTTACAGGAAGAGAATATATTTCATTGCTAAACATGCACCAAATTGTTCACGCCCATTATCACAGGTCACCATAGTAGTGTTCAAAGAAGGTTTGGTCTCGACCTTTTTGAAAGCGAAAGAATTGGGCGTTAAAATGGTTTCGACGTTTTGGATTGAAGCGTGCAAAGTAGCCCGAGGACAGGTTGACCCTTCACTCTATCCACCATTAAAAATGGAAAAATACGAGAGTATACTTCCATTTGAAGCTGTCAAAGTAAAATATTTTACTAATTATTATTTCATTTAAATGATTCTAATGATTTCTTCTAAATCGAGTTTTTTTTTAAATTTTAGAAACGAAGGTTTCGATTGCCCAAAAGAACAAAGGTTTGTTAAATTTTCCTTTTTTTCTTTATACATTATTTATTATTGTACATAATAATGCATTTGTATTACAGGAAAATCAGAATCCTGACTCTCCTACATCACAACACCCCAAAAGGTAGTTTTTTTTTTGTCTAGGTTTAATTGTATTTCCAATTATTTTGGCTATAGAAAAAGTAAAAGAGAATATTGAAACTACTGCACATAATTTGTGCTTGTTTATGAAATTGTTCTCGATTGGTTCTACTCGGTATGTAAATCAATTGTGAGATCAAAACTGATTATGACTCCAGGAAAATAATACTGTTTTTATACTGGCTATTGCCTATTTAATTACCTTACTTTAATTAAAACAATGGGAACAACTGAAACGGTAATCTGCTCTGTCATGAAATAGCAGAAATGAACTGTTTGCCCTGAAATGATACAGCCACTTAGGTAATGCGACAATAACGCCTTGAGAAATAAGCAAAGAGGACTGGAAGGTAATGATATTTGATAAGTAGTGCTCTTTCTAGGATATTCTGCAATTGATCTTTTAAGTCACAGTGGAAGAAAGGGAGACTATCACCAGTGACCTTAGGAAGAAAAGTAGAAGATAAAAAAGCACTCACCATTAGTTTTTGTGTAAATATGTAGTTATGGTATAACACCACATTTAGACAGGCAAAGTTTGAATTATTACTTCAATTTTTTTATATTTAAACTTCATTCTCATTGTCACTTCCATTGTTAAGTTTTTCTAAAAATTGTAATTTTCAGAAGATGCCGCAATGCTATCACTGACAGAAAAGAAATCGCAAACTTCCCCAAATTGAAAGGCAATACCAAAATGAACGTTTGCACTAAGAAGCTCAATTTTGAAAAAGATTCAGGATATAATCATGATTTTTCTTTAAAAAGCTTAAACGGTGTCGTAAGACGAGACAGTGCTCCGGCTTATCTAGAAGCAAAGATAAACACAAAGCAGGTCAACAACTCAAAAAAAACTTCAGGATCTTCAGTTGTTGCCGAAGGCGCAGATTCTAACAGGAGTACAACCGATAAAAATTCTGACGTTTTACCGCAAAAAAGAAAAAGAAAACTTTTGGACCCAAATAAAACTTATTTATCCCAGGGGCTGCCTTCAAATACAGAACCTTTGTCTGTTGAAATGCCTTATAAAGACAAAGAGTTAAAACCAGTCAGTTCAGAAAAGGCTATCAATTTAAAATCAAAACAGAGAAGTAATTTAAAGTCGAAGCTTATTTTAAATGACCAAACTATGAATAACACATTAACAAGAAGAAGCTCCATGTCTTTATTTGTGACTGCTAAGAAAACTCCATTGAAACCGTACCAACACCCTACCATTGTTTTCACTAGTTTCAGAGGAGAGTAAGTTATATTTAATATTTATTAACCAACATTTTATTTTAATTATAATTTTTTTTAGGGAACTTAAGAATTGTGAAGCAATTGTTCAAAAATTAGGTGTATTTCAAATTGAAGAAAATGTGTCTAAAAGAACTACACATGTTGTTAGCAAAGGACCGAGAAGGACGATAAATTTATTGAAAGGATTGGCGAGAGGATGCTGGATAATTGATGAAGAATGGGTATGGATTTATCAAATTTTAATATAGTAGACCTGAAATTTATTGTTTTCTGGAATGTAATGGGTATGAAATTGTAGCAAGATTACTCTTCTAGTATAGTCTTATGGGTTCTCGCCCAATAAGAAATAATTGATTAGTTTGTTTCATACTTTCCGACATAAATTTGTACGTTGACTTGTTTAATTAAAATGTGGAAGTTAACTTGTGAAAAATTTGAATTTTGAATCTTATTAGAACAATTTATCTTGAAGGAATAAAAATATTTTATAGCTCTACAAAAGTGATGCAGCAGGGACTTACGTGTCTGAGGACCAGTACGAGCTCTCTTCATTTTCATCAGCTGTAGTGGTAAGTAAAAGAAAAAAAAACAGATTTTGTTGTGTTTATGATTCTAAAAGTACTCTTAGTACAACAAACAGTAACATTTTCTTGACAGTATAATTAATAAATGCTAGTTTTTTTTTTTGTTTCCAAGTTTGGACAGTTTACCACTGTAATTTTCAAATTTTTTTAAAATACTATTTATTGCCTTACTGTTTGGTCCTTCCCCGATGGAGTGGATCTTTTCCTAGTTTAGATAAATAAATAAATAATAAACAAAAGAATATTTAAAAAAAGAAACAATTCTTATATTGAGATATTAACGAAATTTGAAATTAATATTGTCAGTTTCGAATTAACAATTTGACAATTTTTAAAGGAAACCGACTGATTATTATTATTTTCTTTTAAATTAAAAAACAGAAACAATTTTCCTCCCGCAGGGGGATTCTCTTAAAAGATACGGGGCTAACATGACCCTTGGTGGTTCGCGCCCCTCAAAAAAAAAAAAANAAAAAAAAAAAAAAAAAAAAAAAAAAAAAAAAAAAAAAAAAAAAAAAAAAAAAAAATTACATTGACTAAATATTATTATTATTTTTAAAATTGAAAAATGGAAACAATTCTTATGTAGAAATATTAACAAAACTTGAAAGTAAAGCCGTCAGTTTGGAATTAACAATTTGACAATTTTGTAAAGGAAACTGACTGATTATTATTATTATTATTACTATATTAAAATACAGAAACAATTCTTACTTGACTAAATATTATTACTATTATTTTTTTAATAATGGAAACAATTCTTATATTGACTAATTATTATTATTAATAATAAAATTAAATAAACAAACTGCAAGACAGATTTTGTGTTGATAAAACAAATGAAAAATTTGACTCTATGTTGTAAACTAAATGATAAAGAAATCCTTTTCGACGAAAAACAAATTAAAATGATCGTTGCTGCTTTTTCACAAAAAAAAAAAAAAAATCAAAATATACTTTTTTCTTTCCAAAAGGTAGATTGGGGATGAGGCCAGGAAGACAGAAACAACATTTATTTTCTTGTCGAGCTTTCGGCAGAATATATCGCCTTCATCAGGACTATATAACATCGATGAAGCACCCCGCTGTTGATTAATATTTTCTTTGGTGATTGATCAGCCTTCTATGAAGACGATATATTCTGCCGAAAGCTCGACAAGAAAATAAATGTTGTTTCTGTCTTCCTCGTCTCATCCCCAATCTACCTTTTAGAAAGAAAAAAGTATATTTAAACTGAAAAGGCTGATCAATCACCAAAGAAAGTATTAATGTTTATAAATCCCAGGCCCTGAAGATGATTTCAATAAAGATCGAAACGTCGGCACTATAAAGAAAATGTTTTTCTAAAACCTACATCATGAGAGAATAATCATTAACTAACGATCACTAAACACCACGCATTATGGTTTAGTTTGGTTGTTTCCAATAATTTTGGTTTGCTGTTCTGATGGTGTGATGATGAACCATATTTGCCAAACCAAAACAATAGAAATACATAGACCTAAATAATCACCCACAGACCCCAAAAGGAAATTCACAATATCTATATAATTTTTTAGAAAAAAACAAAAAAAACAACAACAATCCTTGCACTTTTATATCTCAGAAAGACAATAGGTTAAATAATTAGCCAGTAGTTTTACAAAGCTATAATTTATTTTTATTTTTTTAAACTGTTGATTATTCTAATTGATTGTTCTTTTTGAAAGCTTAAGGGCCCAACCATACTACTAAATAACCACCTTTGCCTTTTGTCTAAGTTTATTTTGCTTTTACTTATTTTTTAAAATGTACTAGCGGGCCATCTGACACTACTTTAATATGTAGGCATGTAATAAATCTAGGTATATATATGCTCTCCGCCTTAGGATAAATTTAATGTATATGAGGGTTGCGATGAGGAGGGAGGACTGTATCAACTGAATGTTGATTTGGGGCTGGATCAGAGATACTCTACCACTTACTATCCTTGGGCTCAAGGAATCATTCAAAAATATTAGTGCCTCCTGGTCTTAATCGTAAGTCTCTGTGACTCAGGATGCCAGGTCTAATACTGGATGGTACTAGATTTCAGCCAGATATTGTTGTCACTGATGTGGAGAGAATATTTGTCCTGGATCTCATGGTAGCACAAGAAACCGCAGGTGCATTGGATCGAGTAGCAGTCCTCAAGGTCTGAAAAATGTGGTTTTAAGGAAAGCTCTCATGGAACAATCCTAGAAATTTTTTTTCTGAGAGTTTGCGTAGCAGTGAGGGCCCAAGAGTGCATACCTGAGTAGCAAAGACCTTGGGATTAAACAACTTACAACTATGCTCCTTGAGGTCATCCTGTAGACATAACTTCTGATGATTCTGGCTGTTGAACATAGCAACCAAGTGACAAACCCTGGCCAGTCATACTGGTACATGATTAAACCAGGTGTGAGTGAAATTGGGAAGTGGAAGATGGAGAGAGGTTAATTTTTTTATTTAATCAGGAATAAAGCCATTCTCATTCATCTTCTGCCTTAGGTTGTTTTCTACATACTACTACCATGCCAGCTTTCCTTTGTCGCTATATTAAAAAAACTGAACTCTTCTATTTTTATTCTTCTTTACCAGGATCTTCCTGAGGCCTTTCCTTTCCCAAAACTTTAGGATCATCTCACAATTTCTTGGTTTGAGGATCCAACATTCACTCAACCAAGAGAGTTTATATCAGGGCAAACTTTTACTAGAATATGCCGTATGTAAAAAGTTAATTTTGCCTTGAAAAAGCTGAGTGCAAATTTCAAAATATGAGGAAGATTTCTAATATTCTGTAATGAGTCTTATTCCTGATAATTATTTTTATGATAATCAACAAATTGGGTCTGTCACGTAGTTACACATGATTCTACCGATTTATTTTTTAAAAAGTAATAATAGAACTTGGCCTACTTAAAGATTTTTTTTTTTAATAGCCTAAATAATGTAAAACAATAGATGCTTAGAAAATTTGGCATGTAAGTTAAAAAGCCCATATTTTTACTAATTGTCTAGACAAAAAATATTTTTTTTCTCAATAAGCAAAAAATACCTGACGAAAATAGGAGCTCGAAGGCTAAACTTTCTTTCATATAACCCTGATAACCTACGAGAAATCTTTTTTTTTTTTAAATATTTATTTTAATGACAAATGTGACAATAAACTTGTTAATTTTTATTATTGATTAAATATTGAACTATGTATAGTATAACAAATACAGTGTGGCGCTGGCCCAAAGAGAGAGGGAGAGAGCGAAGAAACAAGCAGAGAGGGGAAGGTCAAAGAGAGTTATGAATGGTACCGGGAAGACAGGACTTTTTTTGGGGAGCTGATTATCTGCACTTAATCAGACATCCTTGGCCTCAGGATCATACAAGAGGACTCGTTTCACACATCGGAGACCAATATTCAAGAATAGCATTTCCTCGAGCTCGAAACCAGTTTTCTTCTCTCTACAGGATCAGCATAGCGAGGCAAGAGTTATCTTACATACAGTTATACAATACAATTATCAACCATCAACTTAATTTGTATCTTTCCATAATTAAATTTATATAAGATATTCAAAATGATACTATTCATAGTATAGCAAGCATGTATGTACATAGTTTTCTGAAATTTTGCTCATTGCACATGTACTTTTGTATGCACTACGGTTTGTACAATCTACATTTTACATTATATAAATAATATTGTCAAAGATTTGGTTGAATTCTTCATTATCACTAAATATTGTCTAGGTATAATAAAAAACATAAATTTTCAAAGATCTTAGAAAGCTTTCGTAGAGAAGGTATTGTCAATGATCAGTTGGACAACCCTAAGAGGGAGAAATAAATTGTTTTTTTAAAAAAATTAATTAAGGTTTTTAGTTGAGATAAAAAAGTCAATGGCACGAGCGGGATTCGAACACGATCTTCGGCTTGATACGCCGCTGCTCTACCACTTGAGCTATCGTGACCTCGATCCACTCGGACACCAACTTCCCATCTCAACCGCACCTCTTGAATTTTCCCTCCTTTTTGCCATTTTTCAAATGTCTTGTAATCGGATTGGCTTCTCGACGACAAATGAAATGGCCACGGAGAGCTTTAGTGAAGTATACTTCATTTTAAATCATTAAATTCACTAATTTCCTGGTCTGCTTGACCAATTAATTGTAATATATTAATTGGTCAAGCAGACCACAAAATTAGTGAGTTTAGTTTTAAGTTAAACCACACTCTGCTACCATTTTGTATGGCTTGCTATCATTTTTGTAATGATACGTCTTGTTGTTTGTTAAAATAAAATCTTCCAAGTTTTCTTTTTAATTGAATCTTAACCTTTTGTCCAAAAATAAACATCTCTAAAGGGGGCTTATCTTGCTGGAGTTAGGTCCTGAGTTATATTTAAAAAAAAATGTATTTCCTTGTACTTGAAAAATGGTATAATGTATTCTATAAGAATGACAAGATTCTTTGAATTCTTTTTTTTTAAACAAAACAAACAAACAAAAAACTTAACATAAAAAGTACATGTGCGATGAGCAAATTTCAGAAAACTATGTACATACGTGCTTGCTGTATTAAGAATAGTTTTAGTTGCTCTCTTTTGAATATCTTATATTAATTTAATTAGGGAAAGATACAAATTAAGTTGATGGTTGATAATTGTATTGTAAAACTGTATGTTAGTTGATAATTCTTGCCTCGCTATGCTGATCCTGTAGAGAGAAGAAAACTGGTTTTGAGCTCGAGGAAATGCCATTTTTGAATATTGGTCTCCGATGTGTGAAACGAGTCCTCTTGTATGATCCTGAGGCCAAGGATGTCTGATTAAGTGCAGATAATCAGCTCCCCAAAAAAGTCCTGTCTTCACCCGGTACCATTCATAACTCTCTTTGACCTTCCCCTCTCTTGTTTCTTCGCCCTCTCCCTCTCTCTTCGGGCCAGCGCCACACTGTATTTGTTATAATAGTAATAATTGTTTATTAGTAATTTCATTGTTTCGATTTACAGCAAAGCCGACTGGAAAGGCGAGCATTTAAGGAGGAATATAACATGGATCTTTTTTCCGAATGCGGCCCTATTTACGTATCGCTGGCCTCAGTTCCACCTCAGGCCGATCTGACCGAGCTATTGAGGATTTGTAAAGGGAGGGTTGTGACGCAGGCAAACATCGCTGAAATAATTATAGGGGGAAAGAGGAAAAACAATTCCTCCGTATTCAGGGTCAAAGAGACGTGGGTTTTAGATTCAATAACACAAAATACATTGTTAGACATAAACGATTACAAGTACTGACTTCTGAGTGTTTTTTTGGTGTGCGTGTGTGTGTGTGTGTGTATGATTATTAATTTTTTCTTTTATTGTTAGTGAAATTTCAAACAAATTGAATTAATTATAAATCCAAATTTATTAAATTTAAATGGTATTGAACTCAATTAAATATAACACATAAATAATTAATTTAAAATATATCTGTGTAACACTTTTAAACAACAGATTTAGTTATAAATTTATTTATATATGAATTTACGTTTGTACCTTTTGTATTTATATTTAAGAAAAATAAACGCATAAGGAAACAATGTTCAACATTTTGTTAATGTGTTGACTGTCAGTATCAGCTATGTGTCGACATTTGCCTTTTTTATTTTAAACCGGTTCCTCCTAACTAAGCATAACTGAAACATTTAGTTCTTTCTTGCAGAAAAAAAGTTTATAAGCTCCACCTAAGGATTCCAGTGTTTTTCTCTCTCTACATTTACTTAGAAGGTAAGTTAATTCATTCCTAACATTATTTTTATGTTGTATCGCATATGTTTTATCAGTATATTTGCACTAACATTAAATTTGCCCAAGCTCGTTTTGTAGATGCATAAATAAATTATGTTTTCTAACAATTTTTTTATATTATGTGTTATTATAAAAATTTATACGCAGGGGAGGTAGGCTTGGCTCGAAAGAGCGTTGGAAATACAAAGGTCAGGATATAGAAGTGGTAAATCGTTATACATACCTAGGAGTACAACTGACTTCTCAACTTTCTTGGAAACCCCACTTCTCGGAGAAATCTTGTTTGGCCAAGTTTGCCCTTAATTCTGTTTGGCAAGGAGCAATGATGCAGCCCCAGATCCTGCAAAAGGCTAAGCTGCATATCTTTAACACGGTCTCACGCTCAATTCTGTGTTATGCTGCTGTTATGGGGATGAGAGGAATTCGTGGAGGTGGAGAGGATGCTGTGGTTCTTCATACGAAAACTGGTCTTCCAAACTACACTTCAATTTACATACTGCACATTGAAACCTTCACCCAATCTTTCTATTCACGTTGACTCCGAGTGGTCGTTATTTGGTTAAGGTGCTCTGAATGGACTTCAGATTCCCCCGTATGGTGGCTGAAGAGATCATCAGTCTGGGGATATCTTGGGCTGCTGACTTGTGGAGACTGGCGGACAGGTTGGGAGTAGGTTTGTCCTTTTTGCAACCCGAGAGTAAGGCTCTCTCTCTTCAACTCCAGTCAATGATTAGTCGACTGAAAGATAGTTTTATGGTGAGCAACATAGAGAGAGTGCAGGCTTCCTGTCGATACCGAATATATAGGATGCTGGATTACGGAGTCAGATGTGCCAGTTTGGTTGGGGACCAAAAGCCAAATAAGAAAATTACAGACATATGTTGGATCCTAAAACTGAGGGGAGAATTGCTGAACCTACGGCATAAGCCGTATGATCTCCTCAGCCAACAGGAGTGTGAGTTATGCAATTACCAAATAAAGAAAGACATATACCATTTTGTCGCGGAATGCCCCATTCTGTCCCCCTATCGTTTGTCTGCGTTCGGCGAAAGAACCGTATCAATGGACAGATGCATCAGATTGCACAAACTTGGTAAATTATGCTAAAGCGGCCTGGGCCTATCGAAGGCTAATAGTAAACAAATTTAATTAGTAATTCTCTCTTCTTTTCCCCTTTTACTGCCCATCTCTTTGCCCCCGCTCTTTCCCTTGATATTTGGTGTTTCTGTTTCTCCGGTCTCAGCTCCGCTCATTGATTTTTACTTCTCAGTTTTGTGTCCTTTTGATTTAGTATTTTGTTATAGATATTACACTTAGCATAGATTTAGTTTAATGCATTTGTATGTTTATTTTACAGGATTAATCAATAATTAATCCAAGCTCCGGCAGACGGTTACCTTGCCGTATTAAGTTTATTTTCTTGTCTGATTTTTTTTTTCTTCTTGTGTGCAATAAACTTTATTATTATTATAAAAATTTATAAGAAATTCATTTCTATATTATCTACTTAAAAAATAAACTATGGATAAATAATTACAGATTTGTTTTAAGTGGTTATAAAAATATATAATAGTCCAAAAAATAGTTTCACAGTTTATTTTATTTTACTTAGAAGGTAAGTTAATTCATTCCTAACATTATTTTTATGTTATATTATTTATGTTTTATCAGTAAATTTGCACTAAAATTAAATTTGCCCTAGCTCTTTTTGTAGATGCATACATTCCTAAGGATTCCAGTGTTTTTCTCTACATTTTTTTTGTCATATAAACCCTCAGGGTAGTGGTGTTTTATTTATATAAATAAGCAAATTTTTCTGTTTTTATCCACGATTATTTATTTATCTATGTAATCGCTTAAAAAAAAAAAAAAAAAAAAATTGCAAGTATGTCGGGTTCGAATGCAGGGCCGCTGGATTCGAACCCGGGACCTTTACCTTACAGTGATGAGCGCCGTGTCAACGCCTAAACCGTTGTGGCCACCGACGCCCCCTTACATTTACTTAGAAGGTAGTCTTTTTTCCTGTTATTATCAGCACTGCTGTACTTATTACTTTCAATTTTTTTTATTTAACTGTACTCTTTATGGGTTATCTTTATTTTAGGTGAATATAGTAAGACTTGTTATCCACGGGAGATACTTACGAGGCAGCACCGTAAATAACAAGAACTGTAAGCATTTTCTTCCATACCAGTCAGACACTTTATATTTTATGTGTGCTTATCATTAATGCTATAAATGAACTAATGTTCAAGTTTTTTTTCTCAATAAGAATTCAATTATACTCAGTTGTTTTTCTGTGATTCACCACGCTCCAACTCTCCTCATTTCCATCCTTTTACACTCGATAGGGGGGCAACCGCGGACGAGTGAAAGTGCGGATAACTAGAATCTACTGTATAAAATTGTCCAAAAGGCGTTGGATTTCGAAGCAGATCCTGGCCGTTGAGGTTTACCCAGGTGATTATTCATTGTCTTCCAGATTTCTCATGCATTTACATTTAAAAAAATAATACAGCATATTATAAATTTTTAAATAGAATAAAAGAGTATTTTGAAATGTGTCCACATTTTTGTGACCGTTTAAAAAAAAAAAAAGTAAAGTAAGTAATGTCATACAGGAGAGCATCCAACTACCTGGACGGGTCATAAGATGTTTCAATAAATTGAAAAGCCACGGTCTCTGCCATGGTTGAAACCCAGAACAGCCAGCATGACAAATACGACACAAAAGTCGCCCTAAACACATCCGCTGCGGTACAGTTGGGACTTAGTTGTTGACAGGGTAAGCACATATATTTTTGTAAAACTCAAGTATAAATCGTGCTTTTCATTATGCACCTCTTAATTAGAAAGAAAGTAGATATGATTCTCTTTCAAATTATCTAACATAGATCAGTGTGACCAATTTTATTTGATTTTTATAACACTAGGATACCAAGGTCGACAGCTTGCAACACTGAAATTGTCTTCTTTGATGAGAGTGTCAACAATGCATCATCAACTATTTTCACTGAATAAAGTAAAAAAAGAAACAAGTCATAATACAATTAAATTAGTGCAAAAGGAATCAATTTTTAAAATACTTCAGTACAGGTAATAACGGCCGGCAGTCAACGTGAACTTTTCATCATTCACTGTGTATTCAATGCTTGTGAAAAATACTGTAAGAATATATAACATAAAATATATATAAAACAATATTTTATAAATAGACCTAAAAAAAGAAATGACCAGAGTTAACCTGGAAATGGTACTGTGGAAAGGCCAAATTTAAAAAAAAAAAAAACGTTTTACGTCCACACAATTCTTGTCAAGAAACACTCAAAAAGGTACTAAAAGGTGCACAGATCTATTTTGAGATGGTCAGGAAGCTCGAAGTCTTCAGACTTCTCCACTTTCAACGAAGACCTGGTCTGGAATGTCTGACCTCCAGCAACTGGGAAAATTCAATTAATTTGGTGCCAGGGCAAAATGCACAGGCTGACAAGCAAAAGTGCAAAAGCAGGAGTAACCCTCAGGCCCTTTGGAGTTTGGACTAGAACAGCAAATCGGCACACCACAAGGCATGCTAAAAGCAGAATTGAACAAATAGATGGTGAAAGAAATTCTGGATGAATTCACCAAGTGCAAAGTGATCAAAGAAGTCTCTCAATGTCTCAACCAGGAAAACAAAAATCTATGTCACTCTCAGCAGGCAGGAATTAAGAAAAATAACTACTGATATTGCTTCTTGAAAAAAAAAAATGTTGAAAACAGAAAATCAGAATTTATAAACATAATAAGCAAAGTAATTTCATATATATAGTCATACAATACATGTCGTACGAGATGGTCTGTTGGGTGTTGTGAATCAGGCATCAAACCACTTTACAATACATTTTTCATACTATTCAGTTAAAAAGCCGTGGATTCTGCTGGGATTTGAACCCAGAACAGCTAGAATGGCAAACAAAAGTTGGTCGACCTACAACTTAGCCATTGCAGTCGCCTGACCAGAACATAAGTGACTGCAAAGCGGGGTCAATTTCTAAATAGTTTTTTTAGGTTGGAGTGAAAGAAAAGAAGACTATCATCACCAATGCTAAAAAAATTAAAAAAAAAAAAAATGCAAGAAACAAACGATCACGTTTCCCATTTTTCTGCATTCTTTCCCATCTTCAGTTCGATGTTAGTACTTATTACACAGAGTAAATTAAGATTTTTCATTTATAGTGAATTTGTGTTATTTTCGAATTTACACTGCTCTAAGTTCATTGGAATAAATTTTTAATAATATTTGTTTATTGCTGAATTTTTTAAATCTTTTTTTTTTTTTTAAATTCTGTCTAAATAATGCACTAAATTTCTTTAATCTTAAATCTTCCCATGTTCAAGGGTTTTGTTTTAAGGTGTGTTTTCTTTTGATTAGCAATATGTTTAGGTTTGTTCCTTGTTTTATGAACAATTGAGAAAATGTAGCTGCAGTTTACTGCAATTTCAGGTTGATTTACATCTCTGAGTTTATGAATTTATGAATCTGTTTTTAATTTATAGTGACTGACATATAAAATTGTCATGCATATTTTGAATTTGTATTTAGGCAAAGAATGCTTTGAATAAAAAAAATTATCTGTTTATTATTTATATTTGTTAAAATTGTGAAATTTTGAGATTAAACTGTCTATACAATAACTGACAACACAGACATCCCTTTATCAATAATGTAGTATGTATTACATCAGTATACTTCTATAAACGTAATAATTTTGTTATTTCAATAAAAGCAGCCATATGGAAAAATTATATTTTATTATTGTAAAAGAATATGTTATGTTACACTTTTAAAATGCAGTGTTAACATTTACATAAATTAAGTCATATTGATAGGCGTTTTGTATGGCTCAAAATTAATAATACCCTTATTTAAAACTGGACATATATTTTTGTTTCACCAAAATAACACAAAGTGAATAAATTAAAAAAAAAACTACTTTTCCTTAATGTATAGTGTAGTTTGGAAAAGTTATGGTGTAAGTAATAAAAGTAAATCTATCAGACATTACCGTTTGTTTTATTAGTTACACGAAGTGCTACAATGTCCTTTAGATGATAACAAGCTTTTGAATTATTGAAAGCATTATAAATACATCTAATTTGGATGTTTACTTTCTCAACGTAGATGTTTTGGATTTCTCTCTTCTCTTTTTTTTTTTTTTTAAATTGATTTTTAATATATTTATATATATAAATATTCGTTCGTTGTTTTTAGTAATTTTCAGTAGTGCGGGTTTCTTGTACAAGATAGACTTGAGAACCAGGAACTGATGATGTAGTGACAAAAGTGCGGTGTTTGGCACGGATGAGTGACAGATTGCTTTCAGCGGTGTCGGCACGGTCCTCAGCGGCTTCAAGTTCACGTTGGAATCTGCGTACACGGGTTACGCTCTGTTGGGAAACGCCCTCCTAAAACGCAATAAATAATAAAAATTAATTTTCAGGTCTTTTTACAATTACAATAATTTTTTATACCTGTTCTTGTAGTTGTCTCTTGTAGATGGAAACTTTCTGGCTCATTTTGTCAAGGGCCTCTTGAAGAAGGGTGACGTTCTTGTGGTCTTCCTCAAATTGGATCATCATTTCTTTGAGCGAGCGTTCTTTCTTTCTCAAAAGTTTGACAGACTCGGCATGCCTGCGTTTCTCTTCATCAAGTTCTAATTCCAAGTCTCTGATCTGTAGTTGTTATTATTATTATTTTTTAAGTTCTGCTTAGAATTATTTTTAATTTAATGATTTACCCTAGCTTCGAGCTTGCTGATAACCCTCCTTCCTCCGACAATAGCATTAGCCTCTACTTCCTCTAACCTGACGGACAAGTTCTTGACCTCAATTTCCAAGCTTTTCTTGATGGTTTCAATTTTAATGACACGTTCCTGTTCTTCGTGTACGATTTCCATGCTGTGCTTGAGTTCAATTTGTACCTTCTGATATCTTTCGTCGCAAAGCTGAAGATTAAACGAACAATTACAATTTTTTTACTGCTATTAAAACATTTGAACTCACTCTTAATTCCTTAGTGACTTCTTCATAATCAGAAGAAAGAGAGGACAGTTCCTGTTCCAATTTAGCACGGCTGGCTGAAAGGTTGACATTGATTGTTGTGAGCTCGTTGACACGGCTTTGGCAATCTTCGTACAACTGTTCTACAGAGCGTTTCTGTCTCATGGCCTAAAAAGACAAAACGGGAATATCAAGTTTATAAATTTTTTTATTTCTAGACTCACCTGGTCATAGTTTCCTCTCATCTCTTCCAATTCGACTGTCAAAGATTGAACTTTGCGAGTTGCTATAGCCAACTGATCCATGGTGACGGCCAGTTGTCTTTGAGTTTCGTCATAGTGAGCTTGCAATTCCTTGAAATAAAATAATTATGATTTCATGCCGATCTACTCGATAAAATAAACTCACAGTTAGTTGAAGAGATTGTTTCTTGACGGTTTGTTGAAGTTGAAGATTGTTCTTGTTAGCAACATCCAATGATAGTTCAAGCTCGGTGATCTGTACTTGCAGCTTCTTCTTGATGCGGATAACTTCAGTCTTAAGCTTAGTTTCAGCTTCAGCTACCCTGGCGTTCAACTGTTCAATTTCAATGCTGGTCTGCTTGCTGTAATAACATAGTTTAATGTCTTAAATTATAAACAATTTATTCAAACAATGGACCTATTATCCATAAAGAGATTTGCAGTTTTAAAATCAAAACCGACAAGCTCATTCCTGATCCCTTCCAAAGGCTGTATAATTTTTTGTTCATCTAGATCATTCTTTTCGACGATTTTTTTACGCGTTAACTTTTTCACCGATGTAGTAGTTTCATTGATTCGACGCTCTTTCGTCTGTGAATCTTGGAATAAATTGTGGTAAATCTCGCCCATCAGCTGGGTTTTGATTCCTCTTGCAGATCGGCCTCTCGTATTTTTGAATCCGTGTAAATAATACGTTTCACTCATTTTGAAGTTCTTATTTGAAACTATCACAGAAAATGGAACCAAACGATTGAGCACTCCACCTTATTTGCTTGCATTCAAACGAATGAGGACCCTACTTAAGAGCAATTATTATCTATGCGGTGGTCTAAAATTAGCTGCATTTCTTGGGCCCTTATTGTGTTTTCAAAGCCAAGTTCATCAAGGACCTATTACCCCTGTATATTAATACATTTGTTCTCAATTGGCAGTATAACAATTGTGTCATTTAATTCCGATGATAATTTTAAGATATAAATTTTCTCTAAATTATTTTCCATCGAAAAAGTTTTTATAATTTTATATTATGACTATTACTTTAAGTTTTGATCATCTTATTGTCAAAACAACAATATATTTAATTTCAGAAATTATCAGTCTTGATAGAAAGATAATTTACTTAATTTCTTGAGGTTTTACATTTTTTATGGTAATCATAAATGTATAACCTGTAATTTGGTCATTGCTGAGCCTTCTTTGCTGGTTTTTTTTTTGTCAGGCGTTTCAGAATTTTGCCATCTTCAGTGCCAGGAATAGGCAGACCAAAATGATCATTTACGACCAAATTGCAGGTATATCAGAATAAATGAAAATTTTTTAAAATATTAATCATAGAATTTCTTGTTCTACTCACTCGGGTCTTATCTCTCCTTGAAATAAATGCATGAAAAACACACCAACAAAATATAACACAATGTATGTAAAGGGAAAATAAATTAACAGAAAATAATAGTTGTAAAATTGCAATAATTTTAACAGGATGATGAGTAAAATTACTTCCATGGATAATTGGCTAAAAATTTGCATTCGTGCCAAAGTTATTTGTCATAAAAATACATTTAGTCCTTGATAATTATTTAAAAAAACAATTAATAATCTGATGCTTGGATGATTTAAACTGGGAATTATTTATTCTGTTATGTTGTAATTTTGTGAATTTGCCAATTAATTCGTGTTTATTTGCAAGGAAAGAAAAATAAACTTTATTCTAGGATTTAGACTCGCTTTGAATGATTAATTATGAATACAATTTATTTACAAAGATTCAAAGGTCTCAATTAAAAAATATATACGTACATAATGAAAATACTCTAGCATTAAACTTAAAAGGGACGTTTTATCAGCTTCTATTAAATATATAAATTATACAATTAATTATACACAATTTTTTTCAAAATGAAAAATTTGTGTCACAGGCGGGATTCGAACCCACGACTTTCGGCTAAATACGCTGCTGCTCTACCACTTGAGCTACCGTGACCTCGATCGCCCATGCCACAAACTTCTCATTTTGACTACCCAATTTTATTCTAATTGTAAGCAAATCGCGGCTTCATATAGAAACACTTTTTATTAACGATTGTACTAGATTAGCGGGACTGTGAACGATTCACAGGTGTGATTCTAGATTAATACTACATTTTATCAGCTTCTATTAAATACATAAATACTCAATTAATTGTACTAATTTTTTTCGAAATGAAAAATTTGTGTCACAGGTGGGATTCGAACCCACGACTTTTGGCTAGCCATTTTTTCATTTTGAAAAAAATTGTGTACAATTAATTGAGTATTAAAAAGGTACGATTAAAAATCTTTAGTGTTAAGTTGTAAAGACAAGAGGTAATCAAAGAGACTGGACTTTAAGGCGGATAGAGTGATTGCACACGACATGTCTATAATCAAAGTGGGAAAGAACAATGAAACAATATTACTGGTGCTAAAGGGGAGATAGCAGCTGGCACAATGGAACTAATAAAGGGTGAAAAAGCATAATGAAATCTGGGAAATAAGCTTCTAGAACAAGGTTCGATCAAGGACCATCCAAAGTTTCTGGAATGTGGTACAGGAAATACAGTGATTTTGATAATTGAAGGTTTTTTGTAGGGATAGGAGGTACGAAATGGAGGATCTAAACACAATATCCTGGGACTTATTCCATATTCAAGTTAAGCCCATTTTCAGAGGCTCATTTACAAAGGCTTAAGAAAAATTGAAGAGAATAAGAATTATGATTTTACATTGATTGATCATTTACAACTTTCTGTATACCAGTGGAGATTTTTAAAATAGTGGATTGTTGAAAAGTAAGTCTGGAAGTTAGTTTAGAGCTTAATAGACTACTTTTTCATGTTTAACAATAGCTTATTTCCATGATTTGTTTGTTGATGTTAATTTCATCGTTAACCTAATGCTTTAGACTTAAAAATGCTTACCGGATTGTTTCAATTTCCTCATCTTTTTCAGTCAAGCGTTTTTCAGCTTCATGTCTGAACTGTCCAAATTCGGCAGAGAGGCGCATTACCCTCTGTTCCTCAGCTTTACGGCCCTAGAGTAAACATTTTATTAAATTAATGTTTTGCATTTGTTTTCTGTTTTAAATTTTCAGCACTGCTCACATTTGAAGGTTTTTTATTAACAATTTTTATAAAATTAAAACAATTTATATACACTAATTTCGTGGTCCGCTTGACCAATTAATATATTAGAATTAATTAAGGTTTTTAGTTGGGATAAAAAAGTCAATGGCACGAGCGGGATTCGAACCCACGATCTTCAGCTTGATACGCCGCTGTTCTACCACTTGAGCTATCGTGACCTCGATCCACTCGGACACCAACTTCCCATCTCAACCGCACCTTTTTTTTTTTTTAAATTTTCCCTCCTCTTTGCCATTTTTCAAATGTTGTGTAATCGGATTTGATTCTCGACGACAAATGAAATGGCTACGGAGAGCTTTAGTGAAGTTTACTTCATTTTAAATAATTAAATTCACTAATTTCGTGGTCCGCTTGACCAATTAATATATTACAATTAATTAAGGTTTTTAGTTGAGATAAAAAAGTCAATGGCACGAGCGGGATTCGAACCCACGATCTTCGGCTAGATACGCCGCTGCTCTACCACTTGAGCTATCGTGACCTCGATCCACTCGGACACCAACTTCCCATCTCAATCGCACTTTTTTTTTTAAATTTTCCCTCCTTTTGGCCATTTTTCAATTTATATAATTAAAAAAATCCAAATAGATTTTTACTTACAGCCTCGGCTTCTTTGTAAGCGGCTGTGAGCTCTTCTCTTTCATTTTCCAACCTGCGAAGCTCAAGTTCAAGCTCATGCAGTCTACGGTTCATCTCACCCAAGGTGTTCTTGGCATCATGGAGATCATCTGACAGATAATTTTTTTTTTTAGAACTCGAAATTTCTCTACGTTTTAAAAATTAAGAACAATTATACCTGCTAGTTTCTTGTTCTCCCTTGTGAGCGAGTCCTTCTGTTCCCTAGTCTTTTCAAGCTCATGGTTGACACGCTGCAACTCAGTGAGGCGGTTACGCAAGTCTCTCTGGCATTGTTCAAAAGCAACCGTCGTCTCGTCAAGACGAGTCTTAAGGTCAACGTTGATGCGTTCGACTTGCTCGACCCTCTTTGATAATTCCCTAGCAGTGGTGTTTGCCTAAAAATAATCATTATGATTTAGTTTCAAACAGCATATGTTCAAATTGTAAATTACCTTTTCGAGGTCAATGATAAGAACTTCAACCTCACTCTGAAGCCTAGATTTTTGCTTTTCAAGATTGTTAATCTTGACAACGAGGGTTTCAATGTGCTCTTCTTGTTCTTGAAGGCGGATGGTGTATTTCTTACTGTGAAAGAATTATTACATTTAAAAATATGCTAAACATATTAAATATATTAGAGATTCCAAAAAAAGTCAATTATAAGAAAATCATGCAGTGCCTTGACTGAAAACCTTTAAGTCCCACATCATAAATTTTTTCACGCTGAGATCCATGCAATAGGATAAGAAATACCCAAAAGAGATTAAAAGAAGCATAGATCTATTTTCAGACGGCCAAGCAAGCCGAAGGCTGATTCCTCCAGCTTCAACTCAAAGTTGATCTGGGAATGCCAACCTTCAACTCCTGGGAAAACGCAATCTGGTGACTGTAAGTGCCACATGAAGAGATTGAAGGCAATGAAAACTAGCACGAGAAGCAAATCGACATCCTCAATGTAAAAGCAGAACTGAACAACTAGATGGAGATGATTGGATGAATTCACCAGGTGCAAAACAAAGAAATTTTTCAACACCCCAATCAGAAAACAACAACATATTTCACTCTCAGCAGGCAGGAATTAAGGAAAATAACTGTCATTTATACTGGCAGTTACCTTTTTAATCTGAATTAATTTCAGTCTAATTTGAATTAAAAAAAATTGGGAAAAACTGAGGCAGAAATTTTCTGATTTTGTGATGAAATAGCACAGACATCTGGATATATCTTATGACTGCAAAAAATTAGTCTAGAAACAGTATAACCACTTGAAAAAGGTGATTAGGGAAATCAGTGAAGAGAAACCGTGGAAAGTGTTGGTCTGTGGGTCAGTGAACGCATGTTAAATTGGCATTAGTGGGTCCCAGATTTTGGCTTTGTACTTTCTTCCTTTCTGTTATTCCTCACTGAAGATGGTGCAATGCCAAAATGTGCTTTATGAACATAAAAAAAGCACCAAAACTCACCAGATTAGTGTACTGTTTTAGTATAAATTCAAGTAGACCAGTCTGGCCAACGTTTTTTGTTTTCTTCAGTCCTGGTTTGCTTCAAACATTACCAAGCAAAGATAGCATGTACTAAGCATTTGTCTAAATCCCACGTCTAATATCTTTCCAGAAATGATTGACTGTTATTATTGACTATGTTACGCACCCAACGGTTCATTTTCTGTAGTCGACAACAAAGCCAAATGTGTCATAAAACTCCCCTTTGAAATTGTTTAAAAGTTCAATTCCAGAAATAAGTATATTGTCAGAGGCCAGGTAAGAAGAATTTAAACAGTTTTAAATTAATATATAGGCAATGTTAGAACAAAAAATTTTTGTTGTGACCCTTTCAAATAGTCCGATGAATAACAAGAGTTCATCAGAAGATAAAAAATATTTTTGGCAGGCGAATATATAATACTGCAATTTGTCACACAATCAGACATTACACTGAACACAGTTCAGAAATGACTAAACGTATTTTGTAGTATGGTTTAACGTTGTCCAAGTTATATTCAGACACAATTAAACATTTTTTTTTTAGTTCGTTTCAACTAAATTGACTAATCCGGTGTGTGTTGGAACTAAGAGAGTGCACTTTCTGGAATATGGACAATATAAAAAAATGGTCAATTCCACCCTAGGTCGCAGTGGAAGAAAAGACTTCTCCAGTGACTTCAGAGAATTTGCAGTAATGTTCCTCTAAAGGCTTATAATTTATTATAAATTTTTATTTATAAAATAAAGCCTAAATATTTATCAGGTCATATGTATATCATTTATGTTCTGATAATTATTTCCGGTCAATTAATACAATAAAGTTAATGATTTTAATTTATTTTTATTTTGGAATACTGCATGAGTGACCGTTAAGTTGTGATGGTTTAGTATAACGATGACGCCGTTCTTTTCAAGTCTATTAAAACAGGTATATTTTTTATTTGAAAGAAAATGAAATTGAGACAATTATTCTCTCATCTCAAGCTTGGAACAAAATTGTTTTAGAGTTTATCGTTAAAATAAATTAATTGAAGACAGTTTATTACGAAATTTTCAATGTGGAATTGTTTCCACAGAATATTGTTAGTATTTTTATTGTTATTCTTTCTCACCGCAATTCTTCGACTTCTTCCTGACGTGCAGATGCCTCGGAATCGTATTTGGACTTCCAAGTCAGGCAGTCGCTGTTGGCCTTTACCAATTGCCTTTCGAGGTCGAGCCTGGCTTCGGCTTCTTCTTCGAGCTGAACTCGGACTGATTCCAGTTCGATTTCGACTTGGTGAAGAGCAGCTTCGAGGGAAGAACGCCTCTGTGAACACGTACGTTAAACGATTGAGATTCGCCGATCGTAAACGATCTCTTACCCTTTCATCGTCTTCCAATCGGCGGCGGGCATCTTCGAGCTGGGTGACAACCTGCGACTTGAGATAAGTGACGTTTTCGATGTTGACCTTCAAGTCCTGGACTTCTTTGGTCAACTCGATGTTCTCCTGTGAGAGGCGGGTCTTGTGAGATGTGATGTCGACCACGGTGCGGTTGAGCTCTTCGATGCGAATGTTGAGTTCGTGGACGGTCACCTCCAACTTTTCAACGTGCTTGACACTGAGTAACTAAACAACAATTAATAATTAATTTTTTGAAAATTATAACCTGTACATATTGCGAATTTGCACCCGATACTCAGGTTAAATAGGAAAGCCAGGAGTGTAAATGGTACACAGGATAGGACCAAGGATGCTTCCTTGTGAAACGCAGGTTTGTATTGATTTGATAAACTAGTCATTGCCAAATCTCACTCGAAGCCAGTTCAGTCAGAAATCAGTTAAATAGGATGTCAGGATAAAATAATAAGGGTTAGGTAAAAACATTTTTTGTTTATACAAGATGGTTATAAAAACTGAAGGCTAGAAAAAGAAAATAACTATCAATGATTAATAAAGACACTATTAAGGACCACTACTGCTTGTTTTTTGATAAGCTGTTGCGATTTTTTATTTAGTTTGAAGCTGTGTTTATGGTAAGAACCTTACAGCTTATTCTATTGATTTAGCAAGAGCAACCCCCCCAAAAAAACAAAGAAAAAAGTTATATACCTAGTTCTGTTACAATCATTCACCTTAAAAATAATCCCAAACAAACGCCTGGCGAACCTTCCTCTCTTGCCTATTGTTTACCTTTGATATAATGCTAAATTCTTTTACTCAGTAGTTATTGAGAATTAATAACGTCAAGATGGAACGCACCCTTGAGCAAAACCGTCATGCCATCATCGCACTGCACAAGGCAGGTAAATCAAAATCGTTAGGAATAAATCGAATGTTTGTGTGGCGCACCATAAATCGCTTCAAAGATATTCTATCTATTAAAGACAAACCAAGGTCCGGCCGTCCTCGCTCTGTGAGGACGAAAAATGCCATCAAAGCGGTTGAAAACCGAATTCGAAGAAATGCGCTACAAAAACAAAAACTATTGTCCAGAGAAATGGACATTTCTTCCCGATCAATGTCGCGCATCATAAAAGACGATCTTTCGATGAGCGCTTACCGTAGAATGTCAGGACAAAGGCTTACAGTATCTTTAAAAAAAAATTGCGAAAGAGCCAAGGCATTGTTGACCCACGCCGATGGAGTTCATCGAAACATCTTGTCTACCGATGAAAAAATTTTTACCATCGAGGAAAAATTTAACCGTCAAAATGACAAGGTTTATGCTAGAAGTTCTCTAGAAGATCATGAAAAAATCGGAAGGGTAAAAAGAGACCATCATCCTGCTTCCGTGGGGAGTTTGCTACGATGGCACCACAAAACTCCAAGTGAGCAAGGAGTCAAAACAAGGGCGAAAAATTACCAAGAAGACATCCTTGAGAAAGTAATAAAGCCCTTAAGTACTACTCTTTTTTCCGGAACTCATTGGGTCTTCCAACATTCAGCTCCTGCGCACAAGGCCCGAACAACTCAGCAGTGCCTGGAGGAGAATGTTCCGGAATTCATTAAGGCTTCAGATTGGCCCTCGGGAAGCCCAGATTTGAATCCTCCGGACAAGGTGTGGTCCCATCTTGAGCTTATGGCTTGCCACAGGAAACGCCAATTTAGAGAGCCTCAAGTCCGCTCTGCTAAAAGCAGTTGAGAAATTTCCTCAAGGCGTGTTGCGTACTGCCATATATGATTGGCCCCGAAGACTAAAAGCTTGTATGAAGGCATTTCGAGTAATATTATTTTATTTCAATCTTAAACAATATTGGATTTTTTAAAATAATTTTCTTTTTCAAATTATCAAGTTTCTCTATTCCCTAATGGCCCTTTTTCTTGTAACAGAAGTAATGGCAGGACTAGGTACACATAATTTTTTTCCCACTAGAACAGATCCCTTACCATAGATCTTTCGCTTTTGATAACCAGTTTTTTTTTTTTTTTTTTTTTAAACTCGATAACAGGTTTATCAACTCTGACGAGTTAGTACTGATGATGACAAGGATCAAATTAAAATAAAATTGTTTTATTCGTTCTTTACTCCTATTGTTCCTAGCTCATGCTAAGTTTAAAATATAAATAATTTAATTATTGAATTATTTAATTTATGAGCTTACATGGGGGTGAGTGTGTGACGTCTGGAGAGTAAAAGTAAGTTATTAGCGAGAGTGGAGAGGGTTCAACCCCGCCCTGAGGAATATCGAGTACTTTGGGGGAGTGAAAGTGACCAGACCTCTAAGTTTCTATCGAGTGTTGTGTTTGTGTTAATTTATCGGAATGAATGTAATTTATTAGCGTGAAAGGAAGGGGTTGCTTATAACCCCGCCCCGAGGAATATCGAGTACTCTGGGGGAATGAATGTGACCAGACATCTATGTTTGTGGTGATGTATATATATGTATTGTATGTTTTGTTTTTATTCTGTATTTGACAACCTGAGGTACAAACGAGAGACTAGCATTCTAGAATATCAACGTAGTATATATCTGAAATTAGAGAGTCAGTAACCAGATCGAGATGCTCAAATGGCTGCAGTTTAAAACAAAATATGCGCGAAAGAAAAGAAAAAGATGTAGAGAGCCGGCGATGACCTCAGCTGTTTGTTGGCCCATAAATTTCCCACTTATATATATATGAGCTTACACTAGAACAATTCACTTTTGTGAACTACTGGTATATGCTCCAACATTAGCTCAGCCAAAATAAAGTTTATTTATAGAACTATAAGTCTTTGGATTAAAAAAAAAAAATCAGTTGTCCCAAGACTTTTGTCTCAAAGGAGAATTGTTAATTTTTTTTGCAGTTAGAAAGATATTTGTAAAATAGCTGACTAGAGAACAAGGCAACCAAATTGGAATTTTTTAAAAGTATCACATTCTCCGTTGCCTTCGATTTGTACAAAATTCTCAATTTTGTTTTGAAAAATTTGAATTTTCAAGTCAAAAGAGGGAACGTTTCAATAATTTTATACCTTACTTTTAGTATAACAATTAAAAAATGAATATAAGAAAATAAGATTGATGAGACCCCATAATAATAAAAAGTATATTGTATTTCTTAAAAATTTAACGGTATTTTTAGCCACTTACTCTCTCCTTGTTAGCGTTTTCCACTTGAGAAAGTAGTTCGTAAACTTCTTGTTGAAATTTAGCTTTTTCCTTCTCAGCCCTGAAACAATCCAAGTCAGATCCATTAAAATTTTCACTTCTGTTTGAATTTGATCGTTATTTGATAAGAATCGGTTATAAAAAAATTTTTTTTATACGGAAACAAGATCTGAATGGAGTTGCACAAATATGGAGGTGTGACTCGCCGAGGGAGGAGGTGGAGGTGGGCTCTGGCTTGGCAAAAGGCCCCAATTCCTTTGTAAAAATAGAACTCGGTGGCTTAGTTACACACTTCTTGGCAGAGTCGGTAACCCTCGACACAACTCGTTACCTGGTTTTGAAATGAAACTTAACGACAAAAAAATAATTTATTTTGAACAATAAACTTGTCCCGAACAAATTTGTCAAAAGGCGAATTTTTTTTTCGGTAAAGGTTCAAATCCTGACGTTTCAGAAGCGACCAACGCTAAGAGCGCGTGTTGCGCTATTTTTAAAATCAACAGAAATAAAAGATTTTGCGGTAAAATTGTGATGTTAGTTTGAACTACTCGCGAAAAAAATATTTACAATATTTCAAAGCGTACTTATAAAAACAAACACGTATTAAATATTTTTTTCACCAGAAAGACTAAAAATATCATCATTATTATTTTCGAATTACTTTCCATTTACAAGATTTCACAATTTCAGTAACCCATATAAATAGACGAATGAAAAAAAAGAAATATTTTTCAAAATATTGAATATTGTTCAAAAAATCAACTGAAGTGACAAAATGAGCTTAAAAAGATCTTGTTTCATTACAAAAACAGGATGATTTTTATTATGGACTTAATTACCTAGCTTTAGCTTTTGAAACTTGATCCAGTTGTTCTTGGAAGTCGACTACAACTTCCTGGTGCTTTTTCCTTAGGAGATGAGCAGTCTCCTCCGATTCAAGATGGACGTCTTCCAAAAGTTTCCTTAGCTTGGTCAATTCGGTGTCACGTTTCTTATTGACCTCGAACTGAAAATATAGACATTAAGTTCAGAAATTTGACGACTTAATCAAAGTGTAAGTTCAAGATTTCTTTTTTTTCTAATAAGATCGTAGAATCTAAATTGATTAAATTTATTTACCTGACTTTCAGCTCCGCCTTCGGCCTCTTCAAGTCTCTCTTGCAAGGTCATTACTTGTACGCTCAGGTCAGCTTTTTCTCTTTCGACCTGAATTATTAAATTAATCAATAAATAGTATACATTTACCCGTAAAAATTGATTGAAATTGTTATTAGCAAGCTGTAAAAAAATTAACAGCCAGGGATGACTTTCATCTGACGAAGAACGCCAATTCCAGATCAATATGAGAAAAAAAACTATTGATCTTGGATCAATTAATGTGGGTAACTATTCATTCTCCAAATAAAAAGTGCGTATGATGATTGGAAATCGTGAGATGTGGTCTGGTTTGATGTAAGTTTCAGAAAAACGTTTTCTTTATCGTGACAACGTTTCGATCTTTATTGAGATCATCTTCAGTGTGTATGATTTTAAAATGACATTAAACTTCATGAATATTAGCCTCTCGTGCTTATCAAAGAAAAATTGCTGACATTTGAATTTTGAATTATTTAAATAACAAATTGTATATTAAAACGTTTCTAATTTGCAGTAATGATATCATATAAATTTTTTTGCCAATATAATCTAATAAAATTAAAAGAAGTTGAGTCCAGTAGATTATATTGAATATAGCGTGTAATAATAACATTCTGGGGCTTTACGACTTATCAAGTCTTTTTAAGAAGTAATCAATTATTTTTTAATAAACTTGTGCTTATTTTACTTAATTCTCCTTTAAGGGACTTTTAGACTTTTGGGGTAGACTTTTGAAAATGTCTTTTTTTATCTTAGAATTGCTCCCCTTTTAAGCTCCCTAGTTTCGAGATATTTGTACAAAGCAGGAATTGCTCTGGAATTAGAAAGGCGCATATAAATTTTCTCGGGTGTCGGTCTTCACATCCAAACTTTTTAGAAACTTGACAGTCATTTCCATTCGATCAAGTTTTATCGGTCTCGATTGATATCCCGAGAAAGCCCCTCGCTGATCATTTAATTTCCTCAGAAGACCGCCTTAATATTTTTATAGGTCGAAAGTTTATCCAAGTTTATAGTAATTTTGTATTAAAGAATAATTCCTAATTTTTTTTTGTATGAAAAACATCAATGGTGGGGTTAAAAGTACATAGGATTTTGTCTTTTTCAAAAAATAAAAACGGATCCTAAAAGACAAAAGAAGTTCTAAAATTAACCGTGATTTGTTTTCCATTCTAAATGGAGGTGTAAATATTTCTTTTTCCTTTAAGTGGGAATAAGGAATTTCGGTCTGTAAATAAAAGCGTAATCTTGCAAAAAAGTTGATTTTTCAAATCGCTAAATGCGACAATTGTGGATCAGAAGAAGTGCTTTGTTGTTTTTTGATTACTGTTTGGAACAAAAATAATATTTTTATAAATCCTAACGAAAAGTATAGGAAAAAGAAAAAATGAAGTACCATGTCTATACTTTGTTATTACTTACATTTTATTAGGTTTCGTGGTCCGCTTGACCAAATTAATTATTTTCAATTAATTAAGGTTTTGGTTGAGATAAAAAAAAGTCAGTGTCAAGCGGGATTCAGCTAGATACGCCGATGCTCTACCACTTGAGCGTGACATCGATCCACTCGAGGACACTAACTTCCCGTCTCAACCCCACCTTTTGAATTATCCCGCCTTTTTGCCATTTTTCAAATGAAAATGAAATAATTATCAAATATCATATCAAATAAAATATAAACACTTTTGGGAACAATTTTTCGCGCCCATGTCTGGTGTTCCACTTCCTTTTTGCCATTTTTCAAATGTTATTACTTACTTTTTCTTATTGTTTTAATGAATATGACTTTAATAATTATTAATTTATGCCTTTCATTATAGTTTTATAACGAGTCTTTAGTGGATTTTGGATATCACAGGAAGAAGGCTGATCAGGAAGGGTTCGTGTGCTTTAGTAAGTAGTAGCTGTAACTCAGGTAACAGGAGGACTTAAAATCCAAATATGCCTTGTGTCTCGCGAACGTCAAACCATATTAAAATACTTTTTACATATTATAATTAATTAAAATTCAACGGGCTGTGACGGGATTCGAACCCAGAAATCTTAAGGTGGTAATACGCAACGGCCCACTGGACCGTTTCATTTTCTATTTGTCATTCCATTTATTAAAAATTACTAAGAGGAGTTTATAATATATTTTTTAAAAATAATTTTGTGTTCTACACGTATTTTATTGATATAAAATTGTACTGTTGCTTATAAATAAGAAACAAATTGTTTAAAATCATTCTTTTTCCCCATCCGTCTCAGCAAATTCCCAATGGTAAGGCCTTTATGGGCTAAACAAACGCCTATTGTAATAAATTGGAAATTAATCACGCCAGCAGTTTTAATGATAGTTCCAATTAAACATTTTTGGCATCAATTTTTTGACTGTACTATTTTTGGGCTGCTTCCCTGTTTGGACTTTGTAATAAATAAATGAACTTCCAGGTTGAAAATAAGATTTCGTATTTTTTTCGACGATTAATTAAGTAATTCATTATCTATTCGTTAGTTCATTTATTAAATATTTGTAGTTATTTAATATACATAAATTTATCAAAGTACAAAAATGCCTAATTAGATTTTTGGGTTCTGATGAGCTTCTTTATTTATTTATTCGACGGATTTAATACTATAGTCTGGTTTTATTTGTCCTGTGTTATTACATAAGAATGACAATAAATATATAAATATACAACTATTTAAATTCTAAATAAAAAAGCACGAAACTTTTTTTAAAAAAATCCTTCTAAGTTGTAAAAAATTAAACGAGTTGCTTCCAAATAGCAGATTCAAATTTACATTTTGGAAAGCTCACTAGTTTTCGTGGTCCCCTTGACTAATTAATATCTTTCAATTAATTAAGGTTTTTAGTCGAGATAAAAATGGCATTTGAAAAATGGAGGGAAAATTCAAAAGGTGGGGTTGAGATGGCTGTTAGTGGCCGAGTGGATCAAAGTCGCGATAGCTCAAGTGGTAGAGCAACGGCGTATCAAGCCGAAGATCGTGGGTTCGAATCCCGCTCGTGACACTGACTTTTTTATCTCAATAAAAAACCTTAATAAACAATTTTATAGATCAATATTTTAAATTACAAGCTGTATTAAGTCTCAATACGTAATTAGTCAGCAATGCTAAGTTTATCGTCATACTTACATTAGTATTATAAGTCATTGCTTACAATAATTTTTCAAAGTTATGTAAATGATCACACATAAAAAGTAAACAATGTCAGTGACATGATTGACCGGACAAGACAATTATTTTATGTTTTTTTTTGTTTTTTTTTTCCACCATCACAGTATTTTACGGATGGTTATTTTAATAATTAGATAGGTCTTTAAGTCCAAAAGCCAATAGTTTTGTCATTGCTGAGACAAAAAAAATTGTAATCAAACCAAAACTTAATTATGTACTTATGTAAATGATAATGTACAAAGGGCCGGTAACTAATCCTTGAGGAACACTCTCCTTAATAATTAAGAAAAAATATCCAAAATAATTTCAAAAAACCGAACAAAAACAGTAGAAATAGTTGAGCAATCTGCTGCCAGATAATTGCAGTACAGATTCAAGAGATCAACGTTTTTTTTTCTTTTATAAATCTCCTTTTAATATAAACACCTTGGGTTTGTAAATTTCGAACAATTTTTGTCTAAATGAAAATAATTTATTCGCCTAGGGGGAAAAGTGAAATGAAACCGTCCCCAGGTGCTAAAAACAGAACGTCTATCCTTGCACCGTGAATCATGGCTTAAAAATAATAAGAGTTCTATTTTTTTTTAAACGCCTCTCGTTGCAATTTAATGCTATCCAATTTCACGCAAATTCATTCGGCGAAGCGGATAAATTGTATCATACAATAAATTACAATTGACCCAATTTTAATTTAAATTTATGCATTTCACTATTCGTCACCTTGATACAAAAGAAAATTGATAAATAGTGAGCCAGTTTAGTTTACTAACAATAAAAAAAAACTTAATACATTTTTATCATAACAAATACACAAGAGCTATATGGGGATTTTATGCAAGAAAATATGTAAGAAAAAAAATACATTTATTTAATGTATTTATATAAATATACATATAAAGATTTTTTTATGTATTCTTTGATATATCATGTACCTTCTTTCAATTATTTAAGTTGATACACGAATAAAATCTTAATTATTATCTTAATAAATCTTTAATATCCAAACTAACGAAAAGGACATGAAGCGATTTTTAGTGAGATTAATTATCAAAAGAGACGAAAAAGGCATGCGATTTTTTTTTCAAAGGTGGAACGCTTTGGCACGATGCCGAAATAATTAACGAAACAGCCATTAAAACTGATAGCATGAAAAATTCTCAAATAATTACATTAAAGACGTATTTTAAAGTTTTATATATTGTTTTGCCAGTGATATCGATTATTAGAGAGTTTTTAAAATAATGTTTTATACAGAAATGTACATTTTTTTCATGTTATACAAATTTATTGTTATTTTTTAATGTAATACTTTTTTTTAATTAAACACGTAGATTACCAGGTTTAGAATTGAAATAATTTTTGAAAGTTGGGAAGTTTTGTTGTATTATTGACTCGTTGCGCTTACAAAATTACCAACTCTTACGGTATTTACTTTTTTTATGTTATGTATAGTCTTCATCAAAAAGTACGTTTCAAACTAAAACATCATCAACTCGATACTGCAAAAGGATTCGGCGTGTTTTTTTGAGGGGGGGGGATTGGGCTTGATGAGAAAATCCCCTGAAAAGTTGAATTTATCATTTTTCGTTACATTTTTCTTCAAAGCTTTTCTTCATATTGAAACAGTCCTTTTTTTTTTTCTGAATTAAAAAAAGATGTAAAAATTTTTCCAAAAAAAATAGTTCGTTGCTTTAAAATTAAAGTGAAACAACAAATTAAAAAATTATTAATTTTCATTATTTACCTCGATTAAATTATTTATAGCGTATTAAGGAAAACGAAAAAAAAGATTCGATGTAATAGACCAAATAGATTTTGAGAGAATGGAACCGAAAATGGTCCTTTTGTGACCTTTGAACAACTAAACGGACTTGAAAAATTTCTAAAATAGGTAAAATTTTACAATTTGATGATTTAAACAAAATGATCAGACTCTCTTACAAATTAAAATTTTGAAAAAATAAATAGGAGAAGCACTGTATGCCCGAAGAAACGATTTCCACCTCATTAAATATTACAAACTTGTAAGATTTTCACCCAAAAGTTTTTAACGAGTAAAAAATGATTGGTAAAAAAAATTATAAAGTACTATATGCTATTTTACTATTCTACTTTGGCACATTATACATATATAAAATATTTTATATTTTTACATATAGAAAATTTGACGCGATTAAATAATTACCAAAGAGAAGCACTCAGAATTTTATTACTTATTACCATGAGAAGTTTTAAAAAAGAAGAACTTTAAATAATAAAACGGCCCATAAATCCTATCAAATAGTATGTTTCGGACTGACAACACCTGTCACTATATTGCCTGACGTAAATAATGAAAAATTAACTTTTCAAAAATAAGTTTCTACTTTTATTTTTTAACACGTATCTAATACGTAAATGTACCTATAGAGAGAGAACTTTCAACCCTCGCGAAAATTTGGCAGCCGGTCAAACACATTCCCAGGGATCATCGACTCGCTAAGTTCGTTAACTTTAAGCACCCGAAAAACCCAAATTCCTTCAAAGAATGGTATGTATATTACCTAAATGTAAACAGACGTGTATTATTTTATATATTTAATGAATAAGTTGGTTACAAATTTAGGCAGAATATGAGTAATAATGTTCAAATATTTATCATACTAAATTCACTAGTTTCGTGGTCCGCTTGACCAATTAGTATCTTGCAAGTAATTAAGGTTTTTAGTTGAGATAAAAAAGTCAGTGTCACGAGCGGGATTCGAACCCACGACCTTCGGCTTGATACGCCGCTGCTCTACCACTTGAGCTAGCGAGACTTCGATCCGCTCGGACACTAACTTCCCATCTCAACCCCACCTTTTGAATTCTCCTTTTTGCCATTTTTCAAATTTCAAATGAATTTAATAAGGTTATAACATTGAATTTTTATAAAATCCAGAGGTGTTTTTATTTTTGAATTTTTAAGTGGACCACCAGACATAGCGCGAAAAATTATTTATCCAAAAAGTGTTTATATTTTATTTGATAATTATTTCATTTTCATTTGAAAAATGGCAAAAAGGAGGGAAAATTCAAAAGGTGGGGTTGAGATGTGAAGTTTGTGTGCGAGTGGATCGAGGTCACGATAGCTCAAGTGGTAGAGCAGCGGCGTGTCTAGCCGAAGATCGTGGGTTCGAATCCCGCTCGTGACACTGACTTTTTTATCTCAACTAAAAACCTTAATTAATTGTATTTATCATACATTTTTAAAATTTTACGTAAACAATTTATAGTGCAAATATTTTACAGTGTTAATTGGTAATGTTAGCAATAAATTACTTAAAAAGTTTTATTAATCGTGAAAGTTTATAAAATATATGTTTTAAAAATGAAAATATTTTTTTGGTTTTTGGGGTGAAGAATTTTTTTATTACTGCTGTATTGTATGCAAAAAAATTGCCCTATTTTCAAACTGTATAAAATCAAATAAATTATTTAAAAAAAACAAAAATTTAAAATTATTTTCCCTGTGAAATTGAAAATTTAATTAGAAATGCGAATATTTAATGTCTAAGTTAATTATTTTTTCGTAAAGGGTGGAGTGTCCGTAAATAGTCTTTTGGGGGTCTCTTGGCAGGAAGATTTCCTGGCAGCTTTCCCTACAAACATATTGGGATTTTTACATTTCTCGCTTAAGACTTCCACCGACTTATTTCTAGAAAACCGTGTCATACGTGGACGGATCCTCTCGCCAGTTCTGACCGATCAAAATTCACGAAATCTCTATTATTTTGAAAGATTATATACTATTTTAGGGCAGCCTGAAGCCAGGGTTATGATTTTTTAATTACAGAACGTCCTATCTGGCAAGATACCCCATTACAAATAGGCAATTCGGGCCAATGCCGCTTATTGTTATTTTTAGCAAACTATTTTTTTTATAGTTTAATAAAAAAAGGTAAAAATTTTTTATATTAAACTTGAGTTAGAAGAAAATGAGAAGCCTTTAAATTCTGTTAAATAAGTTTGAAAGCGGAACTCAAGAATTAAACTCACCCGCTGCCTGAGCTCTCGTTCGGCTTCCAGATCTTCCGCCAGAAGTCTGAGCTTATCCTAGAAATAACACAGTTTCAAGGAACTTAAAAAAAATCCTTCTTTTCTTATTTTTTAAAATTGAAATATTTAATCCTTCTGGGGTGGATCGAGAAGAAATTTAAAAGAAAAATTACCTCGAGCCTCGTAAGGGCACTAAGGTCGGCAGTGTATTCGATGTTGACATCCGCTTGACCTCCGCCCGTCGTACGGTAGGTGTACTTGGAAGTTCTGTTCGTTGTCATCGGCATCTTGTCGCACTCTTGTAGCACTGTTTAAAATATTAAAATCAGTGAAGAAGTGCACGTATCGAACGGGTGGTTGCCAACACGGACGCTTCCAGACGGGATATTGTGATCCCGGGCTAGTTTCGACTATCTCTAGTCTGGTCGACGCAGGCGCACCCCCCACAAAACCGCCCCTGAATCATCTCTCATCAATGGATTCCAACCCACGCTTTTCTTATTTTGAATATTTTTAATTTCTCTTTTCCTGTAAAATTAGCTGGATGTTCAGTTGCAGACGGTGCAAAAGGGAGAATGCAGCAGAACAAGAGGGGGGTAGGCACGTCTCTCAGGTCTCTTTTAGGAGACCTAATTTTTTAGGTCCATTTCTACCTTTATCACACCAAGGGAAACAATTATCCTGTCATATTTTAAAACTTCACTGTTATTATAAGGTTCCATGTCAAACATCTTATGTTTTTGATGAATTAAGACTGACTTCTTTAGAACTTTGGATTCGCAATTTGGGACTCGATATCCTGAACTATTTCCTAACAGTTACAGACCAGACAGCATGCGGTAAGGATCATAACAGGAGCACCCAGATAAGAACCATTTTACATAGCGTTCTGGGTGGACAATTAATCGAGGATGTCATTAAAGTTTAATACCAAAGACTGCAATCTATTATCACCATCTTCAACCCAATAGCAAAAATGGTAGCCGATTCTGATTATTATGTTGTTCGTTAGTTACCTATTTATTAGCTCGAACCATGAAACTGGAATCATCAGTGTGGCTAGTTATCAAGCGATTGGTGGTACTAAGAAAGGAAAGCAGGTCGTTAACGTAGAGCAGAAACAATAGTGAGTCTAATATGCTCCCTGGAAAGACTCCCGTATCATCTTTATGGGTGACCGCGCGGAGCCATTGCGAACTTCGTAGGAGTTGTACGCTGAAGAGAGAGTGTATCCATGGTGCATCCACTCAACTAACCCGCTTGACAACAACGGTGTTTATAGCATCACATGTCAATGCGGATACAATTACATCGGACAAACTGGAAAGAAACTAAGAGATCGATTCAAAGAACATCTTAGATCCTTCAGAGACAATGACGGAAAATCAAATTACGCCACACACTTAATACACTACAACCACGAACCAAACACAATAGAAACAAGCATGACATTAATACCCAACGCGCAAAAAGCACAAAAACTAAACATACTGGAGAACCTCGAGATATACAAACAAATAACACTTAAAGACGGAAAACTTATAAACGCACAAACAAACTCACAATCACACACCACCTTCACACCACTAAAAACACTCCATAACAAAAAACGAAAACGTTCAGAAGAACAAAACATCGCAACCAACACCAGGAAAAAACACAAAAAATAATAACTGACAATGGAAATAACCGCCACCAAGATCGACCAACGAGCACGGAGACCACGCCCCCTAACGCAACGCCCCCAGCGACAAGCGACGGACACAACACTATATAAACCCCACTCAGACGGAATGACAGACAGTTTTTCACTGAAGATGGCGTAATGCCGAAACGCGTTTGAATAACTCAAACAAAAAACCCGCGAGTGAAGACAGACCCAGTAGTGCCCGTGTTCCGGTTAAACATGAAAAAAGTCAATGTCACAAACGGGATTTGAACCCTCGACCTGCGGGCTAAATACGCCGCTGCTCTACCACTTCGATCCACTCGGACACTAACTTCCCATCTCAACCCCACCTTTTGAATTTGCCCTCCTTTTTGCCATTTTTCATTATCTCCATCTTTTATCTCAAAAAAATTTAATTAATTGAAGTTAATTGGTCAAACGGACCACGAAAACTAGTGAACTTAGTCATAACAATATCATTACGAACCCGATTAAAAGATTTTGAGAAATCCGCGAATGTTTCAAGACCATAATCTTTCTCATACAAAGCAGAGGGTCCAGTTTATTAAATCCAAAATTTTGGTGATTGCCCCCTTTCAGAAAGCCATCTTGGGATTTGGAAAGTGATCACATTTATGTCCAATTCATTAAATTCACTAATTTCGTGGTCCGCTTGACCAATTAATACTTTACAATTAATTAAGGATTTTAGTTGAGATGAAAAAAAGTTAATGGCACGAGCGGGATTCGAACCCACGACCTTCGGCTAGATACGCCGCTGCTCTACCACTTGAGCTATCGTGACCTTGATCTACTCGGATATCAACTCCCCATCTCAACCTCACCTTATGAGTTTTCCTCCTTTTGCCACTTTTCAAATGTCGTGTAATCGGTTTGGATCGACGACAATTGAAATCCGATGGAGAGCTTTAGTGTAGTTTGAAAAATTACATTACATGTACATCTAATATAGACATAACCCCGGATACAAAGAAAACCTGAAAAAAATAATTGTAACAACGACAGACAATGACCTAGTCTTAAAAGAAGAATGGAATCGACTGACTGAACTAAGGAACTAGGAAAGTACAATAAGCCAGATGGTTTAGTGCTTGGGAACATTAACCCCATGTCCGAGTCTCCTTTCATCATCATCATTACGAGATAACAGGGTTCATTTTATTAACCTGTGCATTATCAGAGTTTGGACGTTTATGTTTGAATCTTTCTGCGATTATCAAAAGGCAACTTATCAAATTACTTAGATGTGACTTTCGAAATTTAATTATACTGAACAGTCCAGGCACTACCAGGAGGAAGAAAAAAGAAAAATTTTCCTCCTTTAATGAAATGAGTTTTTAAGTATGAGCCTATGACAATTTTCGAGGGATATTTCCAAATTTGTCTCACTGCATCTGTAGCATTTTGGCTGTTATAGTTGTGATCAATGGTGATCAATTCTTTCTGATTTAATCAGTCATAACTAATTAGTTAATGATAGACGGTCATTAAGTTCATATTTAATCATTCGAATTTTCCAACATATAGAATGCTTTTACTTTCATTTTTACTCAACCTTAAAGAAGCCTCACTTCGTAAGCGTCAATTGGAGAATTTCAAGAGGCGAGTTTTAACGGTACTAAATATAGAAAGGAGTGTTTGTTTCACGCTCCCGCGTTCGCTTGTGCGGTCTTCAAATGACATTTTCATCAGCAGGTGAATGGTGCCATCTCCAGTGGAGACCTAAAATAGCAAAGAGACAAACAGCTGCCCATAATGTCCGTACGAGTCATTAGCTAAGGCAAACATCTTTCCTCGTTACTATTGAATCATTGCCCATTTCTGAAAAAAATCAACAACAATCAAGGCTCTATTTTACCGTCTAAAAAGGTTTGACTTGAACAGGTTGATATAGGCTCTGGTACTGGTCAAACAGCGAATTAATAAATAATTTTATTGACAAAAACAGAATATTAAAAAGTATTTTAGTCTTAAGATATTTTGTGGGTGACATTTTTAACAACACAAGTACTGAAATTGGCGAGAAGCCGAAACTTGACAGACCTGACAGAAACAGACGAAAATGATCGGAAACGCCGAAACTGCAGGTTCTTTAACCCGCAGACTCCTAGGAAATCAAACTGATTTGTACAGAAAATATAAATGAACGAAATAATTCATCGAAGTCGTGAGGAGCGGTCAAAAATGAGGTAGTTTAGTACACCTTTTTCATTTTTTTGGCAGACGTTTCGACCTTTATTCGGGTCATCTTCAGGGCATAAAGTGTGGTGCTATTCTTGTGGTGTCATATTGGTTTTGTTTTGAAAGTGTTGTGTCAAATAAAATAATATTAAACAAGGAAGTAAATAGGAGCATTAATACAACATAAAACAAATTTAATCGAACAATTGTAACAAAAACAATTTTAATAGTGATGTAAAGGTAGCGTCGGTGGCCGCAACGGTTTAGGCGTTGACACGGTAAAGGTAAAGGTCCCGGGTTCGAATCCAGCGGCCCTGCAGTCGAACCGGACATGTCTTATTTCTAGTTATGAATTTGATGTATTTCGGTGTAGATTTTGAAGTTTTTGATAAAGCTGTCACCCAAAATCGTTTGTTCTAATTGATAAAATCATATTTTATTTTAATGTATTGAAAAACCAGGTAGCAGTAGAACAATCATATTGAGATTTCATCTTGTATCTTCCCGACATACTTACAAATGGGGTTTTTCAAAAACACCGCAATACCGAGGGTTGATATAAACTCTGCTGTTGCGAACCCTCGTAAAAAAAAGAAGAAAAGAGTAAAATTTCTTTAAGGGGACGCCCAGTTGATAGGAAGATGTATATGTATATATCTGATAGACTTCTATGATGATTCCAATTGTTAAATTATTTATATATAAATATAAATATAAATATAAATATATATATAAATATATATACATACATACATATATATCATATATATACATATGTAGATATATGTATATATGGGTGAATAAAGAGCAGAAGTCATATCAACCCTCGGGGCGTCGGTGTTTTTGAAAAAAAAATAATTAAACATATAAGTACAATATTTATGTACACCTTTATCTCAAGTAAAAGCCTTAATTAATTGAAAGTTATCACCTTATGTTAGAAAGGTGAATTTTTCTACTTTTATCCTAGTTCAACAAGTTCCATAGGGTCTTTTTTTAACATAATTAATACTTTCAACTACGAGGTTATTTGAACCCTATGGGTGCCGGTGTTTTTGAAAAAAAACACAAAAAAAACATTAAACATTAATAATGCAATAATAAATAATAATGATATTCAAGCTGAGTTTAACTTCTGCTCCCTCCTTATATATATATATGTACGTATGTATATAGATATATATATCTATTTATATATATAAATAATTTAACAATTGGAATCGTCAGATAAGTCTATCAGATATATATACATATATACATCTTCCTATCAACTGGGCGTCCCCTTAAAGAAATTTTACTCTTTTCTTATTTTTTTTACGAGGGTTCGCAACAGCAGAGATTATATCAACCCTCGGTGTTCCGGTGTTTTTGAAAAAAAAGCCCATTTGTAAGTATGTCGGGTTCGAATGCAGGGCCGCTGGATTCGAACCCGGGACCTTTACCTTACCATGATGAGCACCGGGTCAACGCCTAAACCGTTGCGGCCACTGACGTATCAATTGTTAAAACAGATTTAAAGAAGAAAGTTGTACAATAC